ATTTCCCTTTGCATTGTGCACCTTCCAGGCTACATGTACACACTAGTCTCGTCTTTGTACACGGCTATTTCAAAGTGTTATGGTTCAACCATCTCGGCATTCAAGTTGAAGGTGGCGAGAAGCGATCAAGTCGTGATTTGCCGAGCTCGGAGACCCTCCGGTACGACAGACACCCAACGTGTGCGTGACGCTACGAGACTGACTGCTGCATAATACGGTGAGAAGCAGCTTCTACATTGATACTGATGACGCGAATAAAAGAATAGAATGACTCACGCACCTGAGATAGCAGCAAGAAAGGTCAATGCCAGTGTTTTCATGGCAACGATGGGCAAGCTAATTCTGGCCACTTTATCTCCTAGATACTGTATCCAACGCGTTGCTTAGAGCGTCATCACCATCGTTGGTTCCAAAAAGAAAGGTCAAATGGTCGATAAGCCGGAAAAGGAAATTCATCCAAGATATATAATCCTTTCCTGTCACCCGTTCTCCCTCTGTCACCGATTCCACCGCAGCATCACCATTCACAGCAACAGTAACATCAATCACCACCGCCACAACACCAAGCTGCCCCCACCATTCCTCTTTTCGCTCCGCCTCCTCTTTTTCCTCCCCTCGGTGTCCCTGACGAAGAAGAAGAAGATTCCATGGAGATTGATGATCCCATGGACACCGACAAGTAATTACGAAGATTGCAGCGAGATGCATGTTGACTGGGTTTCACCCGTCACGATACTTTCGTCTATTTGTACCCTTTCTCTATGTCCTGGCATCCTTTCCTAATTCTTTCCAAGCAGCAAGAACACTGCCACGGCAAAAAAAAGAAAGCATAATGAAAACAAACAGCTACAGATTTATGAATCTGATAACATATGATAGACACTAATAACAGAATCAATGTTTCATGCTCTCCTAGACATGAGCTTTTACACACGATATCCAGGGCTACTATCATGATACTATGTATGTACACGTACAGTAATACTTTGATACCAACTGCATGCGCGTATTATCTTGATAGATTAACAAACCGTTGCGACATTATGATGGACTAACGTGTATTTCATGATACCGTTACATTTTTTCCAATGCCCGGGTGCGCTGCATTATCGCTGTTTTCATTGGTATACAGTAGACATTTATGACAATCACAATCAACAGTGACAACGAGATATCGTGATCAGGAACGACACTTTTACGGGAAAAACTGTAGCCATGTCCAGTAACACTTTCTGTGTGTGCAGTGTAGATGAGCACGCTTATCATGAAGTTGATGAGTGAGATAAACCTAAGTACAGTAAAGATAACTGTAAGACCAACGGAAACGAGGCAGTGCTTTGTGTGATAGTTCAAATGTAGATTTTTATTCCTTTTTCTGGAAGACTTAGTGTCCTTGTGTAATTGGTCGCTTCTTTGCGGTACAACAAGAGGAGAATATTTACAAATGAGGGATTTATATGTACCACAGCTGAAACAAAACACGTATAATAGGAAAAAGGTTAGGTGGAGGAGAGACTGCGGAAGGTTGGGATCGATGTTAAAAGTGACGTGAAACGAGGTAAGAGAATAAAAGAAATTACAGAAGAAAGAGGGGGAACAATGAGAACGGTAAGATAGACACTTTGAAATATGATGTAAGGACGAGTATACGTGTGTATCTGTCTAGAGGAGGGCATCCTTTGGAGCAGGTTATGGATCCGATGCACCATAGTCAACACCTGGATGGCTGAAGCGGTCTGACACGTTATGGATGATGCTGTTGCTGCATTGTTGGCGAGGTATAATAGTTGTTGTTGTTTTCTCCTTTAGTAGTGGCGACAGGGTTATCGTCACTGGACATGGCAGCATGGTCCTCCAAAGTCCAAGCATCTTCTTGAATAGGTGGTAAGCTTCACTTATAAAAATCATCACGATCCCCACGTTTCATAAAAGAGATTGTCAAACCGTTATAAATTGCGCTGATGAAATTGGCAGCGGCCGTTTCTTGATCGTCAGCTAAGAAAAGAAGGTCATATCGAGTATCAATAGTATTGCTGGATACGCTTCACATATAAAAAATCATCATGATCCCCAGGTTTCATACTCTTTTTATATCGCCGGTTCTTTGTTCCATTAAAGCGCACAGACCCGTCGCCGACAATTGTTGGATCAGAGCGGAGCACGGCAAGCGGAGCCGCATAGTGAAACAAACATATACGCACCATAAGAAAAAGACACTAGCATGACAGTCGTCAGACTACAACGATAATTATGATCAAGGCACTTCTTCACATTGCTGCAGTTCACTGGCTCCTTAGGGCAGTAGTGACAACAAAATTTCTAAGCTTCGTCATTTTGTTTATCGGGCTCATAAAAAAAAAGAATCGACTGCGCGTTTTGCCCTTTATTCTTTCATCTTTGTACATTTGCAGTGTTTCTTTCATTATCACTTTTTACCTTTCTTTTGTTTTTCATCCCGCTCGAGTGTCCCTGTGGGTGTGCATAGTTGAAGGGAGCTAGTCGTGCACGACTGGCTCTTGCTCATCTTTTGTACATTTGCAAAGTTCTTTGTTTCATCTTGGTTTTTGATCTTCCTCAAAAACTGAAAGCGAGAGTGTGTGCAAAGAGGTACGTATATGTTCGCCGCTGACAGACCTTTGTGCTATTTCTTTTATTTGTAGGAACTGAGGCTTGCGGAAAACAAGGGAGGGCAACCTCCCTTGTGGGTACGTATATGTTCGCCGCTGACAGACCTTTGTGCTATCATATTCTTTTATTTGTAGGAACTGTGGAGGTGTAGGTTCTGTCGGGAACTGAGGCTTGTGGACAAGAAAGGGAGAGGTGTAGGTTCTGCCGGGAACTGAGGCTTGCGGAAAACAAGGGAGGGCAACCTCCCTTGTGGGTACGTATATGTTCGCCGCTGACAGACCTTTGTGCTATCATATTCTTTTATTTGTAGGAACTGTGGAGGTGTAGGTTCTGTCGGGAACTGAGGCTTGTAGACAAGAAAGGGAGAGGTGTAGGTTCTGCCGGGAACTGAGGCTTGCGGGGAACAAGGGAGGGCAACCTCCCTTGAGGAACGAAGGATTCATAAAAGTCGGTCGACTTGTCAGGCAACATCAAAAAACTTGGTTTCTTATTGTACTTTCTTAAATAATGTAATTGTAACTATTGGGCAGATCGAGTGACGATTGTAATAAACGCGATCTTTTTTTTTACATCTTCCTACTGCCATTGCGCTTGGTACTTGTTGGTGCTTTCTCTGGAGCAGTTATGTAGTTGCAAATGAGCCTTTTTGTGCTTGAGTCGTCGAGAAAACCGTAGGCTGTGCATTCGCATGTGTGCTCTCAAAAACAATACAGCTGGTTTACCTTCACGACTATACCAACAATGATTGCAAATTGCTGGTGGCAAAATAAAAAACCGTATCGCAAAGCAAACAGACCATCCCCATATTCACATATACACGAACCAGATCGCCAACCCAAACTAAATGATGTTTGCCTTGATTTCTTTGCAGTATAAAAGGCCCAGTACATAAGCTCATTAGGGAAGTTACATAATCCAACTTGTTGGGTCTTGCCACCAATCTCTCATGCTACTGTCTCTCAACATTACTGCTACTGATACACGTATACTAGTAATACTCATAGATAGATTGAATATGGAATGTATCATCACTGCTTAAGATTATAACAAGTTATCCCGTCAAGTTCTTGATGTTTCTTATCTACAATAGCTTTCAACGGCGCCAAACTTGCCAAGTTTTTAGAAGCGCATTGTTTTGTGCTGCTATTGATGAGTCAAAATAATAATGTTGTGCTTAACTTTTATCTATTACATTTCAAGTAAAAGCCATTTCAGTTTACCCCCTTCCCTTCTTTTGTCTTTCAATGATCGCTGGCGGTACTACTATATCAAACTACACCAATATCCGTATCCGGCAAGCCAGTATTCTAAAAGACATCCAGAAATGTGTTGACGTCCATATAATTTTTTTGTGAGCGTCCAAGCCTCGAGTACATAAATACATTACATGGAGCTATACTACTGAGATTCTTCATGCAATCTAACGAAGCCACTTTGAAATTTTTGATTTGCTTGACGCTACTTTTGATATCAACACTAGCGAAAGTATCAAATGTAGGGGATGATGATAAGGGAAACCCGATCGGATATATACGTTAACAGTAGTTTGATCCAAAGATGATAGTAGTGTGGACACACTCAGTCGGTTACCAAGTAAGTCTATCACAAGCTCGGTGCAACGGCGTTTGGTCGCAAGTTTGTGCAGGCACTCGAAGCAGCTGCAAAGACGGAGGGGCAACACGCTCTGAAAAAAAAACGTCGATATTATGACTCACTAGGCTATGTATTACAAAATCCCACTTATTAAACGCGCGTTCAAAATCCTCATCAGCAACTATGGAAGAGGGGACTTCTAACAGATGCAATCCCTGATATTGTTGTACATATTGCGTTAATTTCAGGTTCGAAATTGTGTCTACCTTTTTTACAATACAAAACTTATGACTGCAATTTCCATTGATCGGCGAGAAGCATCACAAGAATATATATATATATATATTCATGTAAACCGGTGACGTATGCCAAAATATAATAAAAAAGAAGGGCCTGCTTCTACACGATAAAAATATTGCTACAAAATCAAAAGACCAGTGCATAAAATTAAATTTGGCTCGTATTTCACTTTGTGTGATATGTACGACATTGTACGGGTAGTCATGGAACGTATTGCCAACAAGCGGACCATATGCCTGTCATACAGCTGACGAGCACCGTAAGATATTGTGCGCGGTTTGGTTGTAGACCTTGCCCAGATGCAGTACAATGGTACGTGCAGAGATGCAGCATGTCGTCGTCATCACCATCATGATCTGACGTCGAAACTTTATCAAAGCTTTCGCGCAGTTCTGCCAGTTCTTGCTCAAGCTCACGACAGCGAGCATGTGACGGATTGAGATCCTGGAGCAAGAGCTTTTGTGTAGCATCCGCCTCTGTCAACGACACCGTCGCTTGAGCTTGTCCAATTGGGCACGTCGTTCGACCAATCGTTCTTGAGCTTCTTCGGTCGTCTTGGTTAATCGATCTCGCTCCTTTTCATATGTGACTAGTCGTCCTTCGAGCTCACCAATATAGCTCTGGGTACTTTCATCCATCTCCTTGAGCTTAACAATCTTAGTCTTGAGATCGTTGAGGACGTGCTGGTCTTGTATGGCATTTTGCACCGACTTGGCTAACTTGGCCTCGAGCTCAGTAATATAGCTTCACTGGTCTGCTTGCGCTCGACGGATTTGGAAAGACGTGTCTTGATCTCCTTCAAAGAACTGATTATTGTATCCGTTGTTCTACATATTGTACATCATCATGTTTGGCGGCATCATTGACATCCGAGGGTCGATCATGGGTGGCATCATCTTGGATGCGTGTTGGTTGTTGGCACCACCTATCATGATGGGAGGCATCATGGACATACGGGCATCCATCATTTCCAGGCCCATATTCATTCCCATCATTGGATTCTAAATAGGCAGGTAATTAGCACTTAATCGTGATGATCGTCGGATCCACTTGGACTATGTGCTACGGCCGAGAATGGGGCTAAGTCGAGTTGAAACTAGTCTATGTCTCAGTGCAACATAATGATTTTATCTGGGGATTTACGAATGATTCACACTTTAGCAGTGGACCGACTGCTGTTTTTATTACCTTTCTATTCAGGCTCAAAGCAAATCTTACTGGCATTAGCAAACATATAATAACCATGAAGATTGTACAAAAGAAAGAAGGTGGCCGACTACTGTAAATACCTTTGCAAAATACAGCATGTCTTCTTGAGAGCCCAGAGGGTAGCCTTGGCTAGCACCGTGGGCTTGGTAATGAGGAACACGGTCCTTATCAACGATTCTGCCGCCTGCACAAACGAGATCGCCGTCTCTACAACCGATACCGCAGCGCTCAAGACCAATGCTAGATCATCAGTAGTGAGCTCACAATTGACCTGGTTGTGGTCGTCGTTCTTGGTGGTGGCCAGCGAAACGCAGATTGCAGTGCCGAGACAGCTGTAGGCAAAATTGTTTTTATAAGATGCATTTTTGTTGTGTGTGTGTAAAACGAGAAATATGAGAAGAGTAAAGATATGTGCAGAATCGAACGAAGCTTGATATTCATAATGCTAGAACAAACCCTTAATATTCAACCCATCCATCCGTAACAGCTGATCAATCACCTTTTAATAACTCAACTTATCATTCTTGATTCATCATTACTATGTACTTCTGCTTCACCCGGGGGTTTTTCTGACACTTAACCTTGTTCTTGTCCGGTTTCTCCTTTGTCCTTACTCCTGTGTAGTTTCTTTTTCTCTTTTATACACATCATTGCGATTGATAATATCTGCACCGGCACTACTTTTGGAGCCTGTTCCCTTACAATCAAGTTTACAAGATATGATATATTAGCATTTTAAATTCATCATCGCGTATTGTTTTCGAAAAAAGAGTAGCAATGAGAGGAGCACCTTCTCAACATGTGCCGTTGAATTCTTGACGCATAGTTCGTTGTCTTCTGATGTGCTGATCAATGGCTGTCCAACTTTTGCACTGGTTGTCTTCTTGCTTATCTTGTACTATAACAACCAACACTTGTTTGCTGCCGATGAGGGATTTCATGGTGTTGTACCATCCCACATGAGCAATAAAATACACATTCTGTTACCCTTCATAATGATTGCTGTTATGTCTCTTATATCAAATGTACGATACGAATATTTCCGTATTAAAACACATCTGGTTGTCATCCATATTACACCATATTGCGATCATGATCGTTAGCCATACTGGAACGGGTGGATGGTTGCATTCGCACGGACGTCCTCGGTATGGTGGTATACGGCTTTGAAAGCAGCACATGGGTCCACGCGTAAAGCAGAACGAATACCGTCCATGACAGACGTGTCCGTTCTGCCTTAGACAACTCACTACCTACACCCTTGACAACACCGTTGACGACAACGGCAGCATCAAGACGTATCATGGTTTAACAAAGTGTTGTTTCTTTTAGTGCGCGCGGGTTGCTGTAGTTTTTCTCGAGACTCTTGCTCCGCGGGCTGCATTGACGTATGTGCGTTTTATTCCACGTTAAGTACTGCACATCAAGCACTTGTGCCCTTCCATCACCGTATCTGTTTGCGCAACACATACAGTAATCCATTACTCTACTGCACCACAGAAATTTTCGCGTATCACACTACTAGCTAAAGTGGTAAGGATTCTTTGTGTAAAAGACTAATCCACACTTTCAAAGGAGCTTTGTGGACGTTTTCGAGGTACTTGCACGCATTCAGCTTTATTATCAAATCTATCTCGTTTTCCAGTTTATAAGTGGTACTGTAGTCATTAATTCGAGAAGACTTGCTTGTGTACCAACTTTAAATCCCTTTTCGTTTTTATAAAATCGACGTATATGTAACAAGTAGCTTTCTAGCCAAGGTATATGATTGATAGCTGAGCCATGGTGGTATATTAAGTAGTAGCTGTTTAACCAGTAAACAAATAAATTAAGACTGGATCGTAAAATCACTTGTATAGAACATGTCGGGTTCGGTTTCATCTGTGGAAAGTTCGTATAACGCGTTAATGGGTATTGGCTCATGACATATCCTCTTCACATTGCACACACACAGACAAAAGAGTTACCGTACCCAGTAATCCCGGTCCAGCGTTGTCTTGTTCTTCTATGGCTTCGCGGTATGCATAGAGAGAGCTTGCTGCTGGACTCACACCTGAAGGAGAAGCTAATTGCTCTGTATCCACAAAAGATGTGCGTGCACGACGCGAAATCGCAGGCGAGGGACGAGTTGGACGTAAGGATGGACTATTTTGGTAAACATTAGTCCCTCCCTTGCTTTCATAATAGTCCCATAGTGATGATTCTGGTGTATCGGCTTTACGTCCTTTGCTTTCTTTGATGTACGGGGTCGGGCCTTCAGTTCGAGAAAACACTGAAAGTTTTCGTGTGTGTGGACTTGTTGCGCGCATACTCTTCGCTGTGGTATTGTTAAGTTGTTTAGTCAGGCATAAAACAAAACAAGCTACTGCTACTAATTTTGATACGAAAAGTGTCTTACATTGAGAAATCATGGAGAGCCTTCCACTGACGACGGAACGATTATCGATCGGAGACAGTATTCCAATGTTGTCAGGTGTTCGTTGTTCTTGAAACTGCTCCATCATTTGATTGACTACTTGCTCGCAATAGTCAGGGAAGGAGCTGGATAAAGGTGAGACTTTTTCTGAAATGTATGAGAATGGAGAGCTGGCAGCGTGTAATCGTGGAGTCATTGAACGTCGTAAAGGTGATGGTGATGGTGGTTGCAGTGGCCGTTCGGTAACAGATGTCCGAGCCGTAGGAGTGTTAGAAAGAGTAGAACGTCGTCTTGGACTTTGAAATGTCGTCATAGGTGGCGGCGTCGCTTTTGCTGGAGTTGTAGGTATCGATCTTACTGCAGAAATCGGTGTTTCCCTTTCGGTTGTTTTGAGTTTCTTTGCAATATCCTTGTCACCCTCGTTTTCCAATTCACGTTGGCGCTTCTTGGAATAGTGTAATGCGAGATATTTGTCGACGCGCTGCATGACATGTTTCTTGGTTTCATTGCTTATATACGTGGCTGCAACCAACAACTGAGAATTAGTCTGTGGATTTCACCACATACTATATCACTCGGTAGAAAGAAAAACTTACGCAATTTGAGGGGAGGTAGATCATCTACCACGGGGTGCTCCTCGGTAGGAAACGGGGCGCTTAAAGTATCGAGCATTTTTGGCGCAGATTGTGCTGTAGGTTGAATCATACTAGAATAGAGTTTTTTGAGTAAAACGAAGAACGCGCAGCACAGCAAAATATTTACCTTCGCCATTGTTCTTCTTTATCTGTGGATGCTTGGCGTAAATTTTTATTTTCTCGGTTCAGTTTATCTAAATTGCTCTTCAACGTGCTCAAAATGGAATGCATGCCGGTCCACTGTATTCCAGCATAATGTTTGTGTTCAGATAAAGTTGAGCGAGATGCTGGAACAACAAAGCATACAGAATCGTCAATATCAAACTTAAAGAACCACATAGGATCCAAATTCCTCTGTTTTCCAACTTACCAGTACTACCGTCTTTGGAAGTTGTGAGTCGTCTTGCCACTTGTGCCCAAATTTCATTGCTGGCACGCATGGTATGGTTATCCTGGTTCATGGTGGATGACATGCGGTTGATTTCAGACTATTGTTATTAGAGCAAAGTAGAGGCATGAGTTTCTCTCTGTAATTTGACTGCTTTGATTCATTGTAGTATTATTACCTCCAAGTTGCTGATAATTTGTTCCTTACGCGCTATAGTAACGGAAGTAGTACCTAAGATACGAATGGGTGCATGTATGCTACCTATTACACCATTGAAAAAACAACAACGCAACATTAGGAATTAGTGACAGACTCGGTGGACGCACTTGAGTGTGGACCGTATGAAAAAATGATAGTTGAAAATAAAGCTTACTGTTCTGTTTGTCCTTATTCGCGAGCCTTCGATCCAATACCTTTTGCACAACAAAAGTTGAAAAAGCGAGCATAATTGCGTATAGTTTTTCACCACGACAATCTTCGAAATAACTCTTGCGTAAAGTGATTCGGCCGGGAAGACACTGTTTGATTCGTAGTTCATCGAGCCATCGATACGCGATTGTGCGGTATTCGCGCGACTGTCGCCAGTAGTCAGTATCGCTCAATGGCCAGCATTTCGCAAATTCAGTTGCTGACCGTGTCGCATCAAGTTTGTGGAATAAAAAATGGCTCGTTGCTTCGAAAGCTTTGTTGTTGTTGGCGTGTGTAAACATGCGCTCATCAAACACGATCTTGCGAAAGACACCGGTGTTGAATTTTTCAGGTACGAAACCAAGGAGTTGAAGATTGGTGGTGAACAGTGTTGCAGCATTGCTGTTCGTTGTCTCCATGCTTGCTTGCTTGCTTGCTTGTGGTGAGAGCTGTGATCTTGATTGACTGCGCTTTGGTTTGGTATAGAGAACAATAAAAAAAGCCGCGCGACGCAACAATGCGAACTTTGAATTTTATTTTGCGGAGACGATAAGAAGAAACTCAAAATCCCCACGAAGATCAAAGTATAGGCTAAACCATCATTGATGGTCTAACTTACGCTTGATATGTTCTTCAAGCTCCAGCTGTATGCTAAAATTCATTTGGAAACTTGGTGGTGCTGCTGCGACATTGATTCGCAAAGAAAAGGCGTTTATATATATGATGTCACTTGCTCTCCATGCAACCGTTTGATATACCCCTTATATTCTTTTTTCGAAGAAAAATATCAATTTCTCAACGGTAGCTATACTGTTGTTGTACCCGCTGAATTTGACGAAAAGAAACGCGAGTATGTAAAACACGATCTAAACATAGGCTGGGCGATGGTTAAGCAGAACTCGCGCAAAACCGGCAAGAAAGAAGACAAGGCTGACGGCAAGACGCGTCGAATCGGCAAGAAGTGCGCTGGTTTTGTAACCTGCATAAACGAAATTGCGACTTCAACGATGGTGTGATCAGCCCTGCCGTGAAACCAGCTGCTCTTGACAACCAACTCAAAAAAGGGTGCAGTGGATGCGGGCATCTCTGAAGACGTGTTCTGCCAAAGTGCACCTCTACTTTGCAGATGGTGATAAGTGCACAATGGTGCATGAAGGATCCCATTCGCATGGAAATATCTTGGGAAGCATCTTTCTCAAGAAAAGAAGGCTGCGTTGCTCGAGTTGTCCCGCGACGCTCCTTCTTTGAAGCCATCAGAGTTGAAGAACGGGACGAACAAGAGAACAGGCAAAGTCACCAAGGCTGGCGCCGAGATTGACCTTCTTTTGGGCTCATTGGATAGATGCGGTTATCATTTGGCAGTCGCGAAGGAGACCGCCAACGGTGGAAAAAAATCAAAGAACGATATGTTTGCAGAATTCCATGAGTTGGAGGATGCATACCCGGACTACGTTGTCAGCTCGGGCGTCTCCAAATCTGGCTTTATCATATCCTATTGAGCACCCGAAATGGAAAACTTCGTCGATTTCGTCAACTTCCCTGTTCTGACCGATGTTACGTTCAAAGTTTTTGCCAATGGTTATTACCTCTGCTCTTCGGTAGTGTACTTCCTCCAGACTCATCAACATGCATTGATTTTTCAAGCAGTTTTAGGAGCCATTTCGACGTGGTACTTCGAACAGTACTTCCTCGTGTTTTTTAACACTTACAAGGTTGATTTTTTGTCTTCAAATTATGAATTCTTGGGCATGATTATGAACTTCTCTCTTGCACAGAGAAATGGTTTTCTACGCGCATATAGGATTTACACTGCTGGTCGAACTGACGGACTTGAGTACCTTAAAGGATGCTTCATACACTGGATGCAGTCCGTTCAACGCATCAGTAGTAGTCACGACATCATTCCTCCTGCTTAACGCAACGCCTTTCTTCAACAAATTCATACTCTGCGTTGCATCTCATCTACTGACATTTTCGAATCGACCAAGCAAGTGCTCCTCGCTGATTTTCCACTGTAGTTGACTCGATGGCTTGAATGGTGGTGCAATCACGAAGTTAGCAGTATGATATTTGCGCACAAAACAGCTATGAAATCAACTTTACGTGATCATCTAGTTCGAACAACAAATGGAATCGAGTCTTTTCATGCCAAAATATATACTGCAACTAAAACAAAGCAACCGCTTTTGAATGGAATGCTTCAAATGTTTCAATTGATGAAAGTTTGTGCATTGGATCTGATCAACTATCGTCTGTCATCTGGCCAGTTGCTGCCAAATTACAATCGAACAGTGTCAATAAGACAGAAAAATAAACAAGAGTATATATAAATGACGGTCGTGCACCAGATACCACAAAATTATTACTGGATTCACCTGACGTCGACAATACATACCGAACCTCCAACCAAAAAAAATAGATCCATCAAGTTGAGTGAAAACCGAATCACAGTCCAGTCTGAACAATTGCCACAGCATTTCCATCATTTCCTCTGGCTTGCGGCTTGAGATGCTGTGTCCCTCAGAGATGCTGTGTCCCTCAGAGATGCTGTGTCCCTCAAAGATATGTTCCAGGAAACACAGTTCTCACCATTGCAACCGGAAGACCCATTAATTGCTGAAGAACTACAGCGACTAGAGCAAGAGCATGTCGATGATGACGTATCGGCCGAAGAAGGCAACACGAACAACAGCATCAGCAACAGCATCGTCGACGACAACGTCAGCAACAACAATAACGACAACACACTTTCTAGCAACGGGACAGGACCAAAACCTATCTCTGACGAAGAAATAGAGCAGCTACTGATGTCGTTGGTTAGCGAAAATGAACTGTCAGAAAACAATGATCGGTACGAGATACAGCATATACCGTCATCGCAAGGTTATAATTTATCGCTGAATCCGAACAAAGAGATGCCCTGTTATATTGATGCAGTCGTGGAGACATTCTGGCACTCGTTATTACCGTATATTGCTCGCTTCAATCCTATTACTTTTACGGAGCCATCAAACGACGACATCTTTGCACTGACTTTACACGAAACTTTTATGAACTGTCAGTCCGGCGATCGTAACCGAAGCTTTGCAGCATCCAGAAGAATGCGAAACTTTGTCTGTGGCCTTAAAGTGGAAGAATATGACGACCGGTACACTGGACTTGCGAGGGAAGCCAGACTAGAGTTTCGATTTAGAAGAGGTGGCGATGGTGACTATCTCAGCAATATTTTGGAAGATTACTTAAAACATATGCCCAATACGTTCATTCAAAACTTCGTCTTTGAGATGGAACGAATCAACGCCTGTAGCGTGAACGACGGACATCGCCATTTGCTTGGTGCCAAAACCACAAAAATGTGATAACTTAAGCTCACTATTAATCTACTTAGTTGACAGAGATGTCGACTAATACGGCCTTGATGCATCCACCGATAATTTCTCAAAGCGATATGGGATCTCATCATTGACCGCTCGACAAACGAAAAATGTGACTATCGCAAAAAACCAGCTATCGAGTACAATTGGATTACGTCGAATTCGCCTTTGTTCCTACTGCTGGTAGATATTACCGATCGTGTCAAGATTCCTGATAGTTTCCATTTTCAATATGGAGGTAGAGTAGAGTACTCGCTGCATGCCATTATGTCCTCAACTCGTCGCACTGGTCTCCACTGCAAAGGCACTGCCATCATCCCACACCACGACGAATTTCTTGCAGTCCTTGATTATTTTACAAAACATGGCATCATCATTTTGCACGAAAACGTAACGAGCGAGGATAAAGAAAAAGCATTTGCTCAGATTAAACACCCACTTGTTGCTTGCTATATGAAGGTTACCCGGGTGATTGATGTCCAGGGTAGAGCAATACTTGATGATGATGACTTCGAAACAGAAAGGGAACTGCCACCAGCTCATACTACCATTCTTTACAGATAGACACTTATTTTACATCCATCATTTTTTTTATCGTTGTTTTTTTTATACTCTCTCTCTCTATAGTTACATATGCATATATGTATTATACGAGTTACATTATATACTACAAGACAAATACAACCCTGTTAGCGCATATTACATTTCATGCCAATAATTTTTTATAGTTCACTGGCAAGCCAGTAGAATTTTATTGGCCACATGCAAATATGCAACAGGCAAAGAAATCTATAAGCACTAAAAGGAAGGAAAAGTGAAAAAAACTAAATAGCTGTGTGCTGTTCTGTTCTGTTTGCTTGTGTTTGTGTTTTTATTTTGTTTTCTATGTTTTTTTTTGTGTTTGTATGCTTGTGCTGCTTTCTCTTCTCGGAATAAAGAGGGAAGGAAAAATGGAGGGGTATCAAAAGAGATCAAGCAGGAGGCGGTGATAAAAGAGACTCTTCCTTGCGGAAAGTAAGAAGAGAGTATGTGTAGAGGAAATTAGTGGGGGAGAAGGGAACGTTTGAAAATACAGAAAGCCAGTGTGCTCGCCAGATACCAACCAGGATGCCGGTGAGGAGCTGAATCGGAGAAAGCCAAGACCGACGAAGGCTCCAACGAGGTAACACCAGGGAGAAGATAGCGTCGAAAATCATTGTGCGGTGTACGGGTAAAAGAACACAGTCTTGGATAACACTCTGCCAGACACGCCACTTGGCGGGGCAGTCCAGTAGAAAATGTTCTTGAGTGTCGAGAGCGGTTGTGCAGATTTCGCATTCAGAAGAAAAACGGTCGGGCAGAATCCGATGTAAATTGGCATGACAGGAGATTTTGTGATGTAGAACACGCCACCAGATGGTCCGTGCGAGGGGTAGAATACGGGCACGCCAAAAGGATTTCCATTGTTGCGGTGAAAACGAAGGATAGTTTGTATCAGCAATCGCAGACTGAATGTCGGGCAATTGGCGTTGTAGCCGAAATGCTTGGGTACTACAAGAGGCCAAGGGCGTATCGTTGATAGCGAAGCGATCGTAGAAAGGTGTGAGATCAACGGACCCCAAATACGATCCAGCATCGGAAAGAACTGGGACACCAGGTAAAAGCGCGCGGTAAAGAAACAAAGTAATGAGTGCTTTGCCAGAGTCCAGAGCACGAAAAAGGTGAGAAATTGAATTACGACCCGTTGTGATCTCATCGTGGGTACGTCGACGAAGCCGGTTAGGCGAGCAGTCTAATAGGTACGCGTCAGAGACACGCAAGGTAGCAAGAACCTTTTTCGGTGTAAAAGAACCAGGTGTGGATTCTTGTGTGACAAAGGACAGAGGCAGACAAAGACACGTGGCCAATGACGGATCAGACTTCAATTCATCAGGAACGAGCGAGTCGACGGCACCAAAAAGAGGCGATAGGGTTGGAAAAGACCGGAATGCTGGTGAGCGCAGTGGCGGGAAAAGGAAGTGAAGCAGTGGATCAATACAATTTGAGAGAAAAATAAACATATAAGAGAGAAAAGATGTAAGAGAAGAAAGGGTAGATTGTTGATCAAGAAGATGAGAAGAACCCTTCAGAATGGGATACGGGAGTCCATCACTACCAGGACTACTGAGATGGGGAACCCGGCGTGCACCCAAGCAAATGTCTTCCAGAGTGAACGCCGCCATGAGGTGAGACTGTATATTGGGGTCGTTGAGGGTAGCACATGGTACCACGCGCAATAACTGATGAATGGCATCATTATCAATGGGTTCCGGAGAGTATAGCTTTTGATAATGATGGCGAGCAGCATCAGTCATGGAAGTAGGACGACTGCACAATGACACCATTACAGAGATAGGAACCTGGTGAAAGCTGTCAAATCTGTCTCTATGGTGAGTAAGCACTTCAAAGAAAAGTAACCGTCTTTATATTTTATAGTTATCCCTGATTAGGTCATCAATTGACACTACGTAGTTGTTACTGGTAGCAAAACAGAATTGCTTGGTTTGTTAAGGGGTAAAAGTGTTGCAATTTATTTCAGTCTTCTTAGGTATTTTCAAATGGTCGTTTGTTACTAAAAGCATAGTTAGTAGACAGTTGTTGTCATAACTCCATTATTGTTTGATTTCTGACATACACACAATGAGAGACTGTGCTGTTACGAGGAACTGTAAGAGCATCGAGACACTCGTGCATTATCCATCTAATCTGTAATGTATGTACCACAATATGATGATGGGGGAGGAGGGGCATGCGACGTGTCCCAGATAAGCTCATTGTTAACGCTGTATATAATACACATCGAAACCTACAATGTGCCTTGTTTCAAAACATTCATGCAACAAGTATCAGATGCTTATCTTTTTTATACTTCTGACTGTTCTTCTAGCTTCTTTTTGCTGTCAAACGTCATGGTAGGATGATGCCAAACCATGGGGTATATGGAAGGTGCTGTATACATAGGGCGGGGGGGGGGGAAAGAAGCTGAGACGGGATGTATATAGTATCGTAGTATTGTGGTTCAGTTCCTTATCGTTGGCCATGTAAATCTTATTACCAGGTAGCTATAACATGATCGACTACGCCACGCACGGTAATGGAATAGCGAGCGCACAATCGGTGTATTTCCTCCCCAAGAAACAAGACTTCAACCCCTTCATTTCCCGATTGCGTTTCAAGATGCTTGAGCACATACAAACAAAGGACGTCTTGATTTTTTCATCACATTATGCTGTTCTAGCTGAGGTGTAGAATGAAAGGAATCAGCGCTCGTTCATGATGCAGCTCGTGTCACCTTGTTTCTTCGGAGCTGCCAGGTTAAGCTCAAGAGCGACAGGACGGACCACACCACCACGTACAAGCATCCACAAGCCTTAGGAGCAAAAGAAAGGACATACTTTAACCAGTAACTCTTTTTTCTTTCACTCTCTTTTTCCTGCTCTCTCTTCTTTTTCTTTCTGTCCTTTTTCTTGGCAGCTCTTTTCCGTTTACTGTACCTATCTCATATCGCTTGCAGCAGCAAGGAAGAAGGAAATAAGATGACGCCACAGCAAGACGACGGCAAAACGATTGTTGCGGACGAACGAACGCCACTTGTATCCAACGCCAGCACGATTCGAGGAAGCTCCATTTCGCCGTCTCTTTCGACATGTACCAACATTACGGGTAAAGGCAGCCATGTAGCACGGTCGACGAAAAGAAAGCTTTGGGCTGCTGTCACACTGGCTGTTATGTTCTTTGCTACCGAGTTGGTAGCGGGTTATTTCGCAAACTCGCTAGGTAAAGTACGATAAAATAAGAATAATGATAGCAGTGGTATTATTTTATATACGTGACCCTTTAATGTTTCCGGTTCATACCATATTTGCTCATATTAACTTGTGGATGGGGCCACAAACAACCCTTTTATTGCTGGATATGCTATTGTATATTTTAGCATTGATGTCCGATGCTTTCCACTTACTCTCTGACGTTGCAAGCTTCATTGTGGCATTGGGCGCTATCTATTTGGCCGAACGACCTCCCACACATCGTAAGTTTTTTTTTTCTTCTTTCAGCGCGATCTACTCAGGAACATATGATACATATATATTTTTTGGAGACGGCCGGTGCCGAAATTGTACAGGGAGACAGTTGAGTTGAGAGCGGTTCTTGACTAAGAGAGAAAGCACACCTAAAAAAAGTATTTTTTTTCTTTTCTAAACATGTGTAAGGTCATACATATGGTTTTCACCGCGCCGAAGTGATTGCCGCCGTGGTATCTGTCATGACCATCTGGATTCTGACAGCATTTCTTGTCCATGAAGCGATCCAGCGGATCAGGCATCCACGAGAAATCAATGCTCGTCTGGTAAAGTAGCTACTGCATTAGCACCTTTAACAGTTGGCATGCAAATGCAGCACATAGCTCATTGAATGAAACATGCAACTCTTTTTATGAACTGTAGATGTGTATTACTGCGCTTATTGGAGTGGTCGTAAATCTAGTGTTTGTATATGCGAGTCTTGTGTATTTATTTACTGCGTGCGCATGATCACTAATGATTATTTCTTTTCTAGCCTTGCATTCATCTTGGGTGGCCATCACCACCATCATCATCATCACGACCACCATGACCACCACGATGTTGAAGAGGACCACGGTCATCATAAGCATCAACACAAGGTATGTGTACTACATAAACAACAGCACCCACATAATCGATAGAATAACGTGAAGATAAGATGATGCCAACGTTACTTATTCTTTCTCAATGCATGATGTATCACATATGAAAAAGGATACAAACATCAATTTGCGTGCGGCAACGCTTCATGTTCTAGGTGATCTCTTGGCTGCCGTGGGTTCGTTGCACATATCTTTATATATCCGCAAGCCACATATATTAATAATTTGTAAACAGTACGACATATCATCTAATCTGTGTACCACCTCCTTGTTATTCTGTAGGCGTGTTGATCTCATCCATCGTTCTTCTGTTCAAGCCAGAGTATACCATTGTGGATCCCATCTGCACGTTTGTCTTTGCCATCCTCGTCTTGTTCACGACCTATCACTTGATCCAGGATTCAGTTGGTGTGTTGATGGAAGGCACACCAAGCCATATCCACCCTGAAACCATTTCCAAGTCGTTAATGTCAACTCCAGGCGTCATTGCTGTACACGACCTCCACGTATGGACATTGTCACCGGGCAAGATCGCGTTGACGGCACACATTGTGATTTCGCAAAAAATGGAGTTCGATTATGACGACATACTTGCCAAAAGCCAGCGCATCATTTGCGACGAGTTTAGCGTGCACCATTCGACGCTACAGATTGAATCAGAACAAGCTCGTTTTACGAGCCATTGTCGACCTGAACTTTGCGCTTCCCGAGGATAAAACAGCATTGAAGAAAAGAAGAGAATATGGTGGCTTTTGGATGTACGGCATATTAAGCGTTTGTGCCGACAGCAGAGCTTGACAACAACAAAAAAAAAAGAACATGATGATGATGTATACTTTTGCCTTTTTCTTAGATGTTATTATTATACACTATGTAGGGTAGTGCCTTTCTAATGTTTTCCCATCCTCTTCCAATAGTCCCCCACCACCAGCAAACCAGCAACCAAAATCACCCAGCTAGCAAGCTATCATACATCATATAACCTTCTTCATTACTACAAGAAAAATAACCCCAAGCACATATTTACATCCTGTTCTATATATAGCCGCTACATTGTACACTACTATCCGCAATGACTAAAAAAGAAAATCTTCGCTTTTAAGTTTCTAAATTCTGTAACATAGAGTGTGTGTGTGTGAGCCAGTAGGTTGTTTACTCATTAGGCTAAACGCAGCGATTTGAATTCTCTGCGCACGGGCATGGAGTGAGACCAAATTTGGAACGTCATAGTAAAAGAAACGAGCGGAAGGTGGGGGTTTGGCGAAAGGGGACTGCAGAGAGTGATTGAAATGAACTCAGCATTACGTACGGATACGCCAATTGGTTTTAAAAGACGTCGATCCTGAATTCCATTCCGAGGAAGTGTGGAGCGGCACAAAGTATCCGTGCACCAATGAGACAAACTCCTTCGAGACGGGAAGCCATGAACCTTTTTGTGTGCGGGAAACTTAGATAGCATGTGAACCAGGCTTCCCCAATTTATATAAAGTTCTCCACAATTTTACGCCTTTTCCTTCCTCCAATTCTCCTTTTTCGCTCGTCGCAACAACCTTCCTTGTTACCAACTTTCTATTCCCTTCTTTCACAACACAATCACAACCTTTCTTAGCAAACTACATATGCCTCACAAACTCGTTGGCGCCATCGATCAGGGCACGACCTCTACGCGATTTGTCGTTTTTGACGAATACGGATCTATAGTAACGCTCCATCAAATCCAGTCAGTGCAGCACTATCCGCACCCAGGGTAAATAATCCCCATCTCATTCTCTTCCTTATCAACCCAGTCAACACAACACTTTGATAATATTAACACCACCAATGTACGTGTATCATAGATGGGTAGAACAAGATCCTTTTGAGCTCTTGGACTCTGCCAAGGCATGCATGGAACATGCCGTACGCAAGCTCAACGCTCTTGGCTACTCGGCATCCGACATCCAATCGATCGGTATCACCAATCAGCGCGAAACAGTCCTTGTCTGGGACAAGCTCACAGGTCAACCCATTTACCCGGCTATTATCTGGAGCGACGGCCGCACAGCAGATACAGTACAAAAGCTTGCCTCGTCAAGTGACAAGGGCAAGCTTGCATTGCAACACATTTGTGGTTTACCCCTGACAACGTACTTTTCAGCTGTCAAATTACGGTGGCTGCTAGATAACATTCCTGAGGTGGCAGAAGCCAAAGAACAGGGTCGTCTGCAGTTTGGCACCCTGGATACCTGGCTCATCTATGTAAGTTTCAAACATCTTCCCCCATATTATTATACAAGAAATAACTTTTACCCGAGAATTTTTTATCCTCCACAAGTTTTGCTGATGACGAATAATCTCTTTTATTTCCGTATTTAAAGAATCTGACTGGCGGAGTCGATGCAGGCGTCGTAGTTACAGATGTGACCAATGCGAGCCGTACCATGCTAATGGATATCCACACTCTGCAATGGAGCGAAGAAGCACTGCAGTAAGTTATGCACTTTGGTTGCATTAAATACAATGTTAAAATCGAACCTCACGTGCTGATTTTCCCATGTCACTCTTATTTAGATTTTTTGGTGTCGAGAACTTGCACCTGCCCAAACTCGTATCTTCATCTGAAATCTATGGGAACATTGCCAGCGGCGCACTGGAAGGTATTCCTATCGCCGGCTGTCTTGGCGACCAGCAAGCAGCCCTTGTAGGCCAGAAATGCTTCAAGCGCGGCGATGCCAAAAACACATACGGCACCGGCTGCTTCATGCTCTTCAACACCGGCAACAAGCCCGTCATATCACAGCATGGTCTGCTCTCGACTGTTGCATACCAATTTGGCCAAAACTCGACTCCATCCTACGCCCTTGAAGGATCTGTCGCAGTGGCAGGCTCCTCCATCAGCTGGCTGCGCGATAATCTCAAACTGATCAACTCTGTCGACCAACTGAACGAACTTGCCGCTGAAGTACAAGACACTGCCGGTGTGTATTTCGTCACTGCATTCGCCGGTCTGTTTGCACCTTACTGGCGTGACGATGCACGCGGCACCATCTGTGGTTTGACCCAGTTTACAACACTGCATCATATTGCTCGTGCTACATTGGAGGCCGTGTGCTACCAGTCGCGTGCTATTCTGGATGCCATGAACAAGGAGAGCAACACGCCCCTGCGATCGCTCAAGGTCGACGGCGGTATCTCCAACTCGGACCTCTGCATGCAGATCCAATCTGATATCCTCGGCATCAACGTCGATCGTCCCAGTATGCGCGAGTCCACTGCTCTGGGCTCGGCCATCGCTGCTGGTTTGGCCGTTGGCGTATGGGGGTCTATCGAGGAGTTGGAACACGTCAACAACAAGGACCGAACTACTTTCGAACCACAGATCGATAGTGAGAAACGTGGCAAAATGTACGATGGCTGGCAAGAAGCTGTCAAGCGCTCGTTTGGCTGGACTTCTGCTGTCTAAATTATTTCATATCAAACGACAACCTCCTCATATATCCCTCGCTCGCCTTCTCTACCTTTCATAAACATCATCTACCACTAGTATATCCCACCCGTGCTCCCACGGCACGCGTTTTTAACACAGCACCCCTTGCACTAACCATCTTGTATCATACAACTCTCTCCATCCTTGCTTTCTGCCTGTACATGATTTCTTTCTCTATTTTAACTACTATACATCGTTAATAATATATACTTTTTGCTATTCCACTTCGTTTGTCGTTATCTTTTGATTGTTTTTTTATTGGTAGTACTCGTTTCTTTTTACATATCATATTTGTCCCACATAAAAACGTTAATCTATTTCTTGTCCTTGTCGCCATCATTGACGTCACGGAACTCGCCTTCTGAGGTTTTGTTACCGCTGTCAGCACCACCAGCATTACCGCCAGCATCATCGCCGCCACCGGCTTGGGCAGCCCGTTGCTTGTAAACCATTTCGAATAGCTTCAAGCTGCTCTGCTGCAACTCATCGATCTTGGCCTTCAACTCAGTAGATTGTACAGCAGCATCACCGGACTGTGCCTTGGCTGCTTCTTCACGCAAAGCTTGCAATTGTGTTCTAAGCTTCTCGGCCTCGGCACTGTCCAATTGGTCCTTGAAATCGTTCAAGGCCTTTTCGGTATCGGAAACCACAGAGTCGGCACGGTTGGCCATTTCAATAGAGTCACGGCGTTGACGATCTTGCTCGGCGTTCATCTCGGCTTGCTTGACCATGGATTCAATTTCATCTTCGGACAGACCCGAGGACGCAGCAATGGTCACTGATAATAATCATGATACATAGTTTACGTTTAAGTGTTTCCGTTTAAAGAAATGGTTTTGAAAGGGAGAATATGTGGTAGAGGTCAACTTACTGGATTGATCCTTGCCGGTGGCCTTATCCTTGGCACTAACGTTGACGATACCATCAGCATCAATATCGAATTCGACGGAGATTTGAGGGACACCACGAGGTGCAGGTGGAATGCCCGTCTAAGACATAGAAAACAAAGGTCAAACATCTTTAGTTTCCGCGAACCGCTTCTCTCTCTTTATACAGAAATCATCATTTACCAGTTGGAAGTTGCCGAGCATCTTGTTGTCACGGACAAGCTCGCGTTCACCTTGGTAAACCTTGATATCGACAGCGTTTTGACCGTCAGCGGCAGTGGAGAAGACTTGGGCCTTCTTGGTAGGAATAGTCGTGTTACGGTTAATCAAACGCGTGAAAACGCCACCCAAAGTCTCGATACCAAGTGACAAGGGTGTCACATCCAAAAGCAACAAATCGGTGACACTGCCTGCCAACACACCGCCTTGAATAGCTGCACCCATGGCAACAGCTATAAAGAGCACAAAGGTAAGGAGGTGGGGAGATTAGTAACAATAGTAATTGACTTGATTAAACAGGAAATTGAGATTACCTTCGTCAGGGTTGACACTCTTGGTAGCATCACGGCCAAAGAGAGACCTTACGGATTCTTGTACCTTGGGCATACGCGACATACCACCCACGAGAATGACCTCACCGATATCGCTTGATGCAACACCTGCGTCGCGCAAGGCCTTCTTGCATGGTTCGACCGTACGGTCTACCAGAGGCTTGACCATGGATTCAAACTTGGAGCGTGTCAGCTTGTAGTTGATGTGTTTGGGACCCGTGGCATCAGCTGTAATGAAGGGCAAATTGATTTCGGTCTGGACAGTGGAGGACAGTTCAATCTTGGCCTTTTCTGCAGCCTCACGGATACGCTGGACGGCCATACGGTCACTGCCCAGGTCGATGTTCGACTAAATGCAATCAATCATTTGTATCAGCATCAAAAAACAAGAAGAAGGAAAAAGGTTCAAAAAGCAAACAAAAAAAATAAAATAAACGGAATTGACGGGTTTTACCTCCTTCTTGAACTCATCGATCATCCATCGCACCAACAAGATATCGAAATCTTCACCACCAAGATGTGTATCACCGTTGGTACTTTTGACCTCAAACACACCGGACTGGATCTCCAAGATGGAAATATCAAAAGTACCACCACCCAAATCAAACACGGCCACGGCCTTGTCGCCGACCTTGTCGCGATCCAAGCCATATGCCAATGCAGCAGCTGTGGGCTCGTTGATGACACGCAATACATTCAGCCCGGCAATGGTACCGGCATCCTTGGTTGCTTGACGCTGGGAATCGTTGAAATAGGCCGGCACAGTGACGACGCCGTTCTGGACTTTCTTGCCAAGGTAGTTTTCGGCTGTTTCTTTCATCTTGCCCACCACGAAGCCACCAATCTGGGCAGGACTGTATTTCTGGCCACGGGCTTCTACCCAGGCATCGCCGTTCGTGTGTGCCACGATCTTGTATGGGACGGCCTGGATGTCGCGCTGCACTTCGTCATCAGTGAATCGTCGGCCAATCAATCGCTTGGTGGCAAACAATGTGTTTTCTGGGTTGACTACGGCCTACACAGATAACGATTATTTTATGCCACAAATTGTAAGTCCGGCTGCTTTACTGGGTGTGTTTTGCGTGTATGCGTTGCATGTGGGGAAAAGCGCGTATGTGTCATGTATGGTTCGTTGTGCTGTGGAATCTTGGTGCCACAGAGAAGAATAAGGACTCTTTTCTTACCTGTCGTTTTGCTGGTAAGCCGACTAGACGTTCACCGTCTTTTGTAAAGGCCACAACGGATGGAGTAGTACGTCCGCCCTCTGAATTCTCAATCACGCGAGGGGTTTTGCCCTCCATGACAGAGACACAGCTGTTGGTCGTACCAAGGTCGATGCCAATTACCTGGCCTTGCACTTTTTGACTGTGGCATCATTATTGTCACGAGATGACAAGTGAATACAGAGTATCTTCATGAAGCGAAAGCGAAATAGAGTCTTTGTGTTTACCTTGCTGCCCGCAGAGGGAACCCTGTGCACTAATGGTTGGAGGGAAAGCACTCAGTTGGCAACTGCGTATAATGTTATATACGAAACTACTATCGAGACATACCTTGTTCCAGTGGGACACTCCCTTGATACCTAAATTACGGCTGGCGACGCTGTACATTTTTTTCTTCTTATTCTTTTGTGCTGGGTGAGGAGGTACGCTGTGTGGCTAAGGGTGCAACAATAAGAAAGAAAAAGAGAGAGAGAGAGAGAGAGAAAAAAAAATAAACGACGCGCGGGGCATTTTTTTTTTTTTTTGCTTGTGCCAAATGCATGAAAAAGTCACACAGGCTATACCCGTCTTGGTAAAACAATTCTATAGCGTGTGTTTGTGTGTGTATCTAAAACTGTGAGCTCATCGCTGCTCTCCCTTTTAAAGCACTCGTCGCCTTTTTCCATTACTCTTCTCTTCCCACAACAATCCAAAGACCATGGAGCTCAAAGGTTCTTGCCACTGTGAAAAAGTCAAATTTTCTGTCACTTCGCATACTCCTTGCCCAGTAAGTCTTCTTTCTCCGCTTCATTTTACTAGTTATCTTCGTTTTCTAATTGCGCCAAACTAGTTTATGCGCTGCTACTGGTAAAAAGTGTCCCCCAGATGGATTGACGAGGGAGAACCTGTAGTATTTACAAATATGACATCTATTAGCTCGATTTGTCGCAAATGTCAAGGCGGCGGTGGTTTTGCCATCAACATTATGGGCTTGGTAGGTTTTGTACTTGTGGTATGACCACACACACACACACACATCTATGAGTTTGAACAGAGACGACTGACTGTGTACTGCGGTGCCGTCATTAGCACAAAACCCTCAAGGTGGAGCAGGGATCGGAATATCTCAAGTAAGGCATATGGATAAACCATTACTCCCCCTCCTCCCTGTTATATATAACAGTGCCATTATACTGCGACCGTACTCACCCATAAGGCATCACGTACAGAGGATATCGTGCTTTGCGTGACAAGAAGAGTGGAGAGCTTTGGTAAAGTCTTTTCTCGTGCTACAAAAAAGAGAACCATAAGAAAACTAAAAGAGACGAACGTTGTTGTTTATTGTGTAGTGGCAATATACGATACTTTTGCAGTGAATGTGGCAAGTCTATATATCTACCGAATGACTCTCACCAAGCTTCCTTTTGTTTATGTACACAGGATTGATTGATCAATATCTTAGGTTGCCACCTTTACGCGTACTGTGAGGAATATGCGGACCTTGTTTACCCGATGGCCTGTGCCATCGATACACCATTGCCAGCCGTGGACTACGACGACATCTATCACATCATGTTGAACAAGGATTCCAAGGCAAACTGGGCTATTGCTCCTGAACCCAATCCAAAGAAGCATGCGTATAGCGAGTATCCCGATATTTCATTGGAGGAATGGCACAAACACAACAACCGTCTTGCTTAATTGGAAAACAATTGTTGAATAAAAAGAATTACTCTTATGGTAAACTCTGTTGTAGGGAAGAACTTCCTGAAGAAAGGAAAATGCAGGTTCTGAGGATGATATGAAAAGTGCTCTGTGTGTGAAAACAAGAGGATGAGTGGTTCATGTTGGCTTGTAGTGTGAGTGTCTGGTTGCTTATAGGAGAATGGAAAAGTGTGATGGATATGAGTAATGATGCTTGTTTGTGTACAAATGTGAGGTGTTTGCTTTTGCTTTGTGTGCGTGTATTGATTTGTGATGATGTAAAGAAAGTGTTTGTAATGTGCATGCGATGTGTTGTATGTGTGAGGAGAATGAGTTATGCTGTAAGTGTTGTGTGCGTATGTCTTGCACGCAACATGGATTAAATTACAAGGCACCCATGCTCGTTACGTCCTTCATTGATTCGCGCTCGTGTTCATCCAGCAGGTATCCTTTCTCGCCATTCCATGACAAGTATCCACCTTGCGCGCGCTCATCCCTGACCTCGCCGAGAACCAAAAGCTGGTACTGTTTGTTTTTAGCAATGGCCTTTGCATCGACGCGAAACGGCCGGAGAAGATTTGCTGGAAGATGCGTCCGAGGCTTCCAATTGGTCAATAGACGAGATGCAAATGACGGTGACTTTGTTGATGAAGAAGAAGAAGAAGAGGAAGGTGCAGGCTTATCCTCTATGGATATATCAGAATCATCCGAATCGCCATTTTGAGAGGATGAAAAGGCAGATTCATCAAAATCGTCTTCTGGCTCTGTTCTTGATCGATACGACCGTAACATGCGACGGCCCGGGTCAAACATGATCAAGTTGCGCTTGCCATCCTTTAGTAACTCTATGCCAATAACAGTACGACTGTGTCCAGAGTGTTGCAAATAGAGCGGCGGTCGATCGGTGATGTGTACGATTTTGCGTTTCCTGCTATCCTGGTTGTTTCTGTCATTGTTTTCGTTTTCGTCCTGTTGCTGTGTAGGTGCTGCGCTTTCAAAATAGGACTGAATCCAGTCGAACATGGCGTCATGTGTATTGTTGGGGCCAGAGGGTCGGTGGAAGTCGAGAATAGTGCAGCGTATGCCGAGATAGACGAGCATACAGTAAACCTCGGTTGTACCAATCCATTTACGCGTCTTGTACACTCGATTGCTCAACTGTTTTGCGCCCTGAGTATCAAATCCTTTTGGAAGCAAAACACTATCAGTGTTTATTCAACGACTCAAAAAAAAAAGATGATATAAACCTTGGTTCCATGCTTTTTCCAGCAAAAGTTGCAGTCCAGAAATATCAGCGACTTGGCGTAAGATGTAGTCACCAGCCTCCTGCTGGCGTTGCAGAAACGTCATCAGCATTTGGCAATTCCGGTAGCCACAGCCCCATCCCAGATCCATAAAGCCAGTGGCAATATGGTCAGTGTATGGGCTGCAGAGATATGCAGCCACCGTGTTGCCTTTCCGATTCATACTCGTGAACTGAGGCTCCAATCGCGGTATGACACCTGGCGTGTTTCGTTCCATATAAACCGCTACTGTCAGTCCAACATCACTTCATACACTGTGCAAAGCATAGCGCATCCACAATACCTGGTGTTCGGCTTTCTTCTTTAAGTGCAGACAGAATTTGCCATAACTCGTCGTCAGCATTAACATGAGCACGTGCATAATCTCTTCTTGGCGCTGTGTCCGTTGTTGTTGGTGTTGTTGAAGTAGTAGTAGAGCCATCCTCCTTCCCACTTTCTTCTTCTTCTTCTTCTTTTAATCGCTTTACACCTTTTTGCTGATATAGATCAGACTCGTATCCATCTTTTCGCTGCGAATTCGAAATAGTGTATGCGTATACATGTATATAGACAATATAGGAATAGGTTTTTTTTACCGTTCGTTACCTTCTTGGCACTGCAAAGGCTGTTGCTGGCCTACCTTTAATGCTGATATTCCTTGCAAGGGTTTACTGTTCTCTACTGTGGTTGCTGTCGTCGATGTCGTTGCCGTCGCCGTCGTTCGACGATCAGGATGACGAGCTTCCATGTGGTAAAGCTGCATTTCCTTAGGAACTAAGAAGTTAAAAAAAAAAGAGTTGTGTGTTAAAGGAAAAAAGGGGGTGAAAGAGAAGGTGTGGTAACCCAACGTCAGGCGTTCTTTTTTTAAATACGCAAAAAAAAAGGGTTTGACAGCAACAAAAAAAAATAGTAATAATAATATACACTGCTGGTTGCAACTCGGTACAGAACATGTCATTATCGTCGATTCGCCCAAGTGATCGGCCATTGGGGGTTTTTTCTTTTCGTCTTGTGAGCAAAAAGTTCAAAAAAGGTCGGAGACAGAGAGAGGGAGAGCAGGAGAAAATAGCCAAAAGAACAAAGGTATGATGGTGGGGCCTGATGACAGGAAAATATAAAGAGCGTGTATGTGTCTACTTATTTTCTTTGTCGTTATCGTCTGTCGTCGCAATAGTGTGTTGCAACATGTAATTAAGCATACACTACTGAGTTTTGATTTTTGGTTGCACCAACGTTTTTCTTTCTACACACAACCCTCCCCCTTGCAATTTTCCCTTTCTTTTTTTTTTCGATATAGCGTTTTCGTTTAGGGCTCATCGATAGTGTAGCGCTATATCAATATGAAGGTATATACAACACACGCGATGGAGCTTATTCTTATTCTTTGCACGCACTGGATCGTGTGCATTTGAGTGTCTACTTGCAATATATGACCGGGCATCACTGGCCTTTGTTGTTCCGGGGTTTGGATTCGGATGGAGAAAAGGGAAACAATGATCATTTACCCCACTACAATATGCATACTACAACACTCGGTCCGATGCGTCTGCTTCTAAATGCTGGGAATAACAGCTGTAGGAGGAGGATGCGTGTTTTATAAGAGATTATATAAAGGGCTACATGGTTGCAAAAAAGCTAATATAAATGGAAGAAATATTTAGAGAAGGATAGATTATCTACTATTTACTAATTAGAACCTTGGTTTGTATGGAATCTGTTCGCAAACGGGGAGCGCAGGGGGGGGGGAAGGGCATTTTTTGGTATAAATATGTATAAGGAGACTGTTTCAACAACATCGTCATCCATCGTAATAAACTGCTACTACTACCAAGGCTTCGTTTTTAACAAGCACAGAAGCTGCTTTCCTGCTTATCAGGAGCAGCCGTTTCGGTAAGATCCACCTTGGTCACTAAATAAATACACATATAATCATAAATAATCATGAGATTATGACCAGCCTTGTCGCAGCAGTGCTTAAATGGTGCTTACATTGTTCTTTGCTTTCTTCTGCCATCCCATTATCCATGCCTGGCAGTGCATGACCGATCTTTCGGAACAGTGATTTGACCTAGTAAGTAGCAACATGCTCGCGTGGGTATCCACCCCTGTTTCCTAGTTCTCCCTTTCACTCTATGTAGTGCATTCATATTCATACTTACGTTATATCCCACTTTGGCACTCGTTTCAATGAACATGATATTATACTCTCGTGCCTTTTTCTCCCCTTCTTCGACGCTAACACGTCTATACAATGGTACAAAGACAACGACAACAGCTTAAAAATTTCTGTTCAAGCGCTTCTACTTTAAACCTGCAGAGACACATACCGTTTATCATTTAAATCCGTCTTGTTGCCAACCAACACAATGATCACATCAGTTCCTCGTTCCGCTCGTACATCATCGATCCATTTCGTAGTATGCGCAAACGAGTTTCGATCTGGAAAAGACAGACCGAGAGAACGGGTCAAGTCCACAATTGTATATGAAACACCGTAAAGAGATAAGTATCATACTTACTGGTGATATCGTAGACAACAACGCAGACCGAGGAATCACGGATATAACTTGGGATCAACGACCGGAATCGTTCCTAAAAGTATAATTTGTTATGCATCAGATATCTCTCTTCCTGTGCATCTTCAATGATTTTCCCTATCATCCTTCGCCTCGTTGTCTTTTTTTTTCCAACAGACATCTGGCTCATTACCTGACCAGCAGTATCCCACAGTTGCAAGCGAATGGTTCGATCATCCAGGTACATCGTTTTTGATAAAAAGTCGATACCAATGGTAGCCTTTTTTTCGGATTCACATATGTTACATATATTGAGATTGAGATGACTCCATATGTTTAGCATGTTATACTCTTCCATTCGCATGTTCAACGCAAAAGAGAACAACAAACAAACAATTAAGCAAGTCGAAGGCCACTTCTCTTACCTGATATGTGTTGTCAAAGGTATCATACATAAATCGTGTAATAAGCGACGTCTTGCCGACTAAAAATAGTGGGTTGAGTTTTCACTTGGCTTCACTGGAAGTAGTTTGGTGGAATGAAGGGAGAACATCTCACTACTTCCCAATTGAGGAAGAGGAGAAGGAGTAGTTCCATCTCTCAATCTCGAAATAAAGCATGTTTTGGAAAAACGACATTTACCGCTTTGCTCTCCGAGAAACACGAGCTTAAACTTCTTTAAAGGATTGCCAAAGTCGTTATTGGACATTGTTGATTGGAAAGGAAAGGAAAGGTTTTGAGAAGAGAAAGGAACGGGCGGGTTCTGTTGTGGCACGGTAAAAAAAAAAGTTAAATTATCAGGCACACTGTTTAGGAGCTAATTGACCTGTACTACCTTTCCCAAGATTTTTTTGTTGTTTTGCATTCCAGACACATAGGACATACACGTTCACATGCGCGCTTGTATACAGGCCACGTAGGGAGAACAACAGTAACGGTCAATTTTTGATTACAAGAGAAAAAGAACTTTTTTCCATGCATATATTTTTTTAAAAAATCTTTCTATGACACCATAAAATTACACTCTATAGATTAGGAGTAAAGTATTTATGCGTCCCAGGACGAGTTGGCGGCGGGGGTGGGGACAACAGCATCATCAGCCCAGTCGGTGGGGGCAGCGCTCCAGTCAGCGGTGGCAGCGGCGGCGATGCCAGCAACACCTTCGTTGGCAGTACCCTCAACGGCCCAGTCACCGGAAACTTCCTGAGCAGCGGCATCAAAGTCGCCTTCCAAAGCGGCAGCAGCGGCAGCGGCTTCCTGCTCCTTCTCGGCCTCCTCGGGGTCGCGGTAGAAGAACATATCAACCATGACGTCCCAGGCGGTCTCGTAGTCCAAAGTGCCACGGAGACGGAGGACGGCACGGGCCAACAACCAGTAGATCAAACCAAGAGCGTGCTTACCCTTGTTGTTGGTGGGGACAGCAACGTCAACGAACTGCAACTGCGAGTCGGAGTCGGCAAGCGAGATGACGGGAATGTTGACGTACGAGGCTTCCTTGATGGCCTGGAAATCGGTGCGGGGATCAGTGGTGATGATCAAACGGGGCTCACGGAAGGAGCGGGTGTTGTAGTTAGTGAAGGTACCGGGGGTGAAACGACCGACGATAGCTTCAGCACCAATGTACTTGGCGAACTTCAAGGCAGCACGGTGACCGTAGGGACTGCAGAGAAAAAAAAATTGTATGATATTGGAGACGTTTGTGAGTAAATGACATCGCGTCTTTTTTGCTTCTTTCTTAATTTCTCAATGCAGAAATTATTTAATTACCGAGCCGAGACGACGCAAATGTCGGCAGGGTTCTCAATGGTCGCAATGACACGGGCAGCCAAGATGAGCTTCTCCCAGGTCTTGCCGAGGTTGAGGATGTGGATACCTGAAAGGTCAATTACTCATTAGGGTCATGTTCGCAACCAGTTACACAACCACAGCTTCTTTTTTAGAATATATAAACATACCGTCAGCACGGCGCTTGTAGACGTAGGGGGTCATACGGGTGGTGGCGTTCTTGGTACCAATGTGGCACTGAGCGCTCAACAAGAGCTGAACATCCTCCTCGGTGGGGCTAAGAACTGTAAGTATAAAAAGAGGGTCGAATCAGTGTTCCTGTTGCCGTGGTCATAGTTTTCTTTGTTGCTATGCGACTGTTGCTATGAAGAAAAACTTACTGGTGGGAAGCTTAGACATCTTATATCAAAGTAGCCTAATTATTACATTCGACAAATGATGTCAGTCGATCCATTCCTTCATCCATCCATCCATCCTTCCATCCATCGATATATCGAGCCATCCATTCGTGTATGTATCTCATCCACTGCATCTCGTATCATATACGTATCATGCACCTATCCATACTAAAGTTTCTACCCACACTGCTTAATGACACTTACGACACTGACGGTGCACAGAAAAAAAGGAAGGATTTCAGTATGGCGGCAGTGGTCTTCTTTTTGCTACTCCACCTCAGATCGTCGCGCCGCTCGACCCAAAGAAAACATATTTAACTTCCGCTTTCCATTGAAAACCAAACGTACCGCTACTGCTGTCGTTTTAGCAAGTATCGCCTTCTCGTCTGTAATGGGTGGATGGATAGCAAAAGGGGATACATCTTTGAAAATATAATTGACACAACTCTATTGTTGATCTGTGTTACAAACAGTAACGTGATCACTAGCCGGGATCTCAAGTGCTGATATAGGCCCTGATCACATTTTAATCTACATAGCACTATTAGGTCAAAAGTCTATATCTAGGAAACTTTTGCTCCCTATCATATAGTGTGACCCATATGTTTTTTACTGACTAAGCGGGCACGTTAATATACAGCAGGTCCAGACTTTTTGATAACAGTGACTGGCGACATGTTTATTACCTTTACACGAACAGGCCGCTTGCAGGTGTATGGATGAATAACGTTTTCGCCGAGGATGTTCGAAAGAACGGTGCTTTTCTAGGCTAGCCATGCTTTGCGCTTCATCCATGCTATTAAAGATTTTTGTGCTATAATCGATCCATTTCAATGCGGCTGTCAGAGCGATCAACCGGCAATTCACATGCGACGATATCTGCTTGGTCTACTGAGTTGTTGGCCCCGTCTCGCATTAAACCCATTCGCACATTGAACAAGTGATGTGATGTTGAGCATCGGTTTGTGGCGCTATTATGTTATTGTAGGATGCAGTATCCTCGACTTCTGCTAGTACGTGCATATTCAGATCGCCATTGGCCTTCACCTCAAATTGGATTTTTCTATCTTCGTAACAGTAATAGACTCCATACTGTCGTAATTGACAGCTGCAACGTACGTAACTAACAATATATAATATGCCAAAGTTGCTTTCGAGTTCCCAGGCCAAATATGTAAATGCATCGGATTCACAGGGAAAAACGTGGCACCAGGTAGGAGGGTCTGCAAACAGACAGATCTTTTTTTGACCAATGTCCTCATTCTTGGTTTGGTAAGTTGAACGCAGTCGCATGGTCGGTTTTGGTCAATTCTCTAAGGGTTGTTCTTTAATATCATCAGCTTCCATAAACTCAGGTTCAGAAAAGGCGTCCTCATTGCTGAATATTCATCGTAGGATCCATCATCGTAATCTTCTTCTTGAGTCCTAAAAGTCTCGGATATACATAAGTACAGATATGATAGGCGAAATCTTTAAAAACACCTGTTACTTATGACACAATATGCGTGCACACCGAACAGCTTACAGATGGGTTAGCCAATATAATGCGTAACCTTATAGTATTTTTGCGGGCGTTAAGAAAGCATATCGTAAGTGCATCTTTACTGAAGAGCATAAAACGACTGTCGTCAACTTCATTGATGCTAGTCTCTCTGCTACTGGTGCTGTTGAAGCGTATGAGCATTTATTGAAGCGATTTCATGATCTTAAAGTATCACGCAGCACTGTTAATAACTTTATGAGACGTGAGTGCAGCCTTTCGTTGAAGAAGGCATATTTTCATTATGTCTAGAGAAGCAGTCAAGCAAAGCTTGAAGAGAAGTATGATTGGGTTTGTAAATGGGAAAATACCGATATGAACTTTTTGACAAATTGCGTATTTCTTGACGAATCTGCTTTTGATATCAATTTGAGCGCTCCAGGGGCTTGGTCCAAAAAAGGTATGCGTGCCTTTATTACTACATGGCTGTGGAGCATTGTTGGCCAAATTCCTTTGTAAATTGCCGTGGCTAGTGGGAGAGATGTTTCAGTGACGTTCTCCTTGACCTTGGAAAAATGTTCACAGTGGGAAGCCATGTGCTTGGTTTTACCATACACTTCGACAGTATTGGTGATGATGACTTGTCCATTTCGAGTGTTCAGAAGAATGGAACCAGCAAACAACTTGGCAGTGGCATACTTGACTTGAGAGAAGAACAGCCAATCCTTGTTGATCATATCGGCTATGTTGTTGTTCAGTTCCACATATTCCCTTTGTTGAAGCAGATTGGTATAGGATGATGACACAATAATCGCTCCAATCCAGGAGCCGCAACAGTGGTGCATTTGGTACAAAGGCTGTCATTGTCTATGTCATAAAAAGGGCGCTTAACAGGCAAGATGGGTCGGATATAGAGGTGGTCCAGGAGTTTGGCAATAATGTGCTTATTAGTCAGGGCTGTTTCCTCGTTTCCATTAGCATCTACTAAGGCAAAAGGCAAGGGTGTCTTCTTTCTTTCATCCAACAATGCGCTATCTTGAGAGCATCCCCAGCAGTGGCTGTATCTGTAAAATAGCGAGATTTTTGACTACAGCCGTATCCAGTAAATAGAAGTGTAAATTAGTTGATCTCCTTTTGCAACACCGTTGACGGCAAATATACAGTCAGTTTGCCGGCGTGCTAAAAACTTTTCTTCTTCCTCCCTTTCTCTGCTATTTTTCTTCCATGAGTCCCAACAACAGTAACAGCAACAGCAACGATACGGAACTAATCAACAGCGGCCGAGGAAAGGGTTTCCATACAGCAGAAGATGAACAGCTATGTAATGCATGGTTGAATACGAGCATGTGTCCTGTCACATGCGTCGAATTGAAAGGAGAGGCATTTTGGATTGCTATCCACAAAAGTTTCTTGGAGCGCATGAAGGAGAGCGCAAAACTTGTTCTGGAAAGCACTGGAATTGAAGTTCACATCGCTGAACGTACTGTAAAGTCGGTCAAGGATCGTTGGACTTATATCCACCCTAGAGTTTCCAAGTACATTGGTTGCGTTGCTGAAGTGGAGAGTGGTTATAGAAGTGGCACAAATATAACTGACGAGGTGATTATCATAGTGTATACGCTGATATAGTTTTTATAGTAAACATGATCATATCATCAAGGTTATTAACATTAATGCAAATAACCCCTTATGAAGGTGGAAGCTGCCAAAGCACTGTATGAGAGATATTACAAGCAAGCTGGAATCTTAACCATTGCTATGCTCTCCTCAAGAATGAGCCAGAGTGGATGGATCTTGAGAAGAAGAAGAAGGATGAGGAAGGGTCGACGGCCAGAGTCAACAACGCAAAGAAGGGGGTTGCGAACCAAGGCTCGAGTGAGCGACCCATCGGGCGCAAACAAGCAAAAGCGCAACGTGGCGAGAAGCGTCAAGTCGAGGAAGATGAGTCCGAGTTGGTCGCCATTGAAAGCGAGCAACTCGAGTGGACGCGGAAACGCGTTTCTTTGATGCAACGCCAATCAGACATCATTATGAACACGAACATAAGTGATATGGACGAGGACTCTGCGGAATACTTCCGTATCTTGAAGAAAAGAGTCCTCAAGGCTTTGAAGGAGGAAGAAAAAGCTGCTGAACAAGGCAGTGTGGCTGGACTGGACGCCGCAGCTGTCGTAGAAGAAGAGAGTGTAGAAGATGAAGAAGATGAAGAAGAAGGAGAAGAAGAGGAAGAAAGTAGAGAAGATGAGAATGACGAACATGTAAGCGATGAAAATTAAAAGATCAATGTTTATTCTGAGCTCTCTCCATGACAGCTCCATAGATGATCGATCAAATCTTTTTTCAACTGTGCGTGAACTTGACTATCATTAATGTCTACACGTCGTTGGATGAACTCTTCTAACGTTTGTTGATCGCGATTGATCTGCGGTGTAATTGAGTCGTGGTATTCGAATCGGCTATTATCCGTATCAATCTGCAATGGTAGCTTGTGCCTAGCACGCTCATCCTCCACGATCATATTATGCAGGATAATACACGAAGTCATGACATTATGAATATCTTCACGTTTCCTTAATCTTACAGGTCGTTGGATTATACCGAAGCGTGACTGCAATGCGCCAAAAGCACGCTCGACATCCTTGCGATATGCTTCTTGCTTTCTTTTGAATAACTACATAGAAATTAGGTTTTAATAAGAACATAGTGTAATCATATTTCAGTACCTGTTCTTTGGGTGCTATAGGTTCGCCAGGAATCGATTGTATTAAAGTTGCCCATTTTGGATAAATTCCGTCAGCGAGATAGTATCCTTTGTTATACACGTGGTCACCAATAGTAAACTCGACGGGTGGTGTACGACCAGCGGCAAGATCAGCAAACAAATGTGAACGATGTAGCACATTGATGTCGTTGAGGGAACCAGGGAGCCCAAAGAATGCGAGCCAGATCCATAAGACACAGGATGCCACTGCCTCAAGAATAATTGTGGCCTTTTTTTCTTTTCCTTGGTACTGGCCCCTCCAAGCAGTAGGACAATTCTTCCATTCGACATGCATGCAATCAAGAGACCCAAGCATGCCCGGAAAGTCGCGCTTTTCAGCAAAAGCCAACAGCCTCTTGGTATCTTCTGCACTGGGCGCACGAAGATATTCGTCACCAAAAGACTTGATTACTGCCGAGCAAAAACGCTTTAAACACTCTAAAGCAGTGCTTTCACCCATCCAAAGATATTCGTCGACTACCTTGGCACTGCCTCCGTAAGCAAGTTGTCTCATCGCAGCAGATACTTTTTGCAACGTCGAATGGCCCGGTTTTAACGCAGCATCATACTTTTGTTCGAAGTAATTGTCATGCTGTTTTACGCCTTCTACTATACGTAGAAAAAGATCACGTTCCATACGGTAGACGCGCCAAAAGTCTTTATCGTCATATACGGAATCTTCAGCAAAGTAGTCCCTGTATAGACGATCTGCGCCAGCTACACGGTCGCGTTCCTTTGTTTTGCGCCCAGGAACAGACCCGTTTTTGCGGGTTGGTGTTTCTCTATGCTTTCTGGCAAGCATTTGAAAAAGGCGTTTTCGTCTGCGGGTTCCAATAGTAGCACTCTCTTCTTCCTCTTCCAGGAGAAGATCAAAAAGTTCGGATGCTGTAGACATAAAAGATAGGAACAGAAGAAAGGCAGTAATATCGAAAATACCGATTTTAAAATAAAGAAACCATCAAAGAAGCCACACGGGGCGGAAAATTATTTTTTTTTCGGATCTTAAATTTGGGCTTGGGTAACATGAATGAGGTTGGTCAAAATAATTTTTCCCACAAATGTAGACAGTGTATTAGTGATGATTTCAAATGTTTCAAAACAGTCATAGAAAATAGATTTAATACTTACTCCAGAGTCCGTGGCTTCCGCGCTGAGTAAAAGCACTGTCCTCTTGGCCCCATGATACAATCGTAGTGGAATTTTCGACTAATTCCTATCATTTTCTAATGCTAAAATATTGTTTTCCGGTTCCTCCTGTTCTTCTTGATCTTCTTGAAGTTGCGCTTGTTGAGGGAGCTGTCCACCTGGTGGTAGGAATACCTCTGGTCGAAAGTCTGGATGTCCATCATTATTCATATAGGCTATGCCTATGCTTCTTATGTTCAATGCCGCATTTTTATCCCGGTCTACAATCTAGATGAGAAAACAAAACTCTTTTAGCATATGATAGGCAGAATCCTTCGTGGGTTTAAAGGGTTAAAACATACCACAGCCTCTGGATAAAGCTCTGGATGGTTATTACAAGCTTTAATCTTCCACATCACCCAATCTATTATGGTATTCCATGCCAATTTAGTACAGCAGAACACAACTACTGATTATATATCTTATTAGTAGAAATTTGCCTTTACCTGGCGGTGGTGGGCGTGTTTGTATACATTGCCATCCTGGTCTCGACAGTACTTTATTTTCCTTCCTCCTTTGGAATGAAGCCGCCTTGAGGTCCTTCGACCCGGTACGTTGCACGTTCTCTTGTTTTTCTGCATGGATACATTGGTAAAAATGATCCCGTCAGTCGTTGTAAGTGGGCTTCTTAAAGCGGGAATTATGTATAGCAATCAGATATTATATTATTACGTACCTGTGTCCGCAAACCTCCTCGTCATATGGAATACTTGTTAGCCGTTGCTGACACCCTGCGTGAACTTGAGAAGTGTTGTACTCGTCCGTCAGTATCAGCAGCATGTGTGAAGCCAATTTTTTAATAAGTCCCTAAAATATACATTACTCATAAGTGTATGGCAACCTCTTTGCGCATTCTCTCTTGTAAATATACTAATCAAATGGGGGATTGGGGCCCATCCCGGGAAATGCGGCATTCTGCTGGAGCCATAGAACACAATCGTTGGTTGTTGATTTGGGTGCCAACGCTCGCGTTCTCGCCTCAAGCGGGCAGCTCTTTTGCGAGATCGGTGCGACGATTTGTGTATCCATTTGATAGGCTCTCCCTATGTTTCCGTTTTTCAAAAATGATCATCAGCGTATTATCAGATATCACGCCAGAAAAATGGAAAAAGGGAATCGCTTACAGCTGGGTGAGGAGGAGTGACACCTAGCAGCTCATCTTTGACAAGATCTTGTTTTCTCTGCCGGCTTGAGAATAACAAGCTCCTGATTTCTCTGTGTTTGAACCCAGACGAGAAACGACGCATTCTATATTCTTGCCGTTATTATATGCCCTTGTCACCAACTCGCCTAGCATTGATTAGCCTTTCTTCTCCTTCCTTCTCCTTCCTGCTACTTACCGAAGTCGAATTCGATTCAGATTAGCGATATAGAAAAGAAAATCTTCCGAACGTGAGACATAGGGCGAGTTCTCTGCGATGGAGTCATAATCCTCTTGGATTTCGGCTTTCTGCCGATTTTTGTTTTCTAATTTATATTCCCAAAAGACACCCGTCTCCGCACTTTGCATTGAAAAAAGCTAAAGCCGCTTCTCTTGTTTTTGAAACAGCTACCAACAAAAAGAGGAACACCCAACAAGCAAGACCAACAAGTGAAAAGAGTTAGATTAGTCCTGTCACAAAAATCTATGAATTTGGATGAATAAAAGTCTTCTGTTATTATAGTACTGGGAGTGGGATAAAGACAAATAAGCACGTTTCAAACTTAGTGCCTGCATGTGCTTCATTGTCATTCATTTACTGAACGAGTATCTTCGATATGTCATTGTCTGCACTCAAAAAGCATATGACATAATTTGTCAAAGCTCAGCTTTATTGGATATCATGGTCTAATTTCATTGGCTCGCCCAGCCTCATACGTACTATTCCTGCCTAAATTTGCAGCTGGATTAGCGCAACCGCTGGGGATGCTCTCAACCACAGGTATGAAGAATAGCCTCATCATGACTTCGACTAGGCAGAGGAGTTGATGACATGCTTTTGTTGGACGAGGAAGCGATCAGACTGTCCAGGGTCAATGGTTGCAAGGGAGAAGATACGGTAAGCATGTCATTACTGTCACTTTCTACAAGATAAAAGTTTATGTCAGCAGTTGCCTCCTTGAGATCAATGTTTGCTTCATTTTCTGTATCTCGGACTTCCGCAGCATCGCTTGTGCCATTGCTTTCCTTGACGTCGCTTGTGTCTGTGGTTTCCTTGACATCGCTTGTGTCGGCTTCCTCCAGGGTGTCGCATGCATCCGTGGCTTCTTGTCTACAATTCAGTGAAAAAAAAGTGAGACCAAAAGGATAAAAAGAGAGAAAGACTGAGGAGAGGAGAGAGACGACTTCTTTCTTACTCGACATGTGCAACAATGTGAAGAGCAAGACTTTATTTGTCTTTGAATAGGTCATCACAGCTCTGAAGTTGGCAGTGGCTTCACCGGTGGCGTTGGATACTGCATGAGTGATGGTTTAATTGGTGGTGTAATTAACAGAAACGAGCAACTAGCGATTATAATTGGTGGCTGTTGCTAACTCACCCACAGAATCCAAATGCCACCGCGAAATGACCGGCGGAACTTTTAATGGCTTCATTGGTGCATGATGGATGTGGCGATCAGTGTTGGCAGCAAGCTGACATTGTTGACACGAGAGGCTAACCACCATTCTTGGATGTCGTCGTGCATCTCAGGCTACCACCATCGTTTCCGCATCAGATCGGACACCGTGGTTTTTCCCACATGCCCAAAAGATTCGTGAAACTGTTTAACCAAGTCGGCACGGCGAGCAAATAACACATTGCGTGCTTCTTAAACAGCATCACCAACCTGAACCTTGCGATATACCTGGTCGTTTCGCACTATGGACTTGACATGATGCTTGTCCAGCAATTCCTTGTACACTGGCGGTCTTTTGCATACAAGAAGTCTGGCTCCAAACTGCGCTCATTGGTGACATATGCAGATATTCGGGTCATACAGATCCATCTCGGCGATCTATCGAGTCAGGCGCGGCATCGGCTTGGTTTTGGACCGGAAATACTTCAGTGAGTGATTGTCCGAGTACACAGTACATTGTCATCCTTCAATAAAACAATGCCATGTTCGCAAGGCGTGAAAGATACCCAACATTTTTCTTTCTTGTGCGGGATATGACCGTTCTGCAGATGATGACTTCTTGGGTTCGAAATTTAAAGGAATGAGGAGACCATCGGATCCTTCTTGCAATAGCACGGCACCAACACCAAAATCAGATGCATCTGTCACGATCATATGCAGCTTGTCCGGATTCAGCGGCATAACGTTAGGCGCGTCCCACATTCTGGACTTGATTCTATCAAAAGCCTGCTGGCACTCGGGCGTCCACGCAATCTCCCTTTTCTTTGCTATTGTGTTGGGACATTCCAGTAACAATAACGAAGCTTCTTCTTTACACAAAACAATCTGTGTGTTGTTTAAGGCGGCCATGTTGACGACAAGGGAGCTTCAAACCATGGGCGTAATAATGTCGACGGAGATGTTGTCTTCTTGAGAAGTTATCATTGCTACACAGATGGCAGCATCTTTGTATGAGCACTTTTGTAAAAGTGGGCATTCAAAGAAGATTGAAAGAAGAGAAAAAGAATGCGAGGCCTTTACTGAACCCTTTTTTTGAGGAGGGAAATGCATCTGCTAATGGAATTGTTGGGCTCGGGGACACATTATACTCCACGCTTCCTCACTTTGTTGTATTTTGCGCAATGATCGTAACATCCGGGAAAACATAAATTTTGCTACCCACTTTGCTACCCATTGGTACAGGATTTGCGCTTTCACTTGCGTGAGCTCGTATTGCGGTCCATGCTAATTTGTATTTTTCTTGTGCCAAGGATCATATCTAAGCAAGCTACGAGTGACTTCATTTCTAAAATGTGCAATTGATATTGACATTACTTGTTGGAAGCACTGCTACTTAACACAATACAACATTGATTAACCAAGTAAAGCTATCATACTCCGTATGTATTGCTCATCTGATTTGGATGCTCGAAGAAAAATTACCATAAATAGCAGAACACCGGTTGTCCTTACGCGTCCTCGAGACATGATCGCTCACTGCGGAAGCAGTAAGATTAAGATTGCCAGTAAAAAATTATAATCCAACCCCCACTCACTAAGCCAGTAATACTCTAATGCTATTACCAAGAGCGATGGCCTGACGATCATGCTTTCAGCATCTTTTTCGGTTCTAACCTCTAAATCACCGTCTAAAACACGGTTTGAAAAACCCATTGACCTACCTTCTTGTCTTGTTGTAGAGGGCCCTCACTTCACACATTTCCATCCCTCCCCACCCCCACCCCCTTTTTTTTGCAATCACGAGGCTAGCAAACTTTCAACAACACAGAAACCCTGGAAGCTATAATTATCGCTAATGATGCAGCCATGATAACGGCTCGCCACTGATCAGCATTAGAAAAAAAGGAGTTTAAAATGTACTGTAAATTAAATTATAATTATGAATTTGATTTGGGATGCTTTGACTCTTCACACTATAAATATTGGTAAAATGTAGAAAGAACGGGAAAGAGAGATGTTATTATAACTAATATAATGAAGGATTGGGTTGTGGAATTGAGCAAAAGATGTACATTATGTATAGAAGGGTTGATGTTGATATAAAAAAAAAGAGACCAAGGGTGAGAAAAGATAGGGAAAGAAGGAGTGGATGTCAAGTGGATCGTGTTGTTGATGAGAAAGTGAGAAAGCGAGAGGTAAAGAAGAGTTTATAAGAGGCCGACATCTCTCAAGTTGTTCTGGATAATAATATCGTTTACAGCTGCCATGACAAATTTAATTTGTTTTGTATCCGTGGCGCATGTAAAATGGGTATAGATTTGTTTTGTGTCGGACTGGTTTAATGAGACAAACCGGTTAAGGATGTACTCGCTTGCATCGTCGTATGTATTAGATCCTACATTTACCAGTATTTGTGAGCTTGTTTTTTCCTGTTATTAATCTGTGTAATTTGTATCTTTTTCTAACCTTTGAAATCGGAAAAGCTTTCAACAAGCGGGTGTTTCGGTAGTTTTTCTTTGAAGATATCGATCTTATTCAAAAATAGAATGATGGACGTCTTTACGAACCACCGTGAATTACAGATCGAATCGAATAGTGTCAATGCTTCTTGCATACGGTTCTATTAGAATTCGCTCAGTCAGTATTACACTTACTTACATCAAGGCAGAAAATATTTTGCTTTATGTACATACCACTGTCTCATCTTCAATCAGAACTTGATCATATTCCGAGATGGCCACCAAGAAAATAATAGCGGTGACATTTTCGAAACAATGAATCCATTTTTTACGCTCTGATCGTTGACCACCGACATCAAACATTCGATACGTCAGATCACCAATGACAAATGTGGTCTCCGTAATGCCCGTCGTTTTTACACGTGAGCGCAAGACATCCTGGTCAGTAGGCACATAGTTCGGGTCGCCAATCCGGTCGATCGAATCAAAGTAGCTATAAAAATAGGGTTAGCAACAATTGGGAAACAAGACAGCAACTTGTTTTTCTAAAAATGAAAAATAAACTTAAACTCACTACTTCGCAGAGTCATTCAATTGATACTCTCGGCTTCGCTCAAAGACTCCCTGCAGATTACTATCCTTCCACAATGCACGCACGGCTTGTGTCACCTCAGGTGGCAACGAGTCGCGCTCGATCTGTGCGGGCATTTCCATGATGATCGCAGCATGATGCTGGTTGTCTCCGTCTGAAAACGAAACGCCCATGTCGTCCATCGCTTCCAGAATGACGCGCATGGACTGTACCGTATTTGAAAAAATAATTTCTTTGAAAGCCTCACGCTCGTCCAAAGAGTAGCCATCGTCGTGGATCAGCTTCATTTGTTTAAGGATCGTCGACTTGCCTGATTCACCAGCACCTAATAGTACAAGCAGTAATAGCTGTCAGTCGTTGTTGTTATATACGAGCACATGACATTGCATGTCGTCGCCATCCCAACATATAGCAGTATTACCTAGCAACAGCATCTTGACTTCATTGCGAAGATTTAATTTGTCGCGCTTGATTTGGTTTTCAATCTCTTCATTGCGAGCTTTGCCTTCTTGTGTTTCGGCCGACTGACAGCAACCCATGGTTTATTACTTAGTGTATATGCTCGTTGCAAATAGAAGGTAAAACGGTAAAGAAAGGTAAAAGGAGAGGAAAAAAAAGAAAGAATGCAAGAAAGAAAACGTCAAGGTAGAATAGTGTTCGTCTTTTTTTGGGATAGAGGAGTGATAGAGCAAAAGAAGGGGGGTGAGGGTAGGTTTAAGGGAGGTTTTTTTTTGTGTCGAACGCGAAGAGGAGTGAGGATACGATCAAGATTTACTTTTCTCGAGTCTCAAAAAAAAGCTAGAGAGAAGGAACGAATTTTCCCCCGAGACATATACAAAAAGCATGGTCCTTGCTAAAAGCGACCGTAATTTTGAGACCTCTTTTTGCCATTGTCGTCATATAATCATATTTGCATGTGCCCCTTTATGGCAAAAGAGAAAGAAAACAAAAGATTGGGGGCGGTGGTGGGCTCCTTGTTATAGCCGGTATTGGTTCTTTAGACGTGGTGTATTCTTGTTGTCTATAAACTGGTTAAACTAAAACTAATGGCCAGAGAAAAAGAATTGGAAAACGGCGAGTTGTATTGTCTAACAAAAGCCGTTCAACTGGATCAACCCCCTATTTTCTTATTAGATGTAGTAGCTTTGTCCAACAATGCTCTTGTCCTACTCGCAATTGTTTATTTGAGAAAGGGAGAGAAGACATAATAGTAGGTCTTCAAGATTTGTTACTGCTGCTTTGCGACTTTAAGGATACCTTGTGGTATATTATTTGACGTTTCGAAAAATTGAACAATACGCATGCTGAATATGTTTTAAAATCGTGACCCACACTATATGCATGTGATTATAGGGGCGCTACATGTCACATACAAGAAGGCGCACATACACACATTTTTATAACCCTTATTATCACCATTGAACGGTACCGAAGATCAATGGTAAGGGCTAGTGTTTTGAAGAAGGGGAAAAGTTAAGAAGGCTGACACTTGATACATACTGTTTAGTTCACCGATATACCACGAGCATCAGCATATAGTAGTAATATTGACGGTTTCGTGTTAAAAAAAACTCCTCGGGTAAAAGAATATTAGTTTGACGAGTCCAATGTCAATGCCCTGAAAATCAACGATAACAAAGTGATTAAGATTACGATTCGGAAAACTTGTCATAATGTAATACTATATAGTACGTACAGCCATGGTCATATCATACTACTATTACAGTAATGCTTGCGCGTCTACTCAATACATGCTGATGCAACATGTGTAAAATCGAAAGTCCTTTACCTTTTTTAATGTTAAACTTTCGGGGTGACTTCATGGGGTTGCCCTTATAAACTTCAGTATCATATATCCTTCTGTATCTCTAAAAAACAAATATCAATACGATTGTTACCTGATAAAATGCTGACCATGATGACAATAAGATACATCTCTATTCGTTTAGAAAGTCTATTATGAAGTATTTAATGCTTATCTTGGGCTGAGCATCGCTGAGCTTCTGAAGCTTTACACAATAATCGTTCTTACGTTGATAATCAGCATAACGTCGTTATACTCATATACGTTGGTACTGTTGTATTTGGACAGACACGTTTTCCCATTTCAACCTCTAAATTCATTAAAAAATCTAACGAGCAATAGATTTCAAGCTTACTTTAAGTTGTGTCATCAAAACGACGTTTTTTTCGCATTTGGGTCTTCCTTCTCTTGCTGTAATATGACATGTCTTTCATCCTGTTTTTGTGCCTGTGATGTGCGATTTGAGTAACAAAATTATCTGTGCGTGTGGTGACAAGGTTTTCTCCAGGGATTTTAACACGAGCTACTGCCCTGAATCTTGATTGCCTCAAAAGTCTTTGCTGATAAGGATGATAGCTAGCGGCAAAAGTAGAAGTACAAGCATCCAGCACTTTAGATTCACTTGCATCCCTTGCAGACAGTGCAGTTTTTTTTTGGCTTGAGAAGTAGAAGCAAAAAGAGCTTGGTACATGTCATCCGTTAACTTTAAAATAGCGGAAAATGATTGAAATAAAGAGTAAACTCGGGCATGAATATACCAAGCTATTTTTTTATTGTGAGTGATACTAGGCTGCTTTACTGGTCGTCTTCTGATACGAAGTATATATTTATACAGTTAACTTGCTAATCCAACAATGATCCACCGCTGTTTTGTTGCTGCCAATATGGGTTTGGTAGTGGCGGTTGTTGTTGATGCTGCTGCTGCTGATGATGATGATGTTGTTGTTGCCCTGTTGCGTAGTAAGGTTGCTGTCCGCCGGGTGGCTGCGGTTGAAAGGACTGTTGTAAGGGTGGTGGTTGCGGCTGACCACAAGGGCTCTGGTTCAGAGGAGCTGGAGGGGCTGTCGCAGTAGCGCTTCCTGAGGCTTGGTATGCATAGGGTTGCTGTGGTGCGCTCCTATAGTAGCTCTCATTAGGGTTAGGAGGTCTATAGGGTTGCTGCTGTTGCAGCTGCTCCGGCGTTGGATTTGGTGCAGCATACGGGTATTGTTGTTGTGGTTGAGAATATGACATGGGTGCCGATGGTACATGGTGGTGCTGTTGAGGTGGCTTTGGGGGTAACATTGGGGGCTGCTGTTGTTGATGGGATACATAAGGTGATGGGGTACTATATGGTTGCGGCTGCTGTTGATATGGTGTAGGCGGTGGTGGCATACTGGGCTGTTGCTGCTGCTGTTGTTGTTGTTGCAGAGGCATTCCTAGAGGGGGTTGTGGATACTGCTGCGATCCAGTAATCGAAGAAGGCTGTCCATAGGGCGAGTATGCGGTTGCAAACGTTGGTGGAGCATTAGAAGTTGTTGTTGACCCAGTTGAGCTGTTTAGTGACATAAATCGTGCTTGATTCGTCAAATTCGCCATACCGTCCGTGGAATCGACAGGCTGCATACTCGGCGCAGATGGATTGTAGCTCTCGATTTTTTGTTTCAACATTTCCTGCTCTCGCACACTTCGTTCAGTGTCTAGCTTTTCCGCGAGTTGCTTCCGCTCTTGGTCCCGTTCTTGCACAAACCGTTTCACATTTTGACAAAGTGAGTCAATTACGTCCGATGCATTTGAGTAAAACTGAATGCCTTTACTGTTATTGAAAGTGAGTTATACATGAATCTACTAACAATCTTCAGGCATTTCAACTAAAAAGAGATAAAGTTACTTACTTGAGATCCTCGCGGACCTCGAAATACTGCGTTCTGGCGTTGTTAAAACGGGTAATAACCGTCTGTCGTCGTTGATCAACTTGGCCATAGCGCTTTTGTAACTTTTCGGCATCTTTATCCTCCACCAGTGCTTTAAACGCGTCCGCGAGCTCGCGGATTGCTTGTTTCTGCTGTTGGATAGTTGCAGATATTCTTTGCTGATGTGGATTGTATTTCTCTAATTCTGCTGTAAATATTTGCTGCTCAACGTTCGACGTCTTTTTGTTCAGAATTAGAACATTTGAAATATCATCATCCATGGACTGTATCAAGGAAGAACATATACGTATTTAGCGTCTTATTTAGCACCTGTACACCCAATATTAGATCTTTAGTAATTTACCCTTTGTCGCAAATCCTGGAAAGTTTCCTTTCGTTCGCTTTCAATGTTGCGCAGTTTTTCGAGAGCGGATTCGACACTGTTCAGTTTCGACTTCATATTACTGTTGCTGTTACCACTACCATTGTCAGGGGTCATGTCCAAATCAAGCAAGCTCTGTGTGTCTGCATTCTGGGAACCCTGGTCCAGAACAGCAGACGCAGTTTCCGTAAATGCCCTTTCCAAATCTGAGCTCTTGCTCCCCTTCTTCAGGATATCGATGTCCTTGGAAACCTTGTCAAGACGTTGTACGATCTCACTGTCCGAAATGTTTGCTTGTTCAAGTGTCTGGCGATGATTCTTGATATCGCGTCGAAAATCCCCTGCAATTTGGGAAGAAGGCTGCTGTGTCCACAATTCACCATACTTAACCTACAATGAATATAAAGGAGGAGAAGAGAAGTGCAGAGGGGAGGTGGAAAGAAGGAGGGATTTGAGCATACGAAACAGAAGAATTACCCAAGATTATGTGATAAGGTTGTGTTACCCGCATCTTTTCGCATTCGTGCATCTCCTGGTCGAGACTAAGAGTTGCCTCATCCAGCTTTTGCGTCGCGTGTCGCTTAAATCCTTCCAACGTCTGGATTATCTCCCGAATAGACGTGCGATCTGCCGATTCTTCTATCGCAATATCCTCAGCCCATTGCCGAACCTCCTTGGACGGCGTCATCAACTCATCCAGCGACTGGTCTTCCTGTTTCCTGAACTTTTCCAGGGAGGCTGGAAGATTCATGTATTCCAATGACGTCTTGAGTTCCGCTTCAGCCAGTTCACATCGCTCGGATTCTGTACGCAACAACTTGGCCTTTTCTTCCGAGTACAAGGATGCGCTTTCGTGGACGCTCAGAGGGACTAAAGATGCAAAGATATCAGGCCCAATCACTTTACCAATATCGTTCTGGCCGTAAAGTTCCGACATTGGGATTGGCTTGACCGCTTTCAACCGATCGCTGGGAGTCAGGATGGATTCTTGGGGCACGTTGTCGTGATAGATCATGTCGTTATCACGCGTGGCTGACGTGCACTTTTCCTTGGACGTCGCTGCGAGCGATTTGGCGAGTTCCTGAAGGACTGAACCGCCGTCGGCAGAAATGGTGCCATTGGCATGGTTGCTGGATTGGATTTGATGGATGAGGTTTGTTGCTAGCTTGCCACTGGCTTCCTTAGCGGCAGATTCTGACACTTGTAACCGTGCAACCTGCTCACCAAACTGCTTTTCAGACTCGCAAAAAGCAGCCTTGTGTTGCTGTGTGAGTGCTTGATAGTATTTGTGCTTGACCTGACATAGAGTGATCCAAGCCTTTTCGATACCAACACCGCGACCCACTGCATCTTGCATCGCATCGATCAAGTTGCCGTACACCCATACGGCATGACTAGCTAGCTTGGCTACCAATCCATCTCGTTTTTTTTCGCGTATGCTGCTTTCCAAAAAACATTCGTGAGCCTGTGCCAACATCAGTTCTGACAACATCTTGACGGTTTCGCGGCTCAGATCTTGTGACGGTGCGTGCAAGAAATTGTCATTGATGTACTGGAAAACGCCAGCGGCAGCTTGGAAGTAATTGAAGGTCTTTTTCCGGCCATCCGCTTCCGCACGGTTTTGTGCCGCTGCAATAGAAGACAGTGTTGCCCCGATATTGAATAGGATGCTTGCTTTCTCGTATGCCAGCGAGTATTGTGCTATCGCTCGGCCGTCAAAAGCGTCGTACCTAGCAATCAAGAGAAAAGAGTCGTTGAGCGCCTTAAACGAAAGCTGCAAAGGACAACCGCTTCTCTTTCTTTTTCTCCCGTCCGTATTAACTTCTTACCAGTTGAAGAGAACTTTGACATTGCGTTCATCGACAGGAAATCGTAGGTCTAAAAGCTCCAACTGACCGAAATACCGGTAAAGTAAATCTCTTCCCGTGAGATCCTTGCCTGCACCACGCGTGTCTTGGCGAAGACGGTTGAGCGTATAAGCTTCTTCGCTATACTTTTCAGGATCTTCTTGGTAAACGTGAGCGATATAAGACTTTAACGGGAAGGTCCAATCGACGTCAGTGGTGCGTTTAAATGGTACGCTTAGAAAAGGTATTTGTGATTGCGACATTATGTGGTTTCTTGGGGGGTATAGAAGCGCTTGGCATAAACTTTGGGCGAAGCCCGTTCGTTTTTTTCCGATGAGGGAAGCTTTCCCAAATTGGGACAACGACGATCCCAAAAGAGCAGTAGGCTCCTCACTATGCACTAGTTTTTTTATATCCCTACCATGAGTCGAAGGCGACGCCAGGAACACATTCCAGAAGAACGTTATGACATTGATGGAACACTGATAAAAAATGAAGCCGCGTTTAAAGCAAAATCTTGGAATCTAAGTAACATTGTACGCTATACTTTTAAAAGAATAAACAGAGGGATCTATCTGATCGGCTTATGTAAAGAACAGAATCAGCTAATAACGAAACTTGCAGTTACGCGATCCTGTAGCTAGATCGCGTGCGATTAAAGAGGCTCAAGAATATATCAAAGCTAATCGTGGCAAGCTGGAGCTTGAAAAAAGAACTTGGAGCGAAGAAACAGACGAAATATTCTTTTCTCGAAAACGAAAAGGACTGGCTGCTTGGATGATGCCTCGAGGATCGCCCATCTATTTTGAGTTTGAAGGTAATAAATCTTACAACTGATAGTGAATGAAAATGAAAGAAACATATAATAACACTTTGAGTATAGCGTTTTATCTTAAACTGAAGGAAAGTCTACAGGCGGACAATCCATCTTCTCTATCGTCGTCGTCAAAGAAGTATGAAATGCTGCGACGTGAGGGCGAATTGCTTCGACATGCTTTGATCTTGTTCCAGGATTTTCAAAGAAAAAAGACGGCCCAATTGAAAGAAAAACTTGCAGCCTATAAAGCCGAGCTGCCAATCACTGCATACTCCAATGCCATACTGCGCACACTAGCAGAACATCGAGTCTTGCTAGTTGCAGGCGATACCGGATGTGGTGAATACTTTATTCTATCGTGAATTCAACGTGGTAGCTCGATGCTAATAACTGGCTGCCATAGGTAAAAGTACCCAAGTGCCTCAAATCCTAATGCAAGCAGGATATCACAAAATTGCATGCACACAACCACGAAGAATTGCATGCTCGTCACTAGCAAGACGTGTCAGTTACGAAACATTAAACGAATTTGGATCACAAATTGCCTACCAGGTGCGATTTGAAGGCACACAGACGAAACGCACGCGAATCTTGTTTTTGACAGAAGGTCTACTGCTACGACAATATGCAATGGATCCCTTACTATCCATGTACGATGTGATTATTGTCGACGAAGTGCACGAACGACACATGATGGGCGACTTTCTGCTTGCTTTGTTAAAACGATTATTGGCCGTACGACAAGACTTGCACGTCGTACTTATGAGTGCTACCATCAACGCTGAGCTTTTTGCTCAGTATTTCGACGCACCAACACTCAACGTACCCGGTCGCATGTACACAGTCAAGACACATTATTGGAAAGAAGGACAAGATGACAAAAACTTGGTTAACGATGCCGCATATCATCGACGACAAACAGCCACTGTTAAAGAATCTGTTCCAAGTCGGTCTGAGCGAATCGATGCTGGGCCGTATTTGAAAGTACTAGAATATATTGATCAGTCTGTCCCTGTCGCCGAGCGCGGTGATTTATTGATCTTTATGTCTGGAATCAACGAAATATCTACATTGGCAGACGAGCTCAAACAATATGGTGAACACAGTAAAAATTGGATTATCTTGATGCTGCATTCAACGCTGGCGGTGGATGAGCAGGATAAGGTATTTGATACCCCACCGGAAGGTGTTCGCAAGTGCATCATCAGCTCCAATATCGCCGAGACCAGTTTGACAATTGATGGGATCCGCTTCGTGATTGATTCTGGCAAGGTCAAGGAACTAAGCCATGATGCAAATTCGAATATGAGCAAACTGTCCGAGTTTTGGATATCAAAGGCAAGCGCTACACAGCGGGCTGGACGCAGTGGTCGGACGGGACCAGGCGAGTGCTTTCGTTTGTACTCGCAAAACGAGTTTGAACATTTCAACGACTTTGCTGTGCCGGAAATTCAACGTGCTCCCCTGGAACCGCTGTTGTTGCAGATTAAAGCCTTTGAACTGGGCGATCCACGAGTATTTGATTATGTTGAGGTGTGTGCTTGTATTTTATTTACTAGAATTGACGATCACATGAAGAATTAACAAAACTTGATACACTAACCATAAAACAGGCCCCATCTATCGACGCTGTTAATGCATCCATGAATTTTCTCCAAAATTTGGGTGCTGTAGATAGCACTGAGAGAATTTTGGGGTTAGGAACTGTGCTAGCAAACCTTCCAGTGGACGCTATCATTGGCAAGATGCTGTTAATGGCAACGGTAATATCACAATAATCGGAGCACGTTATATACTTGTGGTACTCATTTTTGACTTTTCCAAAGGTCTTTAACCTCGTAGATCCAATTATTACTATCGCGGCTAGCATGAGCGTACAATCTCCCTTTACACGTTTATCACCTGACGTCCACTCCGATATACTTCGGGTGAGAGCAGTACTATACCAGTCCACTAGTTAGCATGTCATTGACGAAGATGATTACATATTACGCTTGCAGAATCGAAGAAAACTAGATTCGGAACACGGAGACCCGATTACACTGGTGAATCTTTGGCAACAGTGGCTCAATGCTAAAAGTGACCGTAAGGTAATAGCTCTTTCTTTTGCGAGAAATGTTTCTATCTCAATATACTGATATTATATATATAAAAGACATCTTCAAGAAACTGGTGTCGAAGACATGGCATTGAAGAGCATCGCTTGTATGAGGTATAACCTTTAGTCTTCACCGAGAGTATGAATATTAAAGCATTAAATTTGATTTGCTTCACGATAGATTGCAAAAATGAGGCGCCAGTTCGAGAAGGTCTTGAACGATTTTCAGCCTGGTCTTCTGCAGCATCTTAAAGAGCAAGAGAATTCTGAAGAAGAAGTAACGACTGTTCTACTTAAAAATTATATTACGCTTATACATCAACTGGAAAAATTAACTTAATGCTGTTATTAGAGAGAGCAACGATCTAGAAAACGCGATCAGCTGAAACGAGAGAAATACGAAGAACGATCAAGCAAACGTCGACGCATACTTACAATGGAATATGAAGAACAAGAAGATTGGCAAGGTGAGTAGTCTTTTTCTTTTGCATTGAAACCTGTAATCAATTGCTAACGAAGCACAACTAATAGCGGAGGGACACAATACCTCGGATATACGAGACCTGGAATTTACGATGGCAAATAATGTTAAAAATCTGATGTCAAGAGCGGCCACGCTGAGCAAACGTGATATTAATTTGATTAAGCTCATAATCTGCTCGGCATTATATCCTCAACTTGCAATTGGCGACGAGCACAACCCTTACCGCAAAAGCAATGAAATTGTCTTTCATACGCCAGGTAATATCTGCTAAAGGAAAGCACACGAATGATGGACGAAATCCTAACTCGTATAGCTTTTCAACAGTCAAGAAGTTTATATCAATCCATCCAACTAGTGTAATTTCCGCACACCCAGACTGGGTACAGGGAATTGGTGACAATGTACGAAAAGGTTAGTTCGCCATCTTTTTTGAAGCCGTTTTCATATTTTCCTCGTGCTCATTATTATGACAACTCTTTTTATATAGATGATCTTGCTGTGGAGCAATCAATGCAGCACCAACTCCTATGTTACTTACAGTTGTTGGAAACCAATAAGCCGTATCTACTGGGTTTAACCAGAGTTCCTGGTATTCATACTCTTCTTTTATTTTCAAAAACAAGTATGTATTTTATATATTGTTTGAAAAAGGTGATCAGTAGACGACATATACATCATATACTTACAATGTTTAAAAAAACTAGTCGACACAAACGCAGACTGCAGCGTGCTTGTATTTGACACATACTACATGGCCAAATTTAGGACAACTGCTGTGGCCGAACATGTGCTTTATTTAGCGTACAAACTACGAGAAACGTGGCTCTACTTATTGAACCGACGAATCAGTCGTGGTTTGGGGGAGGTACTAATATTATTGATAGTAGTTATATATTATAAGTACATATGACATTAACACTAAATAACCGCCTCATACTTAGCAAGTACCTGAAAGCGATATTGAGGAGATTATTATCACCCCATCAGCCCGTGAAGATATGCCAAAGACCATTAAAAAGATCATAGTGGAGCAAGAGAAATCAAAATGCAAGGGAAAAAGCAAAGTCGATATGTGGACACCGGCAGTAGAGTCTGCGTTTCAAGCACAAGTGGATTCACTGGCAGATCAACTAGCAATTGCCATGGAAACAGCCATATCGGCTGATTTTAGAGTAGCTAAACCTTCTGAACTCATTAACATGGTAAGATCCACTATCACCTTTCGCATAAGCAAATCCAATCTGACATGCTCCGTGTATATGTGTAGTATCCAAAGTATACAAAGCCGACTGAAAAGACCGAGTCCAACTTACCAAGGGCATGGAATTCACGGGATGGTAAGTGTACCCAGATAAAAGGGACTCTTTTCTTATCACTGACATTTGGTTTCTGTTATAGTTATCCGTGAAGGCATACGTATCACGCCAAATCTATACTATAACACTCTGGATGCACCTTCATGCGCCTCCAGCGTTCCAGTAGAAGAAGAGGCTATTCCAGCAAATATCAAAATGTATTGGCACTGCCCTCACTGCGATTCGACCTTTTCTTTTACCCATAATGATATACTCAATCATCTTCCAAATTGTCATAGCCCATCCTAGTTCAGCAACACACTCTCTCCAACTCTCGACTCCTACTACTACATGTGTCTAAAACTTACAGCATCTATACATCATATTAGACAGAAGTATAATCATAAGAACGGTATCGAATCTTTTGGCAATCTTTAATTTGCATATGCTAATATCAGAAAAGAAAAGATGTAGAAAGAATTTCGACCTGTACAATGCATATCAGGTATATGTACAACTCTTGTTTAACACACTGTATTGTCGGATTTTGCGTTCAAGATCAGGGCAACAATCAGACCGTAAAGACCTAAAACTTCGGCGAAAATCAGAATAAGCACCATGGCAACGAATAATCGAGTTTCACGCGCATATCCACGAACACACTATATATCAAATTTGTTGGTTAATCCGGTTGTCATATATCTTTCTTTTTGTCTCCTTGACTGTAAAAAGAAAATTAGACATACATAGTCGCCGACAATGCCAATGGCATATCCGGCAGCTAGACCGCCAACGCCGACAGCTAGTCCTGCACCAAGTGCAACAAATCCGCTAAAATAACAGTAGACATGAGATGCTCTGTTCGCATTCCCATTAAGAAAGAAGCTACTAAGGTCGTGACTTACGAGAACAAAGAGTAGCCGGAGGTTGGTGACACTAAGATGGATATAAAAATGAAGTGTTAAAGAACGACCGACAACGGCTTCCATGACAACGCATGTAAAACAAAAGGGAGCTTGAACTTACTCTGACCGACAAGCAAGACAGCCACGACGAGACCGTAAACAGCAATAATACCACTCATGACAACAGGAATCAAAGACTATAGATACCGTAATGTTTAATACAGGATATCCATAAATATTACTGCGTTCTGCCGAAGAAAAAGTATACCTTCATGACGAGTTCAGGACGGAAGGGGCCGATACCAGCAATACCAATGCCAGCTCTCGATGTACCGTATGCAGCTCCTAATGCTACAGTTTGTTAAACCAATTAGCCAAGAATGTTTAAATTGTCAAGTTAATTCGTAAGTGAAGGATAAAAACGTACAGCTGAATGCCATCTATAATAACGCGCGTCAGTTAAATTGGTTAGCATGTAATCCACCAAGAAAACAGTTCTTCATGAGTTGCTACGTACAGCGGAAAAGACGCCGGCAAAGCCGAAAAATGGTGCGTAGGTTGGACAGTATACGGCTGGATCCATGGGTGTGTTTTGTTCGATGAAGGAAGGGGGGAGTGTGGTGCGTTGAGAAGAAGCCTTGAAACGCAAAACGATTAAGGGCAAAACGCCGCCGGGCCATGCGGAGTTGTAGTCACTTTTGAAACGATGTCTTTGAGCGGCTATGCTATAATTGTTCTGCACGTTTAAAGCTGTGATAACAGAGTTATAATCACCAATACTGATATCATAGGCACAATTATTCATAGTTGGTAAATGGATTGTTTAATATTCAAAAAAAAAGGAATAGAGATTCTAGGGAGAGATAATTCTTAGCCAAAAAGCTTCTTCAAGCCCTTCTTCTTTTTCTTGTCTGCCTTTTCGTCTACGTTCTTGCTGTCTGGCGTTGAGCTTGTACCACTAGCTCCACCACTACGGATGCTCAAGTTACTTAAGCTGAGATGTGAGCTTGAGCTGTTGTTAATGTGGGGCATATGCGACAGTAGGGATGAAGCTTTGCTTGCAGGTGGTGATGGAGGAACGTAAGGTGGAATAAGAGACTTGATGGATGGCGGTGGTAAGCGCAGCTGGCCCGTTTCCTCGACGAATTTGGCAGGACGCATCACGTCTGTGGTACCAATGTATACGTCCCGATTATACATGGCTGCTACTTCATACGCAGAACGAATCTCTGAGTAAGATAAACTTCCCAGTACAAATACGATCAATTTGGCACCGGATGAGCGAGATTGTCCTCCACCCTATGCAACATGATTTCAGCCTTATTCTGGTTTAGCCGCACATATTCAATAGACTTACGGGAACAGAAGTGGGCTTTTTGCTCCAGGTGGGTTTTGTGGTGCGCAAAGACACGCCACTTTGCGGTATACCTGGGTTGCCCGATGGTGCGCCACCGTCGTCTGAAGGATCCATATCAGACTGCCGAGTGTATGCAAAATGGGCAGGTTCCAATGTGTTCGACAATTGTGCCTAGAAATAGAAGAAACCTTTAGCTTTTGATAGCGCTTGCTGTGGCATGTGCATATGTAAACCTACATCCATGACTTTTTTAAGTTGAGGAACATAGCGAGATAATTCGTAAGGCGTCTCATCCTGTGATCGCTTACGCTCCTTCTTCTTACGAAGAGACTTTTCACCGCCCTTACGACGTTGCTTTGTCACCTGTACACCCAGAGATGGTAGATTGTTCACTGCATCGCGGAACTCTCCTTTTAACTTTGCATGCTCAAGCAGCTTGTGTTTGTCATCCTCAAAGATGCCGTTTTCCTTGGAGACAATGTATAGCATTAAAAGACGCGCTTTATCTGCCGGGCTACATTAATAGTAAGTGGACGTGCACCTGTGTAGCTTGCAAGTCATACCGTTATCGTCTCATTTACCTGACATAAGGATCGTCTAGCAGAGGAACCATATCTAAAACGACAGTCTTTGGTGTTTCGCCATCGGGTGTCTCCCCGGTAGCAATGTTCTACTCCATCCCAGCTCAAGTTAATAACCAATGCTTGACTTTTGTTTATTTTTCCAGTTTGTCCTACCTGCTCTAGATTTCCCACAGAGTTCAGCTTGTGTTTTTCAAAGATAGAAAGACACTCTTGTGCGATACTCAAATGCGCAGAATACTATGAAATAAGCACAGAAGCTGTCAGATTTTGATTCTGCTTGCTCTTTCTTCATAAAGTGTAGTCTGGCATGCTCATATATACCTTTGCTTTCATGTCTTGAAACTGAGGTAGGTTTCCAAGCATTTCCTTCATGTCCTTTAAGCTCTTTGCTGAGTCCTTTGGTGGAGCAGAACGATCACTAATGATAAAAATAGGCCAGCCTCAGTACAGTTCTCTCAAGTATAAACAAAACACAAATTTACCCGCTCTGGACAGCAGTTTTATTCTCCTCAAGGAATTTGTTAAACTCCTCAATCAAGCGGTCGGTACATTCGGCGATATGCAAATGGCGAATTGATTTGTAAACCGTGTCATCCTCATCCAAAAACACCTCCTGTGTGCCTATGGATCCATCGTTTTGGTTGAAAGAATAAGAGTATTTTATGCCAGTGCCGTTTTCGGTATCTTCTACAGGCAGTAGATCGTTAATCATTGCCTGATAGGTAAATTCATGCAGTAATTGTGCGTTCACGTCAAGACTGCGATCGACAATAAGTAGGGTTGCACGTGGTTGTGGTGGGTTTCGTGGAGGCTAAATAAAAATTTTCTGACATGTAAGCTCGCCTTGAATCAAGTACTTGGTAGAAAGTTGGTTCGTACCGGGAAGTTTCTGTTCAGTCTGCAAAAATCATCTATTTCGTTTTGCAGTATATTTGCTAATTGTCTCGTAGCTGGTGGTGCTCGTGGTCGTCGGTCGTCTGGATTATCGTTTTCGGTCACTTGATAACGAATTATTGGATCTTCACCAAGTGTCGCGCATACAGATAAAAGCTATTGTTATATATATTAGTAATTTAATAAATTTGTCGATGTCCACGGTGACTTTTTCTTTCTAACTCCATCACAAACACATCTTACTTGTGCTTACCTGTTTAGCAATCATTTTCAAAGCCTGATCCGGTTTTGCATATGGATCACTTCCATAGATGGATATATAACTCGAAAGTGGATCGACAGTAAATACCGAGGATTCCTTGACTGCAAGTTTCTTGTTAGTGACTTAAACATTACTTTTTTGACGCATCATTCGAATATGCAGATAGAAGAATCAAAATCAGTACATTACCCATAAAATCAACGTACATTTCCTTTAGACTCTGGATGTACTCAGAAGCACCTGCCGCTTTAAACTTCTTGTTCAATTCTGTGAATAATTGATCTTCCAGTCCTAGATATTTAAGAAAAGTTTGACCTGTCAATTGCTGTTGTGTGGCAGCACAAATAACCAATTGTGTTACCGCTGGTGAAATGGATGTGCGCCGCCTTGTACATTGGTCCATTGGGGCCTGTAAAGTCATCTGCCAGACGAAGCACCGATTCTCGACAGGGCGTTAAAAAGTACACAGCATCCAGGGTCGGATAAGGCTGCCGCTGTTTTTCGATATTTTCAACCACTGTATCGTTCTGGTTAACCGACTATGACTTTTCATTGTTTCGTCTAGGTAAAGACAGGCGGTTCGCAAATTACTTACATGTCACCTGAAAACCTCCACAGAGAAAGCATTAATATAAAAAACGAACACATAATTGATACTGTCCACCTTAAACAATCCACTATAATTTGTTACTCACATTTTCTTCGAGGATATCATACATTTTACACGCAGCCGTCAATATGCGCGTGCTTTTGGAGTCAACAACTACGATTTTCCATTTTCCAGGTACCGCCTTAATGCTATCCATTAAGCCTAAATAAGAAATAATGTGAGTAACGTTCCAAGGTGCCCGTTCTAAATCCCATTTATTACAACGTCCTATGCGACGATGAATCTTAAAAACAAAAGGAGTGGATATTCACGTTTTTGCATAATCTCATTTATGCCTGTCATGATGGAAGATATTTAAAGCGATGAGCCGTAATTAACGCAAGCTGGATCCAAACACAAAGAATTGTCGTAGCAGGAATATTATAGTTCGCTAATTGACTGGAAAAGTACTACGTTAATGGTTCAGCTGAGGACAGATTGGTACGGCTGAAGAATTGCAATAGCAAAAAAAAGCTTCGTTCTTAACGTACGTTTTTCTTTGCAATATGAGTTGGAAGCAAAAAGAACACGCGCTTAGTGCTCTCTTTTTGGTCACCGCTAGATATGAATTTTCAATCCATAAAAGGAGGCGCTTGCCCTACATCTGCTTTTGTAATCCTTTGCCAAAAAAACTTGGCATACAAAAAAAATGCAAAAACGTACATAGCTATTGCATGCGATAACCATCGACATAGCATCAAAACATGACCAATTCCCTTAGGAGTAAAAGGGAGACAGAAAAATACATCCTTCAGCGTACATTCTAAGCAGTGGGAACCTTCTTGCCACTCTCCTCTAACGATTTTATTCTGTTTTCCAATTGCGTAATATGCTTTTCAGCGTCGCCTCGGTATTCTTCGTATTCTAAATGCTGCCATAGAAGCTGGTATGCCATGGTGGTTGCAGAAGCCAAAACGGTGCATTTGACAAGAGGTGTACCGTAGCGATAGTAGAATGATCCGCCTCCGGACGATGACGCAGTAGCGTACCCGCGAATGTTTGCGCGCGTGGTTGTCTTTGCAATCGTTCGTAAAAGCATGGCTATGACTTTTCTGTAACAGTAAGTATATGCATTTTATCATTGCAATGTAATGATCACTCACCCTTCGCGTGTTTTTCAAAAAGGAAAAAAGAGCTCGAGAAAACCTGGGTCGTAAACCCAGCAGACTCATTAAATTTGTTTACATAAAGCAGAGAACGGAAAATGAAAGCATACAAGTTGTTATATACTAAGACTACGAGCATAAAGTGCATTTTAAATTTAAAGTATGTAGGGCAGTACTGTAAGTGTCTATATGAGTGCTTCTAAGGGGTTATAGTATAGGTATTGTATGAAAACTGGGGCAAAGAAATGAAAGTGTAATAAGTATAAAGAGCATATCATATTTTTCGAGCTATTCATCCTTAAATTGGCGATGATCGTACGACATCTTTAAGAACGTGGCTCTATATCTTTGCTGCTTGACGCAATCAGAAAGTGAGGATTGTGAAGCTGATGATAGTACACAACGATATTGTTACTACTGGAACTGCTGAATGACGATGTTGATGCTGCTGTTGCTGCTACTGTTGTTGTTGCATATTGGAGATGCGTCTGCACTGGCGTTGCTTGGCCGCTTGACGATGCCGGCGAGTGGATTGGCGAGGAAACCAACTCGGGTGACAACTTTTCCGACCCTGTCGACGGCGAGGGAAGGGCGGAGGACGACCAATCGACGAGCGCGCGAACGTTTACTTTGCGCTTAGCGGCTTTGACGAACAGTTGTGGCGGACGCACTCGATTGTGTCGTAAGTAATAGCTCTTGCAGGTCTCACACCAGTGCCCCGAGCCACATAGATTTCGATACCATTGATGTGTATGCTGTATTCCACAGTTGGCACAAGACTTGTGTGCTTTTACATGCGTTTGCTTAACAGTGTCGTGTTGGTGTCCATACCATCCTTCTTTATGTGGATAGCCGCCAATGCTATAGTGCTCACTGTGATCAGTTACCTCAGTTGTCATACTAGCGACATTTCTTAGTAGCAATGACGCTGGGGAAGATACCGATGATGGTGGCTGGGGTGATGGTGGTGATACGCGACAGCTGTGTCTGCTTGCAATGATGAGACGAAGGGGCCGAGGCTCGCCGTGTTTGAGTTGGTAACGATAGCAAGCGACGCACAGTTTACGGCGAGATGCTGGTTTGGTGTTACAGTTGTGGCAGACAGGTTTCGACTTTGGCGGCCGCGTCGAGTTGAGGAGATTCATTAGCAGAACATACAGGTCCGGTTGCTTGTGGTTGCTGCTGTCGGGCCGTGGTAAGCGTACTTGATCCAATCCCGCGACATCGAATAAATAGTTAGCGAGCTCGATTGCAGTGCGTAGTTTGACCGTATCGATCGCGTGCAAGTTGAATCGAAAGAGGGTATTGATTACGTGGTTGAGCCGGTAAATATGGTCTTCTTTTGCAAGCATTTCGTTGTCTAGGAATCTGACATCGGTTCGGCCCGATGTTCCATTGTGCTGCGTATAGCGAAAGAGGTGGAGCAGCCATGTCGGAAAGAGAATAAACGTTGGTGCGACACGGTTGCTCTTGATTTTCTCGGGCCTGAAAAACACTGCGATCAAACGCATGTGCTGGCTTAGTTCGACGGATTGTATCGGGCGTGAGGCCTTCCCCATACCAATATGACATCGGAACGAGCCATTCATATGGCGGCCAATTACTTTGATATGAATGGGCGTTTCCCTTATGTACGTGTTGCCGGAACAGGATGTCAAGCCGAGCATGGCGTCTGTCAATTTGCTACTGCTACCAGCTGGAGGGTTCATTCGGAAACCATGGCTGCTGAGGTTGCTGCGCCATATAGACATTAACTCGTCATCGGAAACGGTTGTGGTAACGCTTCTGTCATCATGAAAGCTCGGCTTTGAGCTTAATAAGTCTTTGGGCTGGGATATGAGTAGATCCGCTATATCCATTCGATAAAAGAAAATGTTTAATGGGCATCGCCTGACACGCTGAAACTAGGGGCTCGCTTTATATAGCTTTTATATCAATGAAGCCATCCTCCTATTTCAATGCGCCGTATTATTTTGTGTATGCACTTATTTAAACGAAGGAGAGACACTGGGACGGTATAGTGAATGTATATAGGACATAATGAGTTCTTAATTTCATGAGTTAAGGTTTTCCACATCGATCACGCTGGGAATAAGAGCTCAAATCAGGCGACAGGCCGTGCGACAATACCCAATGGAAATGGAAGCTTCAGCTCATGACAAATAGACACTGGTATTCGTAATGGTACACATAAAGTATTTTATCCTTTCCCTGTTAGAATTCGGCTTTTGTTGTATAATCATATTGTTCCCTTTTCGATAACAATAACAATGCCCCGTGTGAGACAGCTCGCAAAGATTCGCACTCTTTCAGCGTACACTCATTGCTCAACGTTTGTCATTAAGTAGCTCGTGTTACCCTGGGTTCTCGCATGGATGTGTCTCTCCTTACATGATGTATTCATTTGGTAATGGTACAGCTTTTTATTTTGTGCAGGATTCTCAACGACTCCGAATAGAACATTATGTAGGAGCCATTTTTTTGTGTACTCCCTATGGTTTATACTTCAGTTGCCCTTTATACGTGCGGTTTGGTTTCCAGGAACAAGGAAAACTTTAGTGCTGTCCAGGTCCAGCGATATGTCAGGGTGCTAAGAACCCGTCTCACTCTATAATTTGTCAACCGTAACGATTCACTGTATATACTATTATATTGTTTTCCGTAATTGCAACAAAGCACAGAGTAACCCTTTTCCCTCTATACTCGCATTATTAAAGGGCATCTAAGTTATTGGAATAATGCCTCTTTGATTTTGAACATGCATGTATAATATTAATGTTAATTTTATCAAAGTAAAAGAGTTCCGCAGCAAAACAGTATGTACAGCTACTCTACACATAATATTTGGCAACAATCGCATGCTCATGGCGCAGGTCAACCAGTCTTCCATATTATAATTTTTCAAGTATTATTTAGCATCGTCACTTGCCTTTTTCTTATGCATGTCGATGTCTTGACTCATGTTGCAGGGATATGTACACCCGGAGTTGCTGCCAGTATTTAGAGACCGGTGAAAGAATTATTATTAGTGCCTTTTTACGCTCGTTTTATAACAATACAAATTCTATAACTTCATGCCACACATGCCGTCAAGTGTGCAAACTAGGTTTAGCAGTGCGTAATAATAATTTGGGCGTTTTATAGAAAGACAAAGAATCTTATGGGGGCGAAGGAGCACAGTCAAGAATACCTTTTCACGAAGGCTACACTTTAGGTATGCCCAGTAGTAGCGAAAGAGTACTGTAGAAGAGATGTGCTAAGTATTATTTGCAGGAGCATATACTTTCGCTGATGCCTCAAAGCGGCCTTTTACAACCAAACAACAATTGGGTAAGTTAGCCCTGCATTATGCAAACCAATTAAATAATTTGACAACTTTTAGTATGCGAACTAACCTTGCTATCTACTCATTCCATAAGACAAGACTGTGTTGAGAAGTCTCTTCATTGATAGCATCCCGTGGACTATACACAACTCCAAAAACACACGTTTAGCGTACACAGCCATTCTTTTTATAACTTGATTATATTATTGCACGTTAACTTTGCTGCTTGTATCATGAAAATTTCGACAATAGCAATAGTAAAGTTGCTAGTATTCAAACGATCTGATCAGAATTGGTCAGCTCAAGCAACGATATAATGATATTGCATAAAAGGTCCAAAAATAATGTCAGGCTAGTACTAAGAATCATAAGAAAGTCCAATCTTTACACGTGTATGCAAATGTTTGTCACGGTGAGGAAAAACTTATATAATGATAATTGGTACAGGAAAACGATCCATGGCAATGACCAAGAACGATGCTGATTCCATTGTTTGTCTGGTGTATATGTGCCATGTTGTAAGGATAGCAACAGGAGGTACATGCAAGTACATGGAGGATCAAGAGACATTGGATATTTGGACACTCCTCCTCTTCTCCCTGCCATGTTGCTACCATTATTTAGAAAAAAGCTTATATGCACCTGCCGTTGTTTATTGCGTTTTAGTTCTTCGACTTTAAGGGTTGAGATGCACAGCTTACCCGCACGTTCTCCAGGGATGCCATCTTTAACTGTTTCTTCTGTTCTTGCTCTTTGCTCGACGATCAACTGCAGTCGCGTCTCAAAACCATTTTGATCCGGGTAACCGTTTTTTCTTCCTTTACTCCTTACTTTTTTTCAAATGCTAAGCGATAATACTTAATTTGTATCATGCCCTGTTTTAATAAAACAATTCTACCTCGATTAAATACGAGACAACTGAATACGATAAAGAGTTTCTCCTTACATTTTTGCTCTCATTACTGCTGGTATATTTCTAATCGTGTAGATCATGCCATCGTGATGCTTATCAAGGTATGACAATAGAAGTGATAATATATTACACTCTATCAGACAGATTAAAGAAGGCTCAGTTGGATAAAAAACTATCTCATTGATACGGCTCTAGATTCCTTGTGGCCTGTCATGTGTATTAAATTTGGCCAGAGCCGACCTAGTGGCACTGAGCAAGAAAAAAACGATATGCACCACACCGTCGGCGTATTGTATACACTACCAAAAGAAAGCTACTTGTCCGCTAATGTTTTTGGCGGACGTCTACATTTGCTCAATCGTATTGATGGATAGTATATTGATATGAAGTATTGTATTTTCAACCGGTAGAAACATTATGATGTAAGGTCTGATATGTTGTAAACTCGGGACATCATCGATCGAACTGTTGACTCCTCTTCGATTGAGGGGATTTTCAGGTTCTAGCATCATTATGAAGTTTTTTTTTTTGATAAGGTAGCACCTTCCAAGGGCATTTAAAGGGCTGGTTATGTATGAATAGTCATGTCAGAGGCCAAAGAGGGTCCAGCAAAATAAAACGGGTACCCTGAGCATCCTGAAATAAAACAAAGATCCACTGCATATTGTTCCAGAATCATAGAACAAACAATTCTTATTTTTTGTAAGGAGAAAGGGGTTCCACTCCCATTCTGCTTCCTTTCATTTTTAAAATGCCAAATCTGTAAATTCTCGATCCTCAGCATCTCCATAGCTCATCAGAGCTAAACAACAGGGATCAACAAATGCTTTTAGCTGTAAATACTTTCGGCAACTTTGGATTTTACCATCTATTAATATGTAAAGATAAGAAATTGGGGACTTTGCAGATTCACGATAATCAGCCCGTCATGTTTTGAGCAAACAACATATTCTTTCATAAGGGGAAGAAAGCTTCTTAACGTCGAATGTGAGATATACACACAATTTTCAAAAAACGTTCTCCTTTAATCCATATCTGCTTGAGCGTTTTTGCTAAGAAGACACAGCAGAACTCCTTGGCAAACGTAATAGCGTAGCGTTGCACATTCCACCACGTTCTTGTTTGGTTCAACATGAATGAACGCAAAATTGTATCCTAGATATAGAATTTTATGATTAAAGAACAAGCGTGATTTATCTTGCATGGTTTGTGATCGACCTTGAACTATTTGATGTGACAGTTCCCAAAATTCTAATGCAATCATATTCTGTACAATGCGTTTACAACACAGTAAAGATGAACAGATTTTACATGTAACCGTAACAGATGAAAGTACACCATTATCTTAAAAATAGATGCAATAACGCATATTCACCTCAGAAGCGTCCTCGGTAAATATAGTGTCTCCATGCTGAATAACTAAAACCATTCATGGGTTGCCAATATCGACAATAAAGAACGGAAAACACCCTGTCCGAACTTTAATAATCAATATGTAAACACATTCAGCCTTTATTAAAGATGTTTTTTTGAAAAAAAAAAAAAACCAGGTATAAATGGATCCTACGTCATTCCTTATGTGTAAAAAGCCTGTGAGATACTGTGAGCTCAATAAGTCGCATTTTGTCTGTTGTAAAGGTCGAGTCAACAGCAACTGTTTAGTATAGACGATAAATACCCCCAAGACGAGCCAAAAATGCAAGAGTCATAGCGGTAATACCTTATATAACGATACTCGATGCATGATGAGGATACTGTAGTTAGGTACAGCTCCGGAAATGGATGGTTGCGTAGCACTTGCTTGTTTCTCTGTACTTGTCAAGAGTAAAGTTTCAGCCTAGACAAAGGTGCTTTGATACTTATGACACATACTACAGCACTGATTGAGCAGGATCTGTGCACAAGTGCCACTAGACTAATACCATCGTCATTATTGTTGTCAGATTGTTACCTGGCAACCACCCAAAGTGATGGCAATACGACGTAATAATGTTACTGAGAAAATCCATCACGATGTTTTTATTTCAAAACAGATCGACTGTGGGAACAAAATGTCATGATATGGTTGCGGTATTCATTAATAGCAGTATAGTACTTCATCATTGGACATCATGTGCTCCCTTTTCTCCCCTTCTTAGTAATCCGAACTTCCGAAAAGCACCACAAGATGAAATAATTTCCTTGGGTTCCATGGTTGAGGCCCCCGTTCTTCCGATGTTGCGAACCTTGCTCGATACACAAATAACATTTACTTTGCTGATGACAATCCAGTTTCTGCACATAAAATTGGAAACCACCTAAAAATAGGTATACGACCACGTTATTCCTTCTTTCTTCTAAGCGGCAGTGCAGTGCGCGGTATTCAATCTCCTTCTTTTATTTTTCTGCCGCTACTGCTATAGTCATTGTTCGGTCTAATTCTGTACAGTGGAAACCCTGTGCTATATTAGCAATTGACAGAAAATCGTGAACGAGTTACCCGGTTCACAAAACTAAAGTAAATGACAATATTGGGTGCATGAAACCATCCAAAACACGCAATATAAAGAATCGATCCAAAAGAATTCTACTAATCCAAATACGATTCGACGCGATACTGCAAATGGCAATGAGAACTCTATAAACACGAAATCAAAGTCAGCTTCTGTCGTTGCTATTGATGACAGTCTCCCCATATATAAAGGCCCCATGTTTTGCCTCTTTTACAGATTTTTCTACTAATAGCATTTACTTCATTCATATAACCATCAATATACCACCATTATGAAATTCTCTTACGTTTTCCTCTCTGCCCTCGCTGTTGGCTTCGTCTCTGCTCAAACCCCTGGTTGCAACTGTGATCCCAGCGACACCGAGTGTATTTCCACTTGTGGTATGTTTCTCATATAATATTGTACCTAGCTATATGGCAAAGATACAAAAGAACTTGGGTTTTTAACGATTATATATAGTCACCGGTACCAACGACTGCGTAACAGCATGCGAGAACAACACTCAGTGCTACGAACAATGCGTCCAGGGCTGGCCCGGTGTTGGCCAGGAATCATCTGCTGCTGCTGACGCCGGCTCTTCTGCTGGCGCCACTGATCCCTCCGGCTCTACCCCCTCTGGTTCTGCTGCTGAATCTGACCCTTCTCCTGCTCCTACCGATGCTCCCAGTGAGTCTCCTGCTGCTTCTGGTTCTGCTGCTGAATCTGGCGAACCTGGTGCTGAAGCCAGCGCCTCAGGTGATGCCGAGACCTCCCCTGAAGCTGGCGAAGAAAATGCTGATGCTGAAAATGCTGATGATGAAAATGCTGCTGGTCAACTCAAGGCCTCTGCTTTGGGTCTTTCTGCTGTTGCCGTCGTCGCCGCCCTTGCTTTCTAAACTTACTACCTTTGTACACACATTGCAGCCCACAAATTACACCTAATGTAGTTCTCTTTCATTTTACATTTAGCAACACTGTACTTTTGAAACAAACACACCACTCATCCTGTATTCCCCCTCAATACTTGCTCTTACTTTTATTATTCACTATTGCTACATCTCAAAATACATAACTATATAGTTGGATTTATGTCATTATCGGTATGTTGGTGAGATCAAAGTTCTTGCTTTTTTCGTGACAATATGACTATAATTTAGACAAACTCTGTGTGTTTCACTCAATATCAGGCCATTTCAGTCTTTAACATGATTGGCAACTATGCTGATGGTTGTACGAAGATGATGCGCTGTGAATTGAAAGCTATTATTAACCCAGAATGGTCTAGGTTTGTATCACGTTTACGGTATGTCACCGATGCATCCAGTAACGACGACGACTGGAGAATGACGTGGAATCAAGAAAGCATTATGCACTTGTTTGTTATGGATTGGATAGTAACCATACATGTCTAAAGGTATTGAAATCATTACAATTTTCTGGGACCTTGTGTTCGACACGTAAATGTTACACCCAAAAGTGAAGGCTGGACTTCCTTACACCCAGTTAGACTTGATCGCCGCCCGGGTATCCATCATCATCGCATAAATGCTTCTTCATTACCAACTCAAACAGGAAGTAACTGTTACATTGCTGTTGCACCACGCTCACTCACTTTCTTTATTTTGCCATCGCACTTGACCGAGATTCAAGTCCATGCAACTTGGTAGTTCATTATTATCTTATGTTAATTAAAACTAGTGCTGTGTTTGCAATGTGCGGGGCAACTTTCTGGTTTATTAGCTTCTTTTGCACTTGCACACTGCTGTCGTATTGAAAAATTAGCAGTTGCGGAGGATAATCAAGTACCTGAAAGAACGTGGAAAAGCGTGTTTTAGCATCTCTTGCTCTAACAGCAACGGCGCACACCACAGCACCGACTACTATGGTTTACTACACGTTTAGCCTAACTATGTCTGGAAAAGCAGAGGAGGAAAACTAGACTCTATCCATCTACATATAGTTTATACATATACCATTTGACGTAAATAGAGTCATCATTCGACATTTCGATTTCATTGACAGTATTCAGATAACACTGTTGCCGGCTTTATATAGATTCTGAGTATTTATGTATTACAGTACGACATGGTCTTAAATCGAGAAATTCGCCTTGAATATAAGGTATATTAATAACTACGATATACACAGACGCAAAGAGACCTGAGTCGATCAAAATGTCTCGCGTATTCATTCTGGATAGCTGATTGAGAGAACGGAAGTTGGATTTATAACCACATTCATTCCTTTGGTAAATGGCATCGCCCTTATATGTGATTATGTAGAATTACCTTCTTTAAGTCGTTTAATATTTAATAACTTAGCATTGAATCGACGCTCAGTGAAGCACGGTAGGCGGAGGCTTTCTTATCGCAGATGCTAAGAATTTCTTGGCTCGAGATAGAGAAACGGCGATAATATAAATGATCGTGTGAGAAAAGAGGTCAAAAGCAAGTCATCGTGGGAACGCAAACCACTTGTATTCCATATCAAAGATATTCAGGACTTGAAGGAAGAACCATAGTCGTAATGTTATCCTTTCACGAAAACATAACGTCTGTAAGAGTAAACATTCAGTGTTCTCAGTCCATAAGTGACAAAGACAGATATGGGAACTTCAACTGCGTTATGCAAGCTTAAATTACCTGTCAAACTGCGGAAATTTATGTGGAAAAGATTAGATCAACGGATGTGTTGTATATGCATGTTTAATACTGATTCTTGTCCAAAAAAAGAAACACAAGGTTATGCTAGAGCTATCAGCCGGAACAAGAAATTAAGGAGGGGATTTTCTTTAGGTCTGACTACGCTACTAGAACTAATAAATAAATATTAACAATTGGGCATGGTTCATGATTACGTGTGAGTGTGAGAGTGCTGATATAATGTGTCGATTGTAGATTATGCGTTATATATGCGTTATGGTTGAAAGACGGTGAGGAGAGGTTGATTGTTGGGTGCTGTATGCCGAAATCTTCTGAGCGATTACTATGATGAAACTGTGCGTGGTGAAATAAGTCGAGGCATCGACTCTACTGCCTCCAACATCATGTCTATAACGGGCGGGCGAGTCGTGTGATGAGTATTTTAATAAGTAAAGTAATTCATTCAGGGAAGCGCATAGAAACTTACTTATTGGTATATCATCTGACAGCTCAAAGAATGTGTCTTCACTATTGCTGTCGTTATCGCTGAATGGATCGTCACCTGTCGCTTCGATCATCATATCGTCTTCATGGGAAGGCGAGCGTCGTGAAAAATCGTCGCTTTGATCATGCTCCTCAATAGCAGCTGGTGTGGGGAAATGGTCCAGGTATTTTTCCCGTTCAAAAAACATCTGTTTTCGTAACAGCATCATGTCCTGCATCCGCTGACTCAGGTAGACTGCAATCTCCACACTGTTGTCCAGTCGCTGCGGCTTTGTACTGGGACACAAGAACCAGTATTTGCGAATGAAGCTCGGTGGGACAAACCAGTTGTCTTGGTTACCGGGACAGCCGCCAAGGAACATGGCAGAACCGATGAGCATGTTGAACAGTTCGTTGGCGTCGTAATAGTCTTGGAACATGATCATGTGGTCGCGCATCGATGCACCGGGCACTGCGTCAATACGAATGTCGTGGCGAACGTTTCGTTGCAGTTCGGCTATAAGAAAAAAGGAAAGATGAATTTTCCCATAGTCATTAGAATATCCCCTCCCCTTTCACCTTATTCACTAACTACTTACTTGGCTCAAAGAATGCTAGCGTATTCTTATCAGTCCGTTGGATCTTGCGCATCTCAGTGACGAATTCAAGCGGAGTCATTGGATGATAGACTCGCTCGCCATCAGGTCCAATCGTGTAGGTTTTAGTTGTCTCGGGAACGTCGTTGGTGATGGTGGAGGTCGAGGCAGTGGAGTCACTGGTGGTAGTAGTAGTAGTAGTAGACGAAGTTGAGGTCTGCTGATCGGCAGTGATGACTCGATGGGCATCCGTGTTAGTGTTCCACAACTCAGACATGGTGCTATCTTCAAACTCATGCTTGAGCTGGTGTTTGCTGTATTCGCCCTTTTCGCTGAAGCTCTGCAACGACGAGCGCCATTCGGGCGGTATCAGGGCAGCAAGTTCAGGCGGCGTCTGGTCGATAGTGAAATTGGGTCGTGTAACCTGGTCAATGAAACTGGAGACAAGGTCAGTGCTGGCGAGTTGTTGGAACAATGCCGGGTCGAGTCCATAGCTGCTGCCGCTGTTGAGCGCCTGCAGTTGTGGCGCCAGCACCGTTGCAGTCTGTGTGAGGTCGAGAGGCGGCAGAGGTTGTGAAGAAGAAGCGGCTGCAAAATCATTGATTTCAAAGCTGCCTGGCATGGCACGTTGGTTGTGCAATATTTGGGGCGACATGAGAAGTGTATCAATGAGCGTGCTGCCACTGCTGCTGCTGCCGCTGCCGCTGCCACCGCCGGTACTGTAGGTGGTGATGTTGTTGTTGGACGAAAAGGAGGTTGATGGTGAAGGGGAGTCGATAGCCCCAAAGGAAGGCGGACTTTTCATCAAGTCCGCAGGCAAGTGTTCGTCTTGCAAGCTGATGATGTGCATGCTTTTGTCAAGGAAGAATTCAAGGGCTTGGGACATGGCCTTGGACTTTGATGACATTAGCCTTTCGGCGCCGAGATCGTCCCTGGAACCTGTGTCTGCAAAGTTGGGGACGTCGACTCGGCTAGCAGTGCATGCGAGCTTGAGCGTCAGGATATGTCCGCGCAAGTGGTTGTTTTCGTACTCGAGCTCTTTGACTTTGCGGTCCAGCTTGCTGGCCTGCCGCAGTGCTTGGTCGCGAACGTATAGTGCGCGTTTCACCGTCGCTTCGGCTTCACGCATTTCTCGTCGTTTGCGTTCTCGAAAAGCCCGCTGTGCTGCCCGGTTCTGCGCTTTGCGCTGTGCAGGCGAGGGCGGGTTGGGTTTTCGGCCCGGCTTTTTGCGCGGTCGGATGGGGCGGCCGTTCTCGTCGAGGTTGCCGAGCTCAAGCTCAGGGTCAAAGTGTTCAAAGGCTATATCTGTCATTCATGCAGGGGGGTGGCAATAAAGAGCGGAAAAAAAAAGAAGGGATAAAGTGGATGAGAAAAAGAGTGGAGGGAACAGAGAAGAGAGAAAGAGAGAGAAAGAGAGGAGAATGGCGTCGTAACAATGCAAACAAAGAAAAAGTTCTTTTTTTGGGTTTCGCAGTATGGGCACCGGGTTAGCTCTCACTGTGCGAAAAATTAATAAATAAAGGCTGGGCGGGGAATGGGTGCGCATGGAAAGGAGGGCAATCCAATCTTCCAACCTACCTTACCTACCTCTACCTACCTACCTACCTACCTACCTACCCACCCACCCACCCGCCCGCTCACTCTGCTGGTCTAACTCCCCCCAGCGAAAGAGAGAGAGAGAGAGAGAGAGGAAGCGTGGTCCATGTGGCTGCAGTGCTGTCGTGCAGTGGGAAACTGTGAATGCCTTTCACATGGTAAATCTTTCTCTCTCCATTGTCCCAGCAGTTACACAAAGCTCATGGTCTTTTTCTTTTCGTTAGCAAGACCATGCTATGCACCTCACAGCAGCAGGCCATCAAGAAACGAGCAATCAATCAATCAATCAATCCCATGAATATAGAAATATTAGAGCCCGTTTTATGTTCATCACATAGGGCCATGGCAAGAAACCTCTGGCATGCATTCTAAGTGCTGTGTATAAATACAGGACATGATGGGGTTGTGGGGAACGGCCTAATATCCTTCTCTCAGCTACTACCCAAAGCTACTACTACTCCATGATGATGACTCAACGAAAGCTGCTCTCCATCCTTCTTTTGCTTGCTGTGTCGCTTGCCGTCTGCTACGCTGAATGTGAGTGCGATGCGTCAGAACAAGAGTGCGTCCGACAGTGCGGTAAGATGAATATGACAAGATGGACATGATGGATCGCTTTTCTTGGCTGCTAACTTGGATTGTTCCATCACATAGTCATTGATGCAGATGACTGTATCACCAACTGCGAGGGTGATACAGATTGCTATGAAGGATGCATTGTCAACAAGTGGTACGTGTGTGATGTGTGATATGTGTGTGTGTGTGTGTGTGTGTGTGTGCTCCCCGCCACCCAGTAAACAATGCATCGCTCATGATTCCTCTTTCTTTTCTTCTGCTGTTCTTAGGCCATCTGCCGCTAGTGTGAGCCAAGCTGCCGTGTCAAGTACGCCAGCGCCGTCCGCTACATCCAGCAGCGCAAGCTATTCGTCAGGTAAACTTCTCGCGCAATTCCCCCTCCCTTGCTCAGTCAAGTTAATTAAATTGTTTCCCCCTTAATGTATACTCCGCATACTTCCAGCATCCACCTCGTCTCAGTATTCCAGCGCTTCTGTCTCTGCAACCAGTCATCCCTCGCCTACGAGCAGCACCAATGTCAGCAACAAGATAAACAGCGGGGCGCAGTCCATCTTCACGAGCTCCTCCTCCTCGTTGATTGCCTTGGTTTCAGCAGTATTCTTCTTTGCATTCTCGTCCTTAGTTTAAACTTTCATCGTCATAATAAACATTTCATATGCTATATATATATACACGCCTCTCAATGTCAGCAGCTAGCTCATTGCCCAACCAATTTTGCAGTCCCACCATGTTTTGGGTTTTTTTTTTCTTTCATATGAAAAATATGAAGCGGCGCCTCCTTTTGGATGGTGGAGGGGGGCGATCGGTACAACTGAACTCCGCTTCGCTTGCTTCAATGGGAAAACTGTTGTCCCGAAACGTGCACTGCTTTTTCCTTTGCTTTTTCCCCACACCACTGGACCATTTTACTGAAAAAGACAGAATGGACCCATTTACGTCAGATATCAATCAGTACTACCCACAAGATCAGGACCTACCATGGCCTCTGGAGTCCATGCAGTTTGATACACAGCTGCAGCAGCAGCAGCAGCAGCAGCAGCAACAACAACAGCAACAACCTGATGCTTCCTCTTCACCGTTCATACAGCCCATTCCCTTCATGTCACACCAACAACAACAACCTTATTCTGGTGCTATACCACCCAACATGAACGCTCCCAACATTATACAACTGGGCATGCTGGCTCACAATGCACACCATTCGACTCTAACCCCCGAGCAACAGCAGCAGTTCCTTCAACAACAACAACAACAACACCCGCAGCAACAACAACAGTTTTCTCACACACCACAATTGGACGCCAATGGCCAGCCCATCAAGATTAGGAAAAAACCCGGACGAAAACCTAACCCGGCGTCGCCTGCTTTACGTAAAGCACAAAACCGAGCAGCACAACGAGCATTTCGGGAACGAAAAGAACGACACCTTCGGGATTTAGAGATCACCATCAGAACCCTCCGCGAGCAGCGAAACAGTGCCGTCAAGGAGCTGGCCACAGCAAAGTCCAAGCTGGACGGTTGCAAGGCAGAAAACTGGTATCTCAAGGGCGTTGTGCTTACGCTGCAGTTTGTATGTCTTCACCACCATATACATATTCCTACGCATTCGCCCTACTTGACAGAGGAAGCGCTTGCAGATATCGCACATACCTCTCCGCACGCGATTGAAGCTTATGTAAACGCATACACACGCAACAATGTCGATCTGAAGCCGACCATGGCAACTCAATTTGTAAACCTCTCACAAAGAGATGGAAACAACAAGGAAGACGACGACGACGACGACAAGAGCTACCATCATGATGACACTAGCAGCCAACACCAGGAACAGCAGCAGTTACAGGATACGGATGACGAAATGATGAGTGAAGTGAAGCAAGAGCTTGGTATGCCTGACCTTATATCAATGCCACAGCATTCTTGCGAGAAGCACTCAACAGCAGCAGCAACCACAATTGATCCATCAGCACTTCATCACATGTCATCCTTATCACCAGCACCTACAGAAGCAGACGACACAATGTCGTCCAAGGCAACCGACAATGATCCATGTTCAATCCGACGTGATGACCCAAATGATGTCAACAGCACCCTAAGCAGTAGTGCAAACGGTCAACAACAACAACAACAACAACAACAACCCTTGGAATCGAGCTTGGGTGCTATCCAACGGATACGTATGCAGCTTCGCGTTCAGAGTGCGCTTTCCAACATTGGACAATCCAGTACGCGGTTGCAACCCACACTGTTGCAATTGGCCATCTCCCACGACCCTCGTATTGATCTTATTCCCACACCCCACATGCGTGACAGAATGATTATTTTCCGCGACTTGATGGACTATGATCGTTGCTTTGCTTTACTGCTGAACGGTGCAGTGTACCATGGAGGGGATCCTACCATGAGCGACAGTTGGGAATTACCGGCCGAGTTTTTCAGTGAATTCTGGTAAAAGAAAACAGAAAGAATAGACTGGGAGGAAATATATAAAAAAAACGATATTGATTGGGGATAAATTGACGCGGAATTTTCCTAGGTATTTGGCAATCAATTACGACTTGTCAAAGACAAACAAGTGGAGACTGATGAAAGGATTGCCCGAGTTGGAGATGGGACCTACGGAAGGACAGCAGCAAGAAGAAGAAGAAGAAGACGATTTGGATGGGACGATTTGGGGCGACGAATTGCTTGATCAATTTACTGAACCCATGCCGACGTTACAGCCGTATTCGGCTTCCAGGCCCCCAAAATCGCCAAAATCACCTTCTAGTCAAAACAGTAGTAGTAGTAGTAATAATAAGCGAAGCACATCGATGTCACCATCGCACCCAATGTATGCAAACTTGCGATCACCGCCTGAGCTGCGGAACCCTGTGAACGCTCCAAGTCTCGGTATGTGACAGGATTACAATCAAACCCAATTCCCGTGTGTATGTGTTGGAAATTTTTTTACTTATTGTTTCTATTATAGATACCATGATGAATTTGATGAACAATCTGCCTACTAACTCATAACGATCAACCTTTTCTAAATCTTTTCTCGATACTCCACGTGCACACCCACTCACTCACTCCCTTACTCACTCGCGCCTCGCAAATTTCACCCTTTTTTGTAAATACATTGCTCAATTAATCTTTCTTTTGGCGTTACTGTTTATATTTTTCTTAAAGGTGGCTGATAATCTGCGTGTATGCGTTGTAATGTGAGATTCGATCTCTCTCGGATAGTGTTTGATATACAATGGATACTGTACATTTCCAATTTACATGATTATGACAACAGTAAGCGTCATTGCGTTGGAAAGTCTAATCTTTATTATCTACGTATCATTCGACCTTGGCAGTTCCCTTGACAGCCAAATTATCATGGTGATCATTGATCCAAAGCTCAAAAGTTCCTAAACCAGTATGTCGTCCACATACAGTCAATGGCTGATCCACATAAAGCGGAGCAAGGCATCGATACTGGAACGATTCCAGCGCGATATCCCCCTCTCCAAACTTGCTGTTGTAGTAAGTCCGTAGAGCTGAGATAAGTAAAGTACTCGACAAGGGACCATGAACTAAACAATCTATTTAAGACCCGTTAATCTTCCTATTTCTCCCTGCTAAAAAAAACACAGGCTTTTTTTTCCCTTACTCGGATGCTTTTCAACATTCTTTGCGTAGTCTTGATCGTAGTGAATCTTGTGTGAGTTAAACGTCAGCGCGGAATATCGAAATAAGAGAATAGACGTAGGATGTATGATCTTGAAAAAATCAGGAGCTTTCTTCACTATGTACACAGATAAAATAATACATGTTCATCAGAAAAAAAAAAACCAAATTCCTTATCCCACCGCCCCTAGGAAATACATGAATTTATGCGCACTTGCTTTGAATGGAACGTCGTGAAGATGATAATCCAGTTTTTTTATGTTGAGACGTCGCGTATACCAAACATCGCTGTTCACGCATTGACCATCCTTTCTGGTTATAGATATCCTTATCCAACCACACCATCACGGAATCACCCAAACGACCGCCCTCTTTGTGCTCGATGCGATTCACTTTGGTCACCATTTCGGCTTCGTCGCCCACACGTAAAGGATTTCGCAAGTCAAACGTCAACTCGGCACCAGCCCACATGCGCTGATCGAACGGGTACGGTGGATGGAAATTGGTTTCATATCCGTCACTGGCAAGTTTATGCTCAGGTGTTCGCGGTGGGAAATAGACATGGTGGTACGTTGCCGGGACGATCATGCCCTTTTCCGGAACGACATGGTCCATGTATCCAAGTGTTCTGTCGTCGAGTGTGTTGGCTAGTAAATTGAGTGGAGAGGCAGTAATGGTGTCCAAGGTTTCGGTGCGTTCCTGCATGGCACGTGCTCGCCATTCGCTCATTATTTGCTTCGTGTTGCTTTCCACCTGGCCGCTGTACATTCGACGCCATTGTGTCTTTTTATTTGACGTTAGTTTTTTGCAAAGAAAGATAATTATCTGGCGCGTTGAATTATTACTTTAAAGGCAATTGGAATGAGGTTGAATCGTCGCATGCCATTCATTGGTATAAAGTAACAAATAGATAGTGACTTTTTTTTATTGGTCAGTTGAAATAGTGAGTATGAAGGAAAAAATTAAAGGATAAATGTATTCAGATTTTCATTCAAAATAATATCAGAAACGGCAGTCATGACATGCTGGAGAAGGTCCGTGTCCGTTGCATCCGTAAAGTAGGCATACACTCGCTTTTCACTATTTCGATTGAGTCGTTGAAACCGCTTCTTGAAATACGTTCGTGCTTGTTCAAAGTCATCGTCAGGACCTTTGTGTTTTGCAGTTTTTTTAGTTACGTGTTTGAAGATCTCTCTCTAATAAGCCATCTATACCTTTGTAGTCGGGGAAATACTTGGATATGGGTGATTCTTTGATTTTCTTTTTGAAAATGTCAATCTTGTTGAGAAACAAGATCATGGATGTTTTCACAAACCACTGAGAGTTACATATACTGTCGAATAGCATCAATGCTTCTAGCATCTAAAGAAAGGTCGTACAGGGAAAAACATGGGTGTGAGCAATTTCCACTCTTTCTTTGTCCAGTTCAGTACTACACAGCAGACGAAGAAGACTCACTTGGTTCTAGAAAATACATAGCTCAGAGTGAGTGTTGGAAGGAATCGTCCACACGATCAAATTGATTACTGCTTACCGAATCTCGATCTTCCACCAGGCATTGATCATAGCCACTGATGGCTACCACAAATAGAATGGCTGTTACATTTTCAAAACAATGTATCCTATCAGGAAAAGCGAAACCCAAATTTTCTTCGTTATTACTAAAATATCAATCGGATCCGATTGGGGGGGGGGCGTAAAGAGGACAACTACTTGCCATTTCTTTCGTTCGCTCCGTTGTCCACCCACGTCCAACATTCTATACGTCAATGGTCCCAAGTGAAAAATGGATTCTGCAATCCCTGTCGTTTTTGCCCGACATCGAATGATGTCCTTGTCCGTTGGTATATAGTGCTCTTCCCACAATCGATCCAGTTCTTCATAGAAGCTAGAGACGCTTATTATTAGAAAGCACGATGATTTAACACCAGCTTAGAAGAGAAAGACTTACTATAATACGTTATCGTGTAATGCAAAGTCATTGCCATGCTTACATGCCTTTTGAATCCCTGGATCAGACCACAGCCGTTTGAGCGGATCCAAATAGGTTGCGGGATAAGGTTGGGCCTTGGAAAGTGCAGGCGTGTCTTGCATGATGAGCTCGGCATCTTCCTGCGACGTTTTATGTTAGCAACTCGTATTTTTTATATCATTTTTTTAACACTCACTTGCGAGGTCTCTAACTCCAACGGTATATTCAACTGGTCAATCACTTCAAGCAGTGTCTGCATGATATTGATGACGTTTGAAAACACAATCATGCGAAAACTTTCACGTTCAGACGCGTCAAACCCCGATGCATTGATCAACTTCATTTGCTTCAACACAGTGGACTTGCCAGACTCGCCAGCACCTAGAATTTTATATCCAATAGGAACAAGCAGAAGAAGAAGAAGAAATTCCTTTTACCGTTTGCTTATTACTATTCGACCAGAGGAAACACACTGTTGCTGTAATACATTTTCTGAGGGGAAAATGATAGAGAGAAAGAGAGTGAAAAAGCTTTTGTTACCTAATAGCAATAGCTTGACTTCAGTTTTCATCCGTTTCTCATCCGTCTTGATTTGCCTTTCAATGCTTCGGTTTTGATCGTTTTCGCCACCAGTGGACTTTTCTGGTGTTTTGCTACAGCAACTACCCATTGTGGTTTTTGATTTCAGGTTGAGGGAGGATCCGATCCGTATGATTGAATGAATGAGTGAATGATTGAATGAAGGTCACACACTGTAACTCGTTTGAGTAAATAAAAAGTGTAGCACGTATAGAGTGCGTTTTGCTTATTATTGAACGTAAGATAGTATGTAAAGGATATTTATTATTTTTTGTAAATAAGAAAAGAATAGTGTCGATTTCAATTTCGCCTGCTATCACAAAAAAGTAGGTTTAAGGCGAGAATTTCATAATACAGGTGTGTGTGTGTGGTAAGCTGCGTGAAGGTAGTACTGTAAATTTGTATGGCAAGAGTAGAGATAATAGTAAAAATAATAATATAGAAAGAAAAAATGGGAAATTTGTATTGCCCTGCAATACTCGTTTATATTATAGCGTTCTACTCCTTTCCACTGTTGATCGAGCCAACCTTCTCGGCGTCCAACTCCTCAGTATGAGGCAATGCAGGCTTGCTTCGGAAAGCAATGATAGATCCACTGAAGACGGCGTCCATCTCTTCCAGGGAGCGGCCCTTGGTCTCAGGGAAGAAGAAAAAGACGCAGCAACACATCACTGTTTGTAAGACACCAAAATAAACATCCACCGGTTGTCAGTGACAACTAGTTTCAAAAAAAGAATCTCCAAGGATTTGCGCAAACACAAAAAGAAAAAAAACTTACCAAAGCAGCAGCAGCCAAAGAAGATGTAGGTACCCCAAGTGATGGAAGCCAACATGACGGGCACGATTTCAGAAATGACAAAGTTCATGAGCCAGTTGGCAGCGGTACTCAACGAGGTAGCCTTTGCGCGAATGTTCAGGGTATAGATTTCGGCAGGATAGATCCATCCAACAGGGCCCCAGGAGTAGGCAAAGCCGGCGACGAAAAAGTAGATCATGACGATACAAAAGTAGGATGCGCTGGTGTTACCGCTCATGTCAACGTTGTTCTTGTCCTCGGCAGCGTCATAGTAGACGCGACCGGTGGCACCCATGACAATACCACAAAGAAGCATGGAAACACCCATGAAAATGGCACCGCTCATGAGGGTCTTACGACGGCCCAACTTGTCCATGAACATGATGGCAGGCACGGTAGCAAACATGTTCAAGACACCGTTGACGCCAGAGGCAATCAGGGTTGCAGATTGCTCGCCGATACCAGCTTGCTTGAAGATCTGAGGAGCATAGTACATGATACTGTTATAGACAGAATGTGAGTTCATTTGATTGGGAGACTTGTATGACTCGGTTAAACAAGTATGTAACGCACCTGTTGATGCCAGTGAACTGTTGGAAGACTTGGATGAGGATACCGAGAATGAGACGGCGGCGAAGAGTGCCCTTGAACAGCTCAAAGTAGTTGGTGACAGAAACAGCACGTTCGTGGGAGACCTGCTCAATGATTTCATGGTATTCTTGCTGAACAAAAGGCGCGTTGGCGTCACCGTTGGCGTGCAGCTTGGCCAAGACCTCCAAGGCCTCTTCATTGCGGCCCTTGCTGATGAGCCAACGGGGAGAGTAAGGAAGGAAAAAGGCGCCAAAGAAAAGAATGAGTGCAGGGGCGATCTGGATAGCGAGAGGGATACGCCAGCTAGCTTGGCCAGTTTGATGGATGTTGGTGCCTGTACGTATAAAGCTGTTAGTGGAGATCCTCTTTCGTTGCAAGTGTCATGAAGGGGGAATTGGGAGCTAGATACACACCTGCGCCAGCCCAGAAAGCAATCATCAGACCGACGGTGATCATGAACTGCTGGAGCGAGATAAGACGACCACGGATCTGCTTGGGAGCTAAAAAATGATCAGAGATTGCGAGTTAGTAACGTTGCCTTGGTCGTAGAAAAGCTGCTACTGCTGGAAGCGTGGCTTCGTCTTACCAAGCTCAGACTAAAAAAAAAAAAGGGAACACATTAGCAATTTTATAAAAGAATATAGAAAATAGACAGAAAAAAAAATTAAGGTTTTTTTTTTATACCTGATAAAGCGGGACGGTCATGGACAGACCACCAATACCCAAACCAGCAATAGCTCTGCCAGTAACCATCATGGCATAGCCATTGGCACCAGTCTGAAGGGCGGCACCGAGCATGAAGACGAGAGAGGCAAGGATGATCGTTCGCTTACGGCTGATGAGATCAGCAGTTTGACCGGCAACCAAGGCACCACAGAAACAACCGGCAAGCAACAGACCGGTCAAGGTACCCTGTTCCAGAGGGGTCAAGTAGTCGCGCTGCTTCATTGTGTAGATGAAGTCCTCCATCGTAAGGATACTCTGTTTTCCATATGCAATCGGTGTTAGTGTTTTGAGAGCTCTGCTGCCGGTATCAAGAGAGAATGCCTAGCACCGTCCCATTGCCAGTGCAGTTACTTACACTCAAGACACCTGTGTCATAACCAAAGCAGAGACCACCAAAGGCAGCAAAGAAGCAGACGCCGTAGATACGCCAGGGGAATTGAGCCATGAGATTAGTAGGAAATAAAAGTTATTAAGAAAGAAATAAAGTCTTCAGAAAGCTAAAGAACTCTTCTGGAGTCCTCTTTATTTATACTCGTTTTTTTTTGATTTCATAAAGATCACACTCAACAGAGTCTATTGTGGCACTGGGGCCGGACGGACGCACCCAGCGGAAAAGCCGCATTGGGAATTGCTGCAACACCTTGAAAAGGAAGTATTTTCGCCTTTTCCCGAGGTTGGATGGGCCAAGCGGTGATTGGAAACGGGAAAAGAGGGGGGCATCACAGAATGGAAAACGGATTCCCAGCACCCCACATATCACACTGCCCAAACACAGAGAAAATCGTCAGTTTCAAGTTATAAAAAAAACCGTTCAGAGTTGTTCTTGGACAATTTTACCCGTTCTCACTCTTTTTCCGTCGTTTCTTGCCTTTCCTTGGTTCCAATCTGGAAAAAAAAAGAGTCAAAAGAGGCTATAAAACCCTTTCTGCACACACACCCACACCCTCCAGCTCAACACTAGAATACAACAATGCACAAGGGGGGGGGAGCGGATCAAACAATTGGGTTGTTGCCTGATGTGGTGTGTGCTTCTTGGACCCCGACAATGCTCTCTCTCTCTCTCTCTCTCTTTCACTGAGATATCCCCGCGGGGTAAGTAGTAGTAGTAGTAGTAATAGTAATAGTAGTAGTACGTTAACCCATTTTTTCCTGATTGGGCCATTCCCACTTCTTGCTGTCATACCCAGGTTTCCCATGAGAAAAATGAAAGCCGCGGGAAAAAGTCGCGTTCCGTCCAATCATCTGCACCAACCATCTGGAAATAAGGGTCGTCGAGCGACCCTGCCATATGCTCGTACCACCCTTTCGCCTTTTTGTCATAATCGTCGTCCTTTTAAATAATAGATGGAGTGACATTTTATTCTCAAAACAAGAGAAACTGTTCCCTTTTAAAAAAAATAATAATAATATTATCACCCAAAAGGAAGAACGTAAGGCTTCATGTAAATGGACTAGTCCAGTCAAGGCAGCAAATGAAAAAGATGTCCTGCCCACACATAATAGTAATACTGTTCAAGCACTAAAAAGTCGGCCATCACCCCTTCACTGCTGCTTAGTATGCACCCAACAATACGCTTCGTAAACAACAACAGTCTCGGACTCTTTGTTTGGCAATTGACGAGAAAATTATAGTGTATTTTGTTTTGTTTTGTACAACAAGACGAGGAGGAGGAGGAGGAGGAAGGAAGGAAGGAAGGGGAAGGGAGGGGAATATACAATCATGATTGGACTCAATGGGCGAGGAGCGAAGAACGATTCCCACTGCTACTGTGTCGTTCTGACCATTTGCTGTGCGCGTTGGCACCTGTTGTTGTTGTTGTTGTGTGTATAACGTGTGGAATATGAGCACATGATGTTTTACCCAATCTTAAAAAAAGCAAAAAGGTTACTGACCTTGACTTGGATATCGGTTTACGTGTACGACTTGAGGAGAATCGTAACGCCGCCGTCTGCTGGGAGCCGTTTTCGACCGCTTTATACCTCGTGCCATCAGCGTATTTTTCCGTCGGCTTGCTACTGAAACTGATGGAGCGAATCGATCCTCACACGGTAGTGCTACTCCCAGCGACGCACTGTTGGACGACAGAGTACTGTATAGGCTGGCTTTCCGACTGCCGGCATCCACCACCCAAGGGTCTGTATGGCGTCGTCCGTCGTCTTCCATGGCTGCTACGTTCATAAAGAAAGGGTGAATGGTGTGACACTCATTGCTAGCAACCACACACACAGAGAGAGAGAGAAAGAGAGTCGTGTACCCTTATTCTCATTTTCCCAGGCCAGCCTGCTTCTTCCCAAATGAAGATTACCATTGCTGCTGTCTCCAGCTGCGGATGACTCTTGTCGTTGCTGATGCTGCTGCTGCAGCTGCTGCTGGAGCTGCTGCTGGGTGTCGGATATCTCGGGCATCAGAAACTGTGACTGATGTTCAACAAGGAATTGGATCACGCGTTGTGACGCTTTGTAGCTTGCAGGATTCAGCTTATCATCTGGATGGCAGAGGATGCCCTGTAGTGTATGTGTGTCATGTTAGTATTAACAACAACCATGCCACCGCCGTCTCAGCTACGGCATGGATCGCTTTCACCCCTCGGTCCCCCCCCCCTTACGTTACCGGCGTAAATATGACTGCAAGCGACGGCACATCCATGAGGGTTGTTGCTGAGTGCAAGGCATAGACGCCGAGGAGGTCAAGGAGGTACAGCAAGAGGTATTGGTTCGGCATCGGTAATCGTTCGATTAATTTCTGGAACGAGGCCACCTTGTCCTCTTCGGACTCAAATCTGGCATCTGGCAGAAAAGGGTGTCATTTCTTCTCTTTTTTGGCTTCTTGCCCCTGCACTAGTCTCCCCACCCCCCCCCCCCCGACACAGACACAGACACAGACACACACACACCCTCTCTTACCGCTCATATCTCGAAAGGCTTTGTAGTATTCGTGAGTGATGACAGGCTCGGGCAGATAGTTCAGAAACCTTCTGAGGATGCTGGCTGCGTCGTAAGTGGTATATCCTCGCCACTCCAACTTGGCGCCATACTCTTCGTCGGGTGTGTCAAAGATGGTCTGAAGCAGCCCTATCCGCTTGGCATTGCCACACAGCCGAAAGATGCCTTTGGACTGTAGCCCTGTATATATATATATATCCATTCAACACGGTTAAACCTTACTGTGGTTTGTGCTACTGCTACACAAAAGCTTATTCGTTCAAATAAGGACATAAAGTAAGAAACACACACATGCCTTCATCCTTCAAAAACGATCCGCACTTTGCAATCACTGTAGGAATCACGCCGAAACACTGTTTCCCGCTACGATCGTCGATATACGATATGCTCGAATGGGCGTATTTAATTGATTCTGCCAAGGGTATACCGAACACGCCTTTCTCTATCATCATCGCATCCACACAGTCATGTTTGTTTGTTTTGTCACAAGTCAGCCTTAATAAGAAAAAGATATGTATAACAGAAACAATGGAAAAAATACAAAGCGATATTTTTACCGACAACGGGGACTGCCATATCTTTAAAGTTTTGTGCTTTGGGATTCACTTTCTTCCACCATGTCCGTATCCGTTCTTTTTGTGCATTAGAAAAAACACCCGGAATTTCAAATGAGGATGACATGATGTAGTTTATTGTCAATCGTGGAGTTGGGAGGAAAATAATAAAAAAAGGGTCTGGGACGTAGAGAGGAAGGAAAAAAAAAAGAGAGAGAGACAAAAGGGGTGAAACATGTCTATGACGTCGGTCTCTTTTTTTTAGATGTTCTGTGAGTTCACAATATTTCGTTTCACTCTTTTTTGCCTCCTCCCTAATGGGTGTGGCATGGGGGAGGTTGACAACAGTTCATATAACAAGGCTGCTACCGGTGGTCATAGTAGTAGTGATTGGGAAGGACCTATTATTAAAAGTAGTGATCGAAACTGGTGCAGCACCTGATAGAGGATGGGGCTGTGGATCACAAGAGAACAATAGGTTTAATTGATTTTGTCCGGCAGGCATCTGTCATTATCCAAAAGACATGGCAACTCTTCCTAACTATTGTTCTTTATCAATCCCTTTATTAGCAACACTGGTGAAAGGATTCGCCACATCCACCATTTACTGTATTCTAATATTAAGTTTATGATTGGCTTGAGTTTTCCTTTATAGCCTTTTTGCATTGATTGCCATGAGCAGTAAAAGGTTAAAATTACCTGAGAAATACGGTTTGGTCATAGCAGTTTTAGTAGAGAGGCGTGATACTGAAATTACAAGTTTTGTTGTCTATAATCAGGCAAGGCCATGCTTGATGTGTCTATGTACATGCGAGAAAGTAATTTTGGTCTTCAAAAAATGACCAGAGAACGATGCTATGTAGACAGATGGCTTTGATGAATTTTGCTTAGTCGCTATATATTACGCGGATACAGCCTTTACACATATGCCGCACTCTATACATAGTGACTTCTTGGCTTATGAGTCTGAATATGCTTTCTAGAACCCAATAAGAATTTATAAAAGAACAACACACACTATGTCGATCAGAGGTCTGTTGAACTTTATTATATCTATCTATGGTCCGACTAGCTTACTGCACCTACAGTGGTACATTCAGTACATACACAGAGATACTGAAGGGGACGATTTTTCAAAAGTTGCTTAAATCAACGCCTGGCGTGGAAGCTTTGATCACGCACTGTACTTGACGTTTCGCTAAAGCGGTTTCTATAGAACCTAATCGCAAAAAATGGCTCGCCGATATCAATATGTATATATTAAACAGCACAATCACGGTCGAAATTTCCATGTCTATATACTTACAGTGATAGAGATGTCAATAGTAGTGAAATAGTATTGGTTAGTAGGAATATGGCTATATTGGATCCAGAGATGATCATGTGACTCTGAAGGTCGATACGATATGGGTGCATATACCATTTGCTCAAGAGATATGAGTCGACAGCTGGAGAAGCTTAGACCGTGTTCTCTAAGCACGCTCTACTATGTTTAGCCGTACAAATCATTATGTGCCGAATCTTCAAGAAGGATGTGCAGAGACAGGTGATGAATGATCCAGGCTCTTTCCATACCTACTAATAAAAGCAGTAGCTGGATCATTTCGCCGAATGAACGTCATTGGCCATAGAAACGAGCTAATTGAAGAGACTAAATACGGAAGTCGTTTTTCAAAAAGCGCAGTGGATGTTTTTTCGCAGGCGGAAAAGAAAAAGGGGGTCGATCGCTTGTATCACTCTCTCTCTCTTTTTTCCTCTTGTCCTTTCTGTATACATATATTTATATATAAAAAAAAGAAAGCCATGGTAGACTGGCTCCCAAAGCGACGAGTACTTGTGTCGCTTGTAGGCATCTTCTTTCTCATTTCCCTCCTTGCACTCTTGACAAACCTCTTCCCTATTCAAACCAACCTCATTACAGATGAGCAGGCACCATCAGTGACCGGCTCCGTCGATCATCTCGACAACGGTAACATTGTAGATTCAGCCGACGAGCCCGAACAAGAAGACCTTGTTCAGGTAGACACAAAGCCCACCGAAGCCGATCAATGGGCACCCAAGACGTTTGAGCCTTTGGAGGGTTCAATGATGAAGATTATCAACGCCAACGTGCGCAAGGAGAAAAAGGACAAGATCCTGCTGACCGCTGTCGTGAATGCGGGCATGGCCGACTATACACTCAACTGGATCGAGTCGCTGAAGCGCACGCACTTGGAGGACAAGTTCTTGGTGTTTGCCATCGACACCGGGCTCTACGACATCCTTGTTGACCACGGATATGCGGACCATGTTGTCCAGATCCCCGAAGACTGGTTCCACCAGAAACTGTCCAAGGACTTTGCCAAATGGCTCGATAAGTCTTACACCCCCATCACACACGCCAAGTCACTGGTGGTCGAGCGTCTGTTGTATGCCGACATTACCGTTTGGTTCTCGGACGTCGACATTGTCTTTACCTCACCTTCCATCTACAGCTATCTTGTCATGAAACTCACCTCCCGCAAATCGATTACCGAGTTCTTGACGACCCAGGAAACGGAGCAAAAGATTATCAACTCTGGTTTCTACATCATGCGTCCCACAGATACCAACAAGCGTATCCTCAGTGACTCGATCATCATCCAGGACAACGAGCCCAAGGTTACCCAGCAGCGTGCGATGAACCGCGTCATTGACGAAATGAACCTGTCGTATCAAACGAGCCCTATCGCCCTTCTCGATCTCGCCATGTTTCCCCACGGACGAATGTACTTTGAGCGCAAGATCCCCACCAAGTACGGCATGGAGCCCATGATAGTCCATGCTAACTATCGCGTAGGCGAAGAGAAGAAAAAGTCTCTGCAAGGAGCCGGACTGTGGTACCTTGACGAGTAGTTCCTCTCTCTCTCTCTCTCTCTCTTCATTCTCAAATTACACAAAAAAACATTCTTCCTCCCTTTCTTTCTCGCTCTCACCACGATAGATCCTCCCTCCCCCCCCCCTTCTGCATCACATACACTCCAAGACATGTCTCCTCTATTCCCTTAGTCTCTTTGTTCCTTTACTTGTTGCAAATAAAATCTAATTTATTCTGTACACTATACATTAGAGTTAGAGTGTGAGTTGGTATAGGAGTGTATATTATAATTAATGAAATGAAAAATAAAAGTAGTGGGGAACACCGGGTATTTTACAAACATCCTATGAATGTCGCTGCTAGAGTTAAATTATGATTCATTAGTCCCAAGGAAAAAGATGGTATCACAAAATATATCCACATGGCAAATCATTCTCACCTCCATTTCTGCTAGAACCCGTTGGAGCTGTTTTAAAAATACTGGGTGATTAACAACCTATCGTTCCCATCTTTCCGCATCGCTCGCAACTCTTTTTACCTTTGTAGCACCCTTGCTTGCAACGCTCAATAGCTTTTTCGATAATGGGTTGTTGTTGTTGTTGTTGTTGCTATTACTCGATCCGCTGCGATAGGTGCCCGTGCTTCGGACATAGCCACCCGAGAAATCGTCCTGTGGAGGCCGTTCTCTGTCGAAATATTGGTCGCTGGATATACTCGAAGCCCCTTGGAATCGTGCAAGCTGAGCCGAATTTTCAGCGGCACGACTTGGATCGTATTCGTTGCGACCAAAATATTGATCTGACGATATGCTCTTTGCATTGCCAAACTTATCTCGAGCAAAAGTGATCTCGTTTTGTGCTGCTTGCTCTTGTTCTTTCTTCACACTACCCTTTTTCGATCTTGCAGAAGCATGGTGGTGGTTGACTCTATCGTCAGATGCTCCAAAACCACCTAGTCGTGCCATGCCCATGCCCAGTCGATCCATCGCTGGGTCGTACTCATTATTATCCTCATTGTCGTCTTTCATCAAAGGGGTCGATTTGCGATCCTCTGTTTTCCGCACATCATCATCATCAGGTATGTATGCTAGACGTGAGGATGCTTTCCGTGTTGATGCAGGTGTTGGTAATGGATTAGAGAATCGATGTACGCTGCTATCATTATTATGACTGGTGTTGTCACTGCCATATTCCTTTTCTATCTTCTGCTGTTGCTTTTCGCGCGCCTGTGCTTCTTCGAAATTAAATGCGCCTGATTGCGCTTTTCGTACGCCTAACCGAGACGGCTTGTTGTATTGCTGATTCTTGGGTCGAGCGAATGATGATGCTGCTGTTGCCGCTGCTGCACTTGATGAAGAGGCCTGCAGTTTTTCTTGTTTTTGTGATTTTTCACTTTCCCAGAGCGCAAACATATCTGCATCCGTTCTTGGTTTTGTCGATGCTGGATCGGATGGTGCCATTGGTTCGATATCGATAAGAGGCATATGCTGCTGTGGTTGTTTAAACGTGAGAGGTTCGTCATTGTCAATCAGATTAGGAATGTCGACTAAATTAGGAGATGCTGCTGATATTATGTTGTCTTTGTGTTGGTCGTATTGCTGAGCGTTATTATTCGTTAATGCGCGCTGCGCTTTTGCCTGGAGCTCTCGCTTATACTGTAACGCGTTTTTGCTCGTGTATTTAGAGTGTATATCTTTATAAGCGAGAACATGTTCACCCAGTGCGTCATGGGCTGCTTGATTGCCACCACAACGCATCATCTCTAGTTGTTCGTAATTCCAGGCATCAAGTGTCGTTGATCTAAACAACCATTATCACGTCGGTTAAATACTCATACAGCATGAAACAGAACAGTAAACTAATTCATACAATAAGAACCTTACTTTACAAAACTGATATGTACACCCAGGTTTCTGTGGGCTGCGGCACAATCTTGGCACAAATACACGCCAAACGTTATTGAGGCCCAAGTGGGTCCTTTTACATGACAATCAAAGCATGCCTAAATTGAGAAAATGAGTAAATGCATTCTAATGAATAAGAAAAAGTGCCAATTTACCTTATTATGTCTAGATTGCAGTAGCTTTCTGAATTCTTGAGAAGTTTCCTGCTTTGTTGGTTGTTGCTGTGACATATGAAGAGAGTGTATGAAGAAAAAGAGAAGCAATTAAAGATTGTTTGCTCCGCTACAAAGTCTGAAAGATTGCGAAACACAAAGCGGCGGGTGTGCCAGCTTTTCCGTGTAAAGTATGCTTGGAAGGATTGCCCCTTTCTGCTAGATGCAAAAAACTGGTAAAGTTAAAAACGTTACAAGGAACACAAAGCTAATCTGATACATCGAATATATTTCAAGACTTTAAAGTGATGCTGCAATCCCCTCTTTTATTAGTGCCCCCTCTTACCCACAATATAGCACCCACGCAATATAATCCACTTGAACAAAGAATGCTGTATCATTGATGAATTCACTTTTTAGAAAGAAAAACTTTGACAAAGAGAAAAGGAGGTGGAGAGAAAGATGAACAGATGGAGAGTGTGAAAGATGGGATAAGGGAAGAAGAGGGGTGGAAAAGAAGTAGATGCATGTCCAATACAGAAAAGAAAATAGTTATATAACAGTATTATGAAGGGAATCAATACGGAGAATGTTCGTACTGGTGATGGTATTGTTGGCCATACTGTTGCTGGCCGCCCATGGGAGGGGGCATTGGGGGCTGTTGTTGTTGTGGTTGATAGTGCGGCTGCTGAACGGGATACTGAGCATTGTTGTTGTTGTTGTTGTTGTTGTTGTTGTTTCCATAGCTCTGTTGGGACAATTCATCCTCGCCCATCAACTCCTTCACTTCCCATACGTTCTGCTTGGATCCAACCGAGAATTCGAGATCTTCCTTGGTGATCGAGTCCCAATACTTGTATACCATCATGACTGCCAGCAGTGAGCAGATCGTGCCAAAGAACAAACCGTCGACGTAATGCTTGACTTGGTCACAGATCGTGACGGAAAAGATAAACATGAGGACCTGTCCGACAATGAAAAACGCGGTGCCGAACAAGATGTCGCCCAATGGCCAGCGATCATCCAGAGTGTTGACGACCAGAATGATTTGCGAGATAACATATACGATGAACGCAATGCCGTTAATAATAAAGTAAAAGGCCCAGAGCGCGCCAGGGCTATTGTAGGAGAAGGGGCCAATGTTCAAAAAGGTCAAAATTGCAATGACGCCGACGATGATGAAGATCAGGAACGAGCTGATACGAATCGACCATAACGACAAGGGTGTGCCATCTTCTGCAAATTGGAAACCGACAAAACCGTTGATCAATAGACACCAGAATGTTGCACACATTAAACCGACGTGTATAGCAGCAAAGTACTGAAAAAATGGATTTTGTGCAGAAGAACATGCATGTTAATACTCAAACTCGACTCGCTGGTTTATCTCAGCATCTACAGCAGTATAGGTTATCAGTACAATAACTTACTGCATAAGCGGGGGATGAAGATGGAATGACATCGGTGATCAAGAGCATTTCCAGGAACACGGTGACCATATACATATAGAAGAACATGACAATTTCCTTGCGACCTGTGCGCGTGTGCGTGTAGAGAACATCAACCGTGGATTAGTTCATCTGAGCAGAAAAAAAAAACGAGAAAACAGCCATGAGAACAAATCTTACCAACAGCGGTATATTTTGATCGAATATGGTAGATCATGATAGCTGTCATAATGATAGCGACAACGTCCACAATGAGCGTTGCTATAGGATAAAGCCAAGTGTTGCCGTGTTAGTGATGAGGTTGTTATTTTCTATTCTCTGGTGTATTCGTACCTGGTTGAAAGACAAGATTGCCGCCTAAATCGACATTACGAGAATAACATACGGGCTCAACACCCTCATTCTCACCCATCATTGGGCATAGCGGTAAAGCAACGGTTTGGCAGATGCCATTGAAGCTGAATGCTTCGAACTTAAATTCAATATCGACCATAATGTGGCGTTATGCAATGTATAAGTTGGGTGCAGGCGCCAATGGGATGTGGTGTGTTTTAGATGTGTATGTAAGTATTTTAGATGAGAGATGAAAGAGAATGTGAAAGGGTGTTTTTTAAGGGGTGGCTGTTTGCACTATAACCTTTTCGAAAAGTGTAGTCAGTTGAAGAAGGAGAGGGTTATATTACTGTGTATATACGGGCGAAGGGAAAGAAAGAAAGAGAGAGAGAGAGAGAGAGAGAGAAAAGCTGCAAAGCCGCCCAAGAGTAAACAAGTGTATATAAAAAAACGAGTGGAAAAAAAAAATGCAACAAAGCTAGGCGAGGGTCAAACCCATAAGGAAAATGACTAGATTCTGTTGTGATAAATGCGTGTGTGTGTGTGTGTTCGGATGTTCTGTTCCCTTCGTATATTTATTAAAGGGAAGATCACTAATTGGCTATTTTTAGCCTTCCAATCATGATCCCTGAACGCATGCACTTTTTTTCTTTCCAGGAGATGGTCCGCTGGATCTCGATCCCCAGTTTTGGGCCTTTCCATAATGAATGCCCTTGAGCAGAACAACAATTCCAATGCTTGTGTTGTGTTGTGTGTGTTGAGGAAACAGCGGGAATAATGGGTTCATTTCTCTCTCGTCCTTCTCCAAGTGTTAGCTTCAGCGCTACATCAAACATATGAGACCAAACGATCGACAACGCACAGCGAGTGTTTTATTTTGATTATGCCCTACTAGCTAGGGTTATACACACATACCATTGTCTTTACAAAAAAGCTGCCATGTACTACAAACAGCCTCCTTCTTCATCTCCCAAGCCATGTAGCCCTTTGACCACCAAAAAGGAACTGCCTCGGGCTAAAGCAATCTGTTGGGAACATCATCTCACAGAAATAGCTCCAGCCTCGTTCTTTTCCTGTTCCCGGGAAACTCTGGATTCCCTTCACCTCTTTTTAGGATGTAGGCGGAATTACCACTGATCTTGTCGTGGCAAATTGTTGCATCAAAGCCCGACGTCTAGAGTATAGGTTATCGCTGTCAAGCAAACAACAAGTCCTCAAATAAGGAGGTCGACCATCATCCATACATACTACGTCGGCTTGGAAAATCAGCTGGATGTATTTTCTATTTTGTGTAACATTTTATCGATTTAACCCACTCACTCATTACTGTGAATGTAGCGGAGACAGAATCCATGCGATATAGGTCAATCACGTGTTGTGTCAGCATCCACGTTGTGCTTTGACATGTCAATGGATGCGTAGATCCCATTGAGTGTACAAGAAGACGTAGAAGAAGAAGAAAAAGCTTTAACAATATGTATCCCCGGCATTGATCCATTTCTTTTTTGTTTATTGAACAGCTTACTGGTCTGAAATTTTGAAAACCCCGTTTTCTCCGTAACCTTTACTGATTGTTCGAAGGATCGCACGACTATTTACCTCTTCAAGTCATGTATACACAACCGTTTTTGCTATATTGTAGCATAATGCGCAGCCATTGATAATAGTCAAAACATTAGCAAGTACTGGACCTTTTATATATTAATAGAAAAGGTTACACAGCAGTGCGGTGGGTTGTTTTACATACGACCTGTGTCATTTCCAAGAATCATCACCTGGCAGGAATATAGAAGGGATGCATTTTTCATCTTCGCTTATTACACACTGCTTTCTTGTTTATATTTATGTAGGTTTTCTGTCATCATACAGATCTTGTACTTTCATAGGAACAATAATATGTATTTTCATCTTTGTAAAATTTACGTAGCCACTAAATGAATAATATCACAACATTAACTAAAACTCAACATCTCACAAGTTCTGTATTTGTCTATTACTATGTATATGCATCATCATCGCCGAATACTGTACGCACTCGTCGTTTGCTTGCGTTACTCTTCTGGTGATTCACGTCGTAATATCCACATAAATATGTCACCGTAAAATGCTTGGTAAATTACTCGATGTTGAGCGAATAGAGCGTAGTACTACATACTTTCCCCTTAACTTGGAATTTGTATCCTGCTGATTTGGTTGTTAACTTAAGGTCTCACACTTAATATATGAATGGTCTGATCTCAATACACTCAGATAATGGCATCAACGGTGTATAACCGTCGCTTGTTGCGATGTGATATGTGACGGTGTCATTGCCAACAACAGGGCGAAACTGTAAACCTAGGCAACGTTTCTACCGGAAACGTTCTGGGAAATTGAAAAAAACGAGCCCCAACATATGATCTACAGCAGCTTCATTTCACCTGCAATGACTCAATAAAGTGGGACCCTATCTTTTCATGGTTAATACTTGCCAACGTTATGATTTTTATCACGATGCACCAATCATTTTGTGCTGTCGACAAGAGATTGAGGAACGTGGCAAGTACTGTATAACTGTAGCCAAGTCGGCTATGCGAGCTTCAAATAACATGATTTCTGCCTCTCTGGTTTAAAGAGATCGGACGGGTGTATGATACACCTTCCTGATCCAGTCTTTCCTTCTCTTGCTATCTCCCTATCTATTCGTCTTGCTACGACGGAGTCGTCCCAACTCGGATACTGCATCGATATCTCAATTCTCATTGTCTTTTCAAAGCTGAAAATATCGTCACAAGCGATTTCTATGCCCAACAGACTCGGTAAAGAGAATTTCACTTTTATTATTGTCATTTGTTTTGATGCTGGATGCTTTTTTTTTTGTTTATGGAAAGCTCAAGTTCTAAATTACTTGCTGAATGCACTCAACACGAAAGTTCCTTCGTCGTTAAAGACCGCAAAGTGGTCGATCCAGTCAAAACATTTGATAATCTTCGAGCTATCCCAGGACCATCTTAAAGATACGGTCGTGTCTCAGGATGGCATTGTTTTAAAATACTCCTTCGTAGTATGTTGATCACGCGTAGCGTCTATGAGTTGTTGGGCAGCAAACATCGTCGATTAACAAGCGGATGGCACAGGCCCTTTTATTTTGGAGCTCACATCCTCCGATTGCCGTGGCAACCACTGTTAACCTCAACGATGTGGACGTGGCGAAGGCAACATGGGGAGCTATCTGGAGCAGATATCATATGTGGTTGCACACATGCGGCGGATGCGTAAAGCGCATAGAGACAAAGCTACAAGTATAAACGGAAAACAGAGATCATCCAAGACTGTTTTCAACAGTAACGTGCCATCCAGTTAATTTTTCATGGACATGTCACCTAATCTTCAGCCCACTGTCGCCGTCGCGAGTGGATTGTATGCCAGCCTCCATGTAAATGATTCAAGCCTTGTTAACGTTCTTGCATTACGCGCATCCGGTTACCCAGTGAAAGGTTGGGTTGCCACATACGAGATTGGAGCCAATGTTGCCGCTGTCACCAGCGTGGTTGCTTGCGGCATCCATTTCTATGCATACTATACGACCAAGGAATTTACAGGCGCTGTATCGTGGATGGGTGACGCTGTCTGGCCTTGCTTCCGTACACGATTATGATAGAATCATGAAACCGATCAATGATCGTTTGCATGTTCTTGATGATACTCCCGGACACGACAAGAAGGAATTTTTGCAATTAGGAGCAAAGTCCAGTGGGCACCGATTGCTTTTGTAATGGTTGTGTTATAACACAAAATGATCATGTGCTCATGATGAATTGTCAGGTTTAGTTTTGTTTGTAGCTCTGCTGCATTATTGGTTGCACAGAAAAAGCAAGCGAATTTTTTCGATCTCACTCCCAAAACCTGTTCTTGTCTTGTCTTTTTCTCTTTTGCGTGTGTGTGTGTGTATTTGCACCAGTCTTTAGTGATACGAACCGACTAAAAGACAAGACGAAATGACAACGACATCTGTATCATCGGACATTCCTGCAAATTATCTTTCGAGCTATACTTCCTCATCCTCACTTCACAACTTTGCTCGACGGCATTCCATCTATGGCACAGAAGATCGCGTCGTTTTAGACATTGGTTCGTTGTATATTAAATGCGGCTTTTCTGGTGAATCCCATCCTCGACATGTTGTGCCAACATGCGCACGACTTGAGCGATCATCGGGTCCTGATGGTGAAGCATTCAGTATAGATACTGAAGTAAGATACGGTTATGCTAGCTTGTTTATTTATCGGAGGACTCAACAAAAGAACTCCTTATTAATATACTGTCACTTTTTTCTTTTTCTGTATTTGCCTCTGGAAAACAGCCAGTATCTTTGTATGAACTTGACCTTATGACCAAGGGTGACTTGAAGCCGTTGCAAGAAAAGCTGAAAAAACTGTTGCACGATATATACTTCCGGTAAAGTCACACTTCTTTTGTGGATGAAATAGCTTGAACATGGTGATAACAATGGTATTCTAGCTTGCTGTTGACAGATCCAAAGTCGCGTAAAGTGATAATATGCGAATCGCCACTTGCTCCTGTTGCATTAAAACGAATAATTGCGGATTTGTTGTTCCAGTATTTCCAAGTATGTTGTATATTTTACTTGTCTACCACTTTTCGACTCAATAACCAATGTGTTATATATAATACAGGTACCATCCATTTCATTTGTACCCATTCATCTGATGGCTCTGCTGACGACTGGTACTACGACAGGCCTGGTTGTCGATTGTGGTAACCTGGAAACGACAGTACTTCCTGTATGTATACACAACAATGGGAACAGGAAACTGTGAAATGAGTACTTTCTAAGTTAAATGTATGATTTTGTAGATATATTCGTCGCGGCCCCTCGTACCTTACATCGCCACCACTCCTCTCGCCGGCCGAGCACTGACTCAGCGGCTCGAATCCTTGCTTTTAGAACACGGCCGCTTTATACCCTCCTCACATTTACAACTGTCACTCGCTCCTCAGAATCCAATGCCACGCTCCGTATTGACGCCGAGTGTACTCGAAAATTTAAAAGCCACAATCTTGTTCTGCTCGCCGCTGATGATGGACAGAAAGGAAGTACAAGCCGATCTGGTAGCAGGGTACAAAAACTTTAGCAGTGCAACGGACGTCTACTATCCTGTCGTTTTGGAGGATGGTACCAAAGCGACACTATTGATACCCGGCTGGATCCGTGAACGAACAGCAGGAGTTTTGTTTGAAGGAGATGAAGAGGATGAACCTAGTGTGGTGCATTGCATTTTGAACGCAATTCTCAAGGTAACCTTTCTTTAATACTATCATGGTGGTAAGCAGTGGACAAGGAAGCAAGAAAAGCATGGACTCAGCAAGGTCGGATATTAGGTTCAACCGGATTTGCGAAGGCCGCTCATGTCTTCACTACTACTTAATGGTGGAACTTCGCTTATTCCTGGATTCCAGTCCCGGCTCAAGCAAGAGCTGCTTCGTGTTATGCGGGATCCAACTCCATTTGAAAAGAAGCGATATGCAAGTTTGCTTCGACTGCAAAACTCGGTGCGATTCATTGATAGTCCAGAGGATAACAAGGGCGCTGGCCGCATCTTTATGAACAATGTACGCGGCTGGATTGGAGGTAAGTAACTGGAAAAAGTGAACAGCTTCGAACTGGTTGTGTGTGTGTAGGATATGTTTGTTTAATGGGAAATCTGTCAAAAAATTTAGGCTCTTTGATGGGTTCACTGAAGTTGTCAGGTGAAGAGTTAGCCAGAGAAAGGTACAACGGCATTGTGACAGATTGGTCTATAAATCATTGGGCCACCTCTCCTCCTCCTCCTCCAGGGACATCGTCCAGTACCTCTGAAATATCTGCCTCATCTCCTACTTGAGCTTGGCTATTATGATACTTAATAAAATATATCTTTCAGCGAGATAGTCCGGCATTTTGTCAGCAGAAATATAATGTTTGCGGAGTTGCCCTTGTTTGATGTGGGGTGCGAGAATACGCTTGAATTTTGTCAGCTGCTTCGTTCCTTTCTTGTTCTCACACTCACAACACACCTCTCTCTCTCTCACATAAACCCGATCGACATGCCCCTTTACACATCGGCTAGTCTTAGTCTACAATACCACTCGGAAGACGATCAGTTTGTAACCTTGTCTCCCGCTTTGTGGGACGCGATCGCTCCCAAGGAACAGCAACAGAGTGGTAATCATATAGAGCACACTCCTTTATAGACGATCTGTGTACAAGTGGTTCCTGACTCCAAATATCCTTCATTTAGACTTCTTTACCGTTGCTGTGACGGTACCGTGTCTCATTGCATCAGCACCAGTCGGTGGAGGCGAACAAGGCGAAGGTTCAAACAAACTGCACTCATTCCTGGCTCATGCTAGAAAGGCCGAAGAAACCCGAAAAGTAAGAAAAAGAGAAACCTACCTCTACGTACCAAAAGCACGAAATAAAGTTAATGCGGTTGGGTTCTCTGCAGAATGACAAACTCAGAGTGCTTGCAAGCGCAAGTCTGATAAAATCAATATACGGACCCGATTCACTCGCACGACTAGACGAAGACGAGGAAGAGGAGGATAATGAAGAAGAGGAACAGGAAAATCATGAAGAGGGTTGCTCAGTACAAATCAAACCGGTTGAGTTGGTAGAACTAGACGAATTGATTGTTGGTGCTCTGGAAGCATCCTCCTTTGAATTTGCACAACAAGGTAAAATATACCTACCGATCATCCTGGGAAAGCTTGTGAATATTTGAAGGGAGAAGTAGTAAGTATCACTCACAGTTTATTGGTGGTTTTGATAGCTGAGTCTGAGCTTGGATCACTCTTTTCATCGTCGTCGTCCCCAGACAAGCCAGCATTGATTATCCGAAGTGGAGGCCGAAATGTATTCGATGGTGGGCTCAAGTTTAGAGTGTTGATGACGGGGCCGGTGCAACAAGGATTCATGGCAACGACCGAGCGTACAAAATTGCTGGCTGTGGATATGTCAAGTGCTGAATCATCAGAAGTGCCCACACCTGTCAATGGTGTACAAGCAAACGGCAACGTGCCCGCTTTCTCGATGCTCGACTCACCTCGGGTTCCAGACGTGGCCGAACCGCAAGAATTCAAAGTGCGTGTGCTTCAGCAGTCGTGGCCCGAATCGCGTCTTTTCCCAACTCCAGATAGCCAGCAGGACGATGAAAGCAGAGTGTATATTGGCGTGAAAGATCTGGCACGGTGCGGTGTGTTTAGCGGAAATTGGGTTTTGGTGAGCTCCACGGATAGCAAAAAGTCGCGACTGTGTCGTGTATTTGGTGTGGACGCACTTGACGATATGGAAGATGATAATGAAGAGGATGATCATACCCGGTAAGTCGTTAGAGGCAATCAATCGCGAGAAAGAAAGAGCATGTGGGCAAAAGTATCTGTGGTTTTGTTGACAAAGAGGGATATGTAGATCCGTTGTATTTGTACCGCCTGTATTGTATTTTAACCTTGGCCTGCCCCTGCCACCATCCTCTGCCGATAATGCTACCCTGTGTCTGACTCGCCTTACAGTGCCACCTCCTGCGGCCGGTCCGCCTGTGGCCAGTGAAGTCAGCATTGCACGTGTTGCATCACCGACCTCTATGGACAAGGGTCTGCAGTCACCTTTACTCGAAGCTTTGAAGCAGTGGTTTGAGGACAAGGATCGTATTTTGTGCGAGGGTGATTTGATTGCCGTACCCTTGGATGAAGAAAGTGTCCGGTTACGAGCTCGTGATGACGAGGATAGCAACAGTAGCCACGGACGCAAGCCTACCACTATGGCTTATTTTAAGGTGACTAGTCTCGAAGAGGAACAAGGAGCTACTCAAGAAGGTGTACATCCATCATTCTATGGCAGCGGCCGCAGGATCGTCCCAAGCCGTACCAAGATGGTTCAAACTGGCATTGAGCACTCGCGCGTACCCATCGGCTCCATGTCGCACTATTATGACTTTGTGACCAAACTGCCTTTGCATCGATCCAAAACAGCTGCATATGCGCAAATGCGCGAACTGGTGTCTTCCTCGCTGCATCCTTTGGGCCGCGACTTTCAACTGTCGTGCAATGCTCTTGTGCACGGTCCTCGTGGCGGTGGCAAAGCGACCCTGATCCGCGAAATTGCCGAAGACCTGGGTGTTCATCTATTCGAGTTCTCGGTATATGATGTTGTATCCGAGACCGATGCAAAGACTGAAGTGTATCTGCGTGCCAAATTTGACAAGGCAGCAGCACTTACGCCATGCATCGTCTTGATCCGCAGTATTGAAGGTCTCGCACGAAAAAGCGCAGTTGTGGAAACTGGTCAGGAACCTCTCCTCGCCACTGTTTTACAGGAGTGTATTGAAAATGTCAACGCTGCGCATGCCAACACCGGATATCCTGTCATGGTAGTTTCAACTACCAGTGATGTCGATGCCCTTCCCACAAGCATTCTCGGATGCTTCAGACATGAAGTTACCGTAGAGGTAAATTGTACACCACACCCTTTCATAACTTTTATATTTTATCTTTCTAAATGTAAGGAATATTTCTATTAGGCTCCGGATGAAAAGGCACGTTTACAAATCCTGCAAAACTTAACCCACGATTCGCCTATCGCCCCTGATGTGTCCTTGTCGGCTCTTGCTACCCAGACTGCCGCTCTGGTTGGCAAGGATTTGGTGGATCTGGTTGCTCGCTCAGGTGTTCTTGCCCTTCAACGCATTAACAAAGCCATGTAAGTAAAAATTTTCATTGTCACATTGTAATGAAAAAACCGCTAAAACGTCAAGTTTCTTCTAGAAAACAAACCAACAGTGAAGCGGTTGCAACTGCAGATATCGAGGCGGCCGGTATCGTTTTAACGGCTACTGACTTTGACTCAGCATTGAGCGAAGCTCGTGCAAGTTACTCTGACTCTATTGGCGCTCCCAAGGTAACTATATTTAAATGCATAAATGAGGTTGGGTGAAGTGGATCAGTCGATCTTGGAGGAGTTTCTCTGACAAGCAACTTCCATTTTAGATCCCAAGTGTCACATGGGACGACGTTGGTGGTATGGCCCATGTCAAGGACGATATCCTCGATACTATCCAGCTGCCTCTCGAACATCCCGAATTGTTTGGTTCTGGTCTCAAGAAGCGCAGTGGTATCTTGCTGTATGGACCACCAGGCACTGGCAAAACCCTTCTTGCCAAGGCAATTGCAACATCGTGCTCGCTCAACTTCTTCTCAGTCAAGGGTCCCGAATTGCTCAACATGTATATCGGTGAATCCGAAGCCAACGTTCGTCGTGTATTTCAGCGTGCTCGCGATGCCAAGCCCTGCGTTGTATTCTTTGACGAATTGGATTCCGTTGCACCCAAGCGTGGTGAGAAGGGTGATTCTGGTGGTGTGATGGATCGTATTGTATCTCAGTTGCTGGCTGAATTGGATGGTATGAGTGAGGGAGGCGAAGGTTCCGGTGTGGGCGATGTATTTGTCATTGGTGCAACCAATCGTCCTGATCTGCTGGATCCTGCTCTTTTGCGTCCCGGAAGGTAAACTTAAAAATATGATGGAAACGAATATATACTGTTTGAGTTTGTTGAGGCTGATTTTTTTTTCATTCTAGATTTGACAAACTATTGTACCTGGGTGTGAGCGAAGACCATGACTCGCAGTTGCGCATTATCCAGGCACTGACTCGAAAGTTCCGCTTGCATCCCGACTTGGATCTGATGCATGTCGCCGAACGGTGCCCCTTCCACTACACTGGTGCCGATTTCTACGCCTTGTGTTCTGATTCCATGTTGAAGGCCATGACGCGTGTAGCTGATACAATCGAGGCTAAGGTGCAACAACTCAACGAAGAACAGCGACCTGATCTTCCAAGCCCGGTTACTGCTCAATACTATTTATCAAGACTTGCTACTCCCGAAGAAATTATGGTGCAAGTCGAAGAAGTTGATTTCGTCAATGCTTTGAATGAACTTGTTCCTAGTGTATCTGCTACCGAGCTGTCACACTATTCAAAGGTTCGAGAACGCTTTGAGCAAAAGCATGACGACGAAGAAGAGAATGATGTGGAACAAGATAAGAAAAAACGGGAGGAAGAAGAAGAGGCAAGACGACAACAACCCGCTAAGCGGAAAGATAAGGGGAAAGGAAAGGCAAGAGCTACCTAGAAACCATGCTGCTGAATGTACATAGAACGTAAAAAAGGAGACCTATCTGTCTATTTTGTCCCCTTCTTATCTTTATTCCCAACCTTTTTAGACTATAACACTCTTTTTATTTCGCTGATACAGTACAGTATCATAATAAAAAAATTACTCTTGTATGTGTCATATTGTGTCTATAAATCATATTGTTATAAATAGATACCAGAACATTTTTAAACAACTTCACATTTATTTGATATGTAAACGTATATATTTACAGTATTGTCCGCACAGTGCATGTCAGTGTGTTAAATAGATCAAGATTGTAGATATCCTTCATATCATACACTGTCTTGCCAGTAGCCTTGATGCACTTTAAAACTTTGTCACGCGGCAGCTCTGTTTGCACGGTAACCGATTGCTTTTCTATGATACGTCAGCAACGACGCTCTGTACACCTATGTAAGTGTGATAAATGAGCAAGAACGGTATTAATACATTCATGAGCCGAGCATAGTGTAATAAACAAACGATAATGTAGCTATGTATATTTACCTTCAACTTTTGATGAAGCATCCTTCACTCTATTGGCGCAGCCAAAGCAACCCATTTTAGCGTTGAATATATACTCCTACACACAGTATTTAATCATGTTGCTTTAAAATCGAGCTGCTAAGAGTGATCGATGCACAAACAAAATATACAGTCGACCCCCGTTTACGTCAACCCTCAAGGTACCAGCAAAAGTGTTGACCATATCGAGGGTTGACGACCACCGGGGGTAGAGAATAGACAAAATCTTTACCTGCCAAATTTGAAAGGGTACCAGCGAATTGGTTGACGCTATCGCGGGTTGACGTTATTGGGGTTGACGTTAAAGGGGGTTGACTGTACTTACAGCCATTTTGATGAGTGTATACTTTACTAGAAGAGAAGAAGAGAAGAAGAGAAAAACTGCAGAACAAATCGACTCACGCGTTCTTCCTCCTAGAATTGACGTCATGTTTTTCTCTGACGTTATATTTGAAGCTACTGGGTCCTTTTGACCATGATTATCAAAGAAAGACAGAGCAATTTTTTGCCGTTATGTTTCCAAAGACTGTATAGATTGAGACAAAGAATCTGAGTCATCGAGCAAATGGAGAGCATTTTGTGCTTTCTTACGACTATATAACTGAGTATATTAAAGAGTATGCGTTGATCGAAATAATCCTGGCTATTGTCAGCCTGTGCTGCAAGCATAGTCTAGAATTAAAGCCATCATGGCATCCACCCTCAGGGTAGACGCACGGTCTAAATCAGTAAAGTTAAGCATTTTCTCCATGCCACTACCTCTGCTGCTTTTAGATCTCTGCTGGACCTTGTTTAGAATGTTATGCTCCGCTATGTTAGGACCCGAGCAACCAGGAACATCCATTATCCATCGATCATAGGGCTCTCCATCTTGAATCTCAAGCAAATTGTCCTTTCTTGTGAGTCAATAATGGAAAAGCTTGCTCTAGTCATTATGTCCATTCAAGCCCCTGTTTTCACGACCAAGCGTTTGTCTGTTTTTATGGCTAATATCATATTGCTCCCTTGAGGAAATAGTTGAGGTAAGGAAGAACAATGAAGACGCTTCTTTTATGCTGTAGACACGGTGTCGATGATCAGAGAGAGTTTTTTTAACGGCAACCAAGATAAGTCGGTACTTATATGCTGCGTTTGCTATTGATTGTTTTCCGTCCTCGTGTTAGCATGCAGCAATGTGTTTGAAGCAGGCGTAGAAAAACGAGGATCGACTTACCAACAATTACTATGCTGAGTATTGTATGATTTTTGTGGGTTTTGAGTTTTTGACATATTTGTTTTTGGGTGGTACTGATAGATTTGCAGGAGAAAGAAGAAGCCACTATCGATGATCGCGTTCAGGAAAGAAGCAGAAGCATAAGACAGCAGTAACACCATTCACTATTTGGAACGTTTTTTGCATTTTTTTCGGGATCTAACAGACAGAATAGACGGGCCAGAATTGAGATGGCGTGGAGGAAATGGTCGAGAGTGAATGATACGAGAGCTGTGATCTTCAGGGTCGTAAGGAGTGGCGGTTGGGTTGTTGTCGTCGAAATTGTAGGTGTTTTCTGTATGATGGTTCATCGTGAGGAAGTACGGAAGAATGGAAAACACGCAAAGAAAAGAAGAAGAAAAACGCGCTGATCTGCACAAAGCATGTCAACGAAATTTTCCTTTTCCGGTTCACTCCACCCATGATTTCTTTACCACTCAGAGTAAACATCCTTCTTTATGAGGCTTGCTTAACCACGCTGCATAAGAAAGTTGCTTATTGCATGACAACATTCAGTAGTCATGACAATCCATGTTCCCGAAAACCGCTTGTTGCCAGGACAAGCATGTCAAAACACATCTTATTTTATTCGCGTCACCCATTTTGACCAATTCCGAGCGAAATGGCGGCTGCTCTTGCGAAGCGATTCGCAGCGCTTTTTTCACACAACTGCAACCAGCGCAATGGGCAGGCTCGTAGCAACACGCACATACTCAACCCTTGTTTTTTTGAGGCTCTGAAACCAAGTTACGATGTTTTTTGCGCAGGGTCTTCATTGTACTTTGCTGTCATGCTCGGCTTCTTCAAGCGCAGACCTTCCGTGCTGGCCGTGAATAAAATTGGGGGGTGGGGGTTGGATGGGGGGATGGAACCAAAGTTGGGGACGTCACTGTTCCAGGCGAAAACACTACGCTGTATACGCTTTATGGAGGTGTAGTTTTAGACTACTTGTCGTTTTTAGTCTCGCATTGAGCTCGCTCGGTGGTTAGCTTAACAAACGATAATCCTAAGCTGGCAAGCGCGGTGGACGCAGAGAAAGGGATTCTTTTCAAGAAAAAGAGCGTCGACCCTATATCCTATCTGTCTGCTTTTTCCAGGGTGCGCGTGAAGTATGATACATGTGAAAAAAGCAAACCAGATTGTATCCTCCGAACCAGCTCTTTTCCTTTCCATTATTTTCGCGAACAGAACTACGCGACCACAGAAATGTAAAAAAAGGAAAGGTGCAAAGTGCATTCCAAAGTGTGTTAAAGCGCGTTGTGATCGTTTTACTGTCGTCTGTCATTGTTCCCCGCTTTGTTTAGCACGGAGCTGTGGATGGGCAAAAAAAAATAAGGAACTTGTCGTGCACATAAAAAAAAGGCGAAGCAAAAGCGGTAAAACGTTTATAAGAAGAGTGCGAGAAGAGAAAAATTTGTTTATTGTGTTTATCATTTTCTTATTTGTGTGTAATAAATAATAAATAATAAAAAAAAAGTTCGTTTTAATTATCCCAACATATACCGTTGGCATCACATGCACCCGAAGGTTCACGATCGGCTGCCGGAGTATATGACCACATTCCCACTGGTATATATTGCAAATTTTCTTCAGGGCGCGGACCACTGAATCTGCCGATCATCAGAAGAATTATGACAATAGCCAGCACAAGCAATGACCCGATCATGGCACAGAGCAGTGCATCTGTACTACAGACCAAAGCTGTACCAAAACGAACTGAAGAGAAGAGAAAAAGAAAGGCGAAATTGCTCGCTTTATATATAGGCAGCCAGGGGGACCACGGGAAAAAGGCTGAGACCAGGACCGACAGAGGCAAGACCAGGACCAAGGGAAGAGCCAGAGCGAGGGGAAGACCAGAACCAAGGGAAGAGCCAAGAGAAAGACCAGGAGGATCCAAGGGAGTGAAGGGAAAAGAAAAGTGAAGAGAAGAAAGAGTGAAGAAAAAAAAAATAGAATGCCCTGGCGTATTTATGTTTTATTTTTGGTTGTAAAAAAACACGTCCAGGCCCGTGCTAACAATACAGGCAGCAATAGCAACACGATCACACTTTTTTTTGTTACTTTCACACTTTTTTTGTTACTTTCTGTGGTCGCGTAGTCGTGTTTGCGAAATTAATCGTAACGAAAAAAAATGTTCGGAGGGTACGTGCCGAAAGACGGGTTTTTTTAAACTAAAATAGATAAGAACACCCCTCCCCCCACCATCAACAGGCCCGTGCTAACAATACAGGGAACAATGGCAGCAATAGTAATATGATCACAACACTATGACACTTTTTTTTTGTTACTTCCTGTGGTCGCGTAGTCGTGCTCGCGAAAATAATCGAAAAGAAGAAAAAAATTGTTCTGAGGCTACGAGCCCACCATCCTGTTTTTTTTGTTTTCTTTTTTTTGCACATGTATCATACATCAGCTGAGGGAAGTGGTTGATAAAATGACCAAGCCAAATATTGAAGCAGCCTGTATACAGGATGACGCGCATACTATGTTGAAAACAGCCATGCTCTTGACACTCTATTTTAAGTTGGCCACCTCCATCATTGCGGGCTTGAGGGATTGGCAATCGCTGATTGTCGTGTGTATATACTTGATACTTGATTAAGAGTGCGTCTTTTGTTTGTTACACACGCCACCACATCGCACCATGGTTAATCCAACAACGGCCGAGACTTTCATTTATCCCATCAGATCAGGAAGCTGGATACGACCATTCAGCACATACTTACTCCAAACCAAAAATGATGTATATTTCGCCAACACCTTGCGCGAATATATCGTTATCATCCGAAGCTATTGTTCACCGGCCCAATATCGACGTGGTACAAATCCAAAAATAATCTCGTATTCAACATAAGCAACATTGACGGTAGACACTGTACCGAGACCCTTTGATCCCTGGCTTGAGCTTGGCGCTAACCAAAACTAGTACACGCCCAATCATTCTGATCACAAGTATTTTTTTATGGTCTGGAGGCAGAACTTATTCCCAACAGAGTGTCCAGAGGAGTGACGGACTATTGGGTGTGAATACATGTATGAGAAAATGAGGAACAGAGAAGTGACGGAAAAGAGAAACCTATTTATATGTGCGGTGATAGATGGCAG